GGGTCAGTCATTTGTACAACCACAGCAGCAACCTGATCACATCACTGTACTACGACCTGCAGGGCCATCTCATCGCCATGGAGCTGAGCAGCGGGGAGGAGTACTATGTGGCCTGCGACAGCGTGGGGAGTCCGAGAGCTGTTTTCTCAAGCAAAGGGCGGCTGGTCAAAGAGATCCTCTACACTCCGTATGGAGAGGTTTACCAGGACACCAACCCTGACTTTCAGCTTGTCATCGGCTTCCACGGGGGCTTGTATGATCCTCTCACACGGCTGGTCCACTTGGGCAGGCGGGATTATGACACACTCGCAGGTCGATGGACTTCACCCAATCATGAGCTGTGGGGGGAATTGAGCAAGGAGCCGAAGCCTTTTAACTTGTATGCTTTCAAGAGTAACTGTCCAGTCGGCAAAGTGGAGGAGGTTACAAAGTTTACCACAGGTGAGCCCCACACTCGCACAGACTCTGATTTACTCCAGTGCTCAACAGTGAATCAGTTACTAACTCACTTACACAAGCTGCAACAGGCAGAAATTTCACTCAGCAGCACCTACTCCCACACACGCCCACGCGGAATAGTAAGGGCCTCGCTGCTAACCACAGGTGAGCTGCGTGGGGGAAAGGAAAGATGCGACAGACAGAATGTTCTGGCAACAGAAAGGACAGCCAGACCTCAGATCGGCTTGTTTTTTAACACAGACTGCGATGTTTTGTTCCCTCTGTCTGTCAAGAACATACTGTTTTCCCGAGAGGCAAAATAGAAACTCGAGCGAGGGTGAGATGGAATAGGAGAACGAATATAGGATGTTGGTTGGAGCGTATGTCCTTCTAGTTAATGGAACATTCATTTGGCCCGTCACGTTTGCCTGCAGCAGGATTGTTTATCACAGAGTGAATTTGTTTGTCAGGGAAACACCACCGGAGCCATCCCTGCCACGTATTATGCTCATATATTGTGTGATTTCCTGAACAAGATGTTGTTACCCTGGCCTTATGACTTTTTTGTTTGCCTCACCGTATACACAGTATATTCTAACTTTCCCCTCTGTGCAATTTTCTCTTCTTCTGTGTGTGTGTGTGTGTGTGTGTGTGTGTGTGTGTGTGTGTGTGTGTGTGTGTGTGTGTGTGTGTGTGTGTGTGTGTGTGTGTGTGTGTGTGTTTATACATACGTGTATGTGTGTTCAGACATTGGTAGCTGGCTGCAGCTGTTTGGCTTCCAGCTTCATAATGTTGTCCCAGGTTTTCCAAAGCCTGATGTTGGCAGAATGGAGCAAACATACGAATTGATGAAGACCCAAACCAAGACTCAGAACTGGGACTCCAGTAAGGTGAGCTGTCCACCACGACAAACCAAACCCAGCTGCACTGCCGTAGTTTTGTGTATCTTAGTGTTGCATGTATTTGATCTCAAAATTAAATATTCTCTCCTATTTGGTGTATTCTGCCCCTCTGATCTCCTCAACTTCATGATATCAGATTTTCAATAACTTATTTAAGCTCCCAAACACACATAGATAAGTGCTGCTGGTCCATCAAAGCTGTTGTTTGAAACTGCTGTAGAAAATAAGGGTGCTTTATATTTGATAACATTCTCTGGGCCTTCTTAAAAATGCGGTTCAGTGTACTGAAATATAGTTAGAGTGAAATAAGAGTGGATTTTTAATTTTAAAAAATGTGACGTTTACAGTGATTACATCATTACAATAGATCATTTTCATTTTCAACGGTTTTAATAATTCATTTTTTAAATCTTCTCACATGAGAGCAAGAGTATGTGACATTTTTGTGGCAAGGGTGGCCAACGGTCTTCTCTATGTGTGTACAGACTGAAATCAACACCACAGTAATTACAAAACTGTTTATAGTTTCTGTATAAGTCTTTAAAGTGTTTCGTTAAAAAAATGAGTCGGGTAATTTTTTCTGGATTTTTTCAAAAAATGCCGACTAGGTAATTCACAAAACAAGAGCTGGGATTAAGATGAAGTGATAATTTTACTCTGGAGTCATGTTGAAGTACATGCTGGTAAAAAGTAGGAGTAGTATTTGATTGAACTGCCAGGTCCAGCCTTTTTGATGACTGATATTTTGACTAGTCATCAGGGGACCCACAAGAGCACTTAGCAGATCGCTCATTTCTGTTAGAGTGCAACAGGAAGTCATGACAATGTGTTATCTGTGTGTTTGTGATCAAAGTTTCCTGTATCAAACAGTCAAACAGCCTGAAAAAGTTAACAATAATGAGTAAGAAGTTCTGTGAATTGTTTTTAATTCATTTCCCTTTTTTTTAAATCTAGGTGGTCTTGGGGATCCAGTGTGAGCTGAGGAGACAGCTGAGGAGTTTCATCTCTCTGGAGAGGTTACCTCTGGTCTCGGAGCCTGTAGGTTCAACCTGCCACAGACCGATGCGCCCCCCTCCGTTTGGCTCCCGACCTTCTCTTCTGGGCCCCAGCATCCGCTTCGCCGTCTCCCACGGCCGTGTCAGCGCTGAGGTCATCGGCGTAGCCAGTGAGGACAGCCGCCGCGTGGCAGCCATCTTGAATGGTGCTGTCCATCTGAGCGGGTTGAGCTTCACCGTGCACGGCTGTGACACCCATCACTTCCTCCAGTCCCGGCCTATTGAGGAAGACCTCGCTCTGGGGTTAGGAGTCGGGGGACGCGTCCTAGAGAGCGGGGTGAACGTGAGCGTGTCTCAGATGAGCGCACTGGTGAATGGCAGGACTCGACGATTCGCTGATATCACTCTTCAGCAAGGAGCACTGTGCCTGTGTGTGCGCTACGGTGGGAGCGAGGAGGAGGAGAGAGCGCGGGTGAAGGAGGAGGCAAGAAAGAGAGCGGTGGAGGGGGCGTGGGAGAAAGAGAGGAAGAGGGTGGAATTAGGGGATGCAGGGAGCAGGGCGTGGAGCGAGGCGGAGAAGCAGCAGCTGCTGACCGGAGGACTGGTTCAGGGTTACGACGGCTACTATTCCCTGCCTACAGAGCAGCAGCCAGAGCTGTCCGACTGCCCCTCCAACATCCACTTTATGACACTGAGCGAGGTGGGGGGCAGGTAACAGAGACACACAGAGAGCCCCCCACCCCACCAAAGACTGCCTGTTTCTACTCTACTCTGATTTGTTCTACTGTTTCTATACTGTATGAAAAAAAGAAGAAGAAGACAGAAGAAGAACAAGAGGAGAGATTGGGGAAAAAATGATTTCCAAATGCCTTTAATTGTGACAAAATGATGGTATTTTATTATTATCGTCCAGTTTCTCCAATTTCTAACAGTGGCACAAGCAGTGTGGTTTGGCTGTGGCTTCGCTTTTTGTATCCAACTGGCCTGGGACTGACTAACTCTCGTACTGACTGACTCTCTTACTTACTGACTGACTGACGCACTGACTGTCTGTCATTTGCTGTTTCAACACTGTTAACCATTTCAGACTCTGTTCGATTTCACAGGCCTGTAGAGATGAAGACTTTAGGATTGCTAGAGAATGATCCTCTTCATGACTCGAATCAAGAGCTCTGCGGTTGCCATTTTATTTCCTACATGGTTTACCTCGGATATACTATCGTTTACATATTGTGTATGAGAGGCCTTGTCGACTCTGACACTCCCCTTTAGAGAAGGAAACCTCTCCCGGTATTCCGCCTCTGGTGTGCTCCAACAGTAGTTTGTATGAGTGTGTATACTGAAATCAAGAATGTACATAGCCAGTGCTTTCACACTGAAAAAAGTGCTCAACTGGAAATTCTGTTGTTCATAAGTAAGTGTCAGTATTGTTAATCAATAGAAAAACAGTTACATTTTTGCAAAGAATTATACATGGCTATAGTAAATATTCTCGCTGAAAAATCTGACTTTATTGGGTTACAATGCTGATTAAAGTTATTATGTGTGAATTACCAGATTGCTCAGTGGTATTATATGCACATTGTTGCTTGTTATTTCTCCCTCTGTCTACTCTTTCTCTCTCTCTTTCCCTTTCTCAGTGTCCTCTCTGTCTCTGTGTCTTCTCTCCAAACATTTGTTGTGCACTCTTTGTTCTTGTTTCTGGGAGTTTGTAACTTTCAAATCTGTGCTGTCATTATCACCCATCATTATGGCTCAAACTGAGATATGCATGAGGAACCTGCGTCTGTCGGAAGAGAAGAAAAAGAAGAAGGAAGAGAGAGAGTGAGAGAGGGGAAAAAAAAAGAAAAGCACAGAGAAGGGAAAAAGAAATGTGACAGCTGAGGCTCAGTGAGTGGGTGGTGAGTGCAGAAGGGGCAGGACCTGGAGTTGGCTGTGCTGTTCTCTACAGCTTGTCTCCTCTCATTAGGAAATGCCAATCAGACTACATGTGAACCACTTCCAAGCCTTCTTCCTCCTCCCCCTAAAAAAAAAAAGTTTGAAAAGAAAGCAAAGAAGTTGGTTTGTTTTTCTTTTTTTTTAAATCTAGCTACCACTAATCCACCTCCCCGTCCGTCTGCCTATCCCCAACTTGCCTCCCTCCCGTCGTCACTCCACCATCTGCCCACCATTAATTGTTTGTGTTTCTCTCCTGGGCTGTGGATGACAGAGCCGCACAATGCATATGTTCCGACTGCCAGCAGGTGATATACGTTCCCGACGAGCACTTTGCCGATCGTCCGCGATGCACCTTCTCTTCTAAACCATATGCTCCACGAGATACTGTCCAACCTCATCTCTGTGCTGAAGAGATGGAGGGTCTGGTTGCTAGGAGACCGCTGCACTGAAGAATTGTCTGGGCTGAATGGATGCTTTCTCAATCTCCCTCTCTCTATTTCTCCCTTTTCTCTTTCCCTTCCTTTTTCTCTCTTTTTTTTTTTTTTTTTTTTTTTGCATGAAGAGCCAGTAATGTCAATCAGATGAATGACAGACCCCCGCCCTCACCGGCAGTCAGCATTCTCTCCATGGAAATCACTGCTTCAATATGTCAAATTGAATTTTTGTTCCTTATTATGTGTCAGATGGAGGCTTGAGAGTGTATGGCTGTGTGCGGGTGACCTCATTTGAAAGAGTTTATTTCAACCAATGTCATTTATTTTCTTTGCCAGTCACATAACCAAATTGCATTAAGAGAATAGCACAATATTTGCTGTCAACGTAGGAATGCAGTAATAGATATTAATGTTTCAGCAGCTGAATATTTTACATCAAATCTCTGAAAGTTATGAGACCCTTTCTGTGCTGCATGTAGAGAAAAAAAAGAGGTACTGGAAGCAGATCTGAGGCACTGCTAGAACTGAAATGACTTGGACTTAACAAACAGGAGCTGCTTAATTGGAAAGAAATGACATTTTATTCCACACATGGCGTGAAAAATGCAACAGCGGGAACCACACAGAGACGGCGTTTTTGTTTATAATTAGGTCAGCGGAGAGCTTTGGGATTGCCCCTAACCGACAGCCTGCCGCACCTCCTTCTTGTTCCTGTTTTTCTGTCCCTGAGCAGCACCATGCGGCAGGTCCTGCTGGAGGTAAGAGTCAGGGCTGCTGTGTGTCGGTGACAGGCTATTACCGGGCGCCTGAGCCTCTGTGTGTGTTGATGCCCGTCTCTGAGCAGTGACAGGGTAGAGCAGAGGCATGGCAATTCCTTGTCCGGGCCTCTGGAAAGTTGCTATCAAGTTCTTGATTTGCCGGAAATATCGCTTCTGCACACCAGGAGTGGTCTGAAACACAAGGAAAAGGGTAGAATAAATTCAGCTTTTCCATCTCTGTCTGCACATCAAACCCTACAGGGAAATGAAGAGGACAGGACAGGACTGGCTTGAAATGAGCTCACACAGATTCACCTGATAAAAGACATCAGACACGCTAAAAGTGGAGCCAGAAATGCACAGTGCTAAGGCATGGGCTGGGAATCATCAGTTATTTCTTTTATATATCTAGCCCACTGATCCATGCTGAGCTCATGTTCAACAAAATAAAAGAACACAAAGAAAAATAAGATGATGCAAGAGAAAGTCAATCTGTAATTGCTGTAAAACTACTCTGAAAGCGTGGAGCAAAGACTCGAGGGGTTTTAAAGCTAAAATAGAAAGTTCTGGTCGCAGTAACCACGGAAAGCGTCCACTCCCCTGGGTTGTTTTTTCAATAAACAACCACAACAAAAAGCATTTATTTTAGGATTCATGTGTGAAATCTCAAATGCTGAAAGTGTCCCATTATCACCATTGTGGCTGGGAAAATAACTGAAATAATTCACATTTAGAAAGCAGCTGAGGTTAAAATCAAAATAAAACAAGTCAATCAGAATTTATCTTCTGCTGAAAAGGAGCTCTAATATGACTTAAGTACCTTTTCATCAGGAGTCAGTGAAATTTCAAGCGCGCCAAGGACCTTCCAGAGAGTTCAGTGTGATTTTTCATCTTAAATCAATTTTCCTTTTTACTCACAGCTGTATGTTTAACATTTTTTATCTCTAAACCATTGAGAATCAGATATTTTAAAGTGCTATAATTTTGCCCAGTAAGGCCTTTGTATTTGTCTTTACTCTCTGCAATCAATCATGCAAGAAGAAAGTGTGGTAAACCTTGCTCCTCGAATGCAGTTTGAAATCATTTAATCAAATGCAGGGAGCACTTTCCACAGCAAAGCACTTTAGTTGTTTCTGTCTCCGGCCACAAGTGTTACCTCTGTTCCCTGGAATATTTCATTAAAGTGATTGATTTTGGGCATGAATAATGTAAACTGTTATTGAGCTTGAAGTGAAATGCGTGTAATTCAAAGCTTTACCTTGTATCTGTTCTCTTGATGCTGTCAGTAAAGATGAGCGAGGGTGAAATGTAGTTACAACAACATCTTGCTTAGTTGTCACGCAGAGAAAGACGTAGCCTTCAGATGTTTCTGTACATCCACATTTCAGGGTGCTAGCCAGCCCTCAGTGCTCAATTACATATCCCATCAGAAATGCTGTCAAATGCAATTCTGCAACTCCCATCTCTGGAGTGTATGCTGATGCTGTGGTGTCTTAAATGTAAGTCAGGTTTCAGGGGGATACGCAGGGTGTCAGTGCTACAGAGAAAGCAATGTGCCCTAACAAAAAAAGGTTTACTTAATTAAGCCAGCACCCAAACAACCTTCAGATCTAATAATCTTTCATTGAGAATCTAACAATCACCAATGAAAGTGAGGTGGAATCTGCTGGTGGTGTAAAGTTTTAATCTGAACAAAGAATAAGAAACATGATAAAATGTGTCACCTCTGCCGCCCAGGTCCCTGAGTTGTCCTGGTGAAGCCTGTATGTGTAGACGTATCCACTGCTCCTGCAGACATACACACACACAGACAAATGACTTTGACCCTGGGATCATCTTTCGGTTTAATGAAATAAGTATTTGCTTCTGCTGTTGCCATTATTGCTCCTGTGGGACTCACATTTCACACTAAATAAAAGGCCATCCCATTTTGGGGTTTCAGTTGACACTCGGCTTGTTTATGCCTCTGTGCTTTTTCTTAAATGTGAGGAGATCAATAATCTCTGTAATAGCAGAAAATAAAGTTATGTGTTGATGTGATTACAAAGGTCCCAGTAAGAGGGAGGACAAAGACTGATGATGCACAATCTGTGTGTATACTCACAGCACACACAGGCAGTAGACACCCGGCACAGAATCACTGTTGCGGAGCAGGTAGCACCCATCTCGCCCGTCCTGGGCCAGCCGCCGCTCCCCTTCTTCTTTACCAATGGGTCCATGGTAGATATTCAAATTTTCCATTGCAGCGTCTCTCCAGATCTGCTTCTTCTTCTGCTCCTTATTGCCAACTACTCTCTCTCTTTCTCTTTACCTTCACTTCAACTTTTTTTTTTTTTAATTTACCTCAGGCAAGCCTTTTTTGTCTGTACCGTGTTTGCTTTACACTGGAAACACGGCTGAAGTAGCTGTCCTGCCTGCTCTGATACCCACCTCTTGCTGTTTCAAATGTTTGTCTGGGAGTCTGAGCTTTTGCAAGCCAGCGTTCTGATTTTTTCTCTTTCTTACCTAGACCGATAGCAGCTCTTTCTCAACCCTAACCTTTATGGTGTGCTGCTCAGTCTTCCTCTTTCTCTAAAGGACACACATGTGCGCGCACACACACACGCACACACACAAAATGTGGGTTTGTGTATCTCTCAGGAAACGGTTGTATTTTTTTTGACAGGAAATCACTCAAAGATTCTAACTGAATATTTCCACAACATAGAAAGCACAAGAGAGAGAACAAAAAAGGGCAATATCACTGTTTTCACACAGGCAAACGTACACAGAGCTTACGCAGAGAGGCCTTGCTTTGTTTTAATTAACGCTGCCCATTTTTACCACAGTTTTCATGAACTATGATGTACAGTTTCACATGTAAAAATAGCTGCTGCAGAGGACGTATTGACATCCTTTTTATAAATAGTGTATAGAGACCTATGTCTGAACACTTCATCATAAGCAACAGTGCTCCCTGCAAACTCTCCTCAAGTAAGTATTGGCAGAACTATAGGTATAAAAATAATTTATTAATTTGATTGATAACATAATACTACTGCATCCTCAAAAAGTTCATTCTGATGCATGTATGTAAGTAACATTTAGTCTTCTGCAGCTATTTTAAGGTTATGTTATTTTAGCTTCTTTATTTGCATCTAACATTCTCAGTTAAAAAAAACTCCTTTAATAGACCTCTCATCTTTTTTTTCTGAAATACCAATTTATTTAACATCCTTGTTCCTTCAACTCTTTTTTAAATTCAACATTTCAGAAGTTTAGTGGATCTAAAAAATACCTCAGGTGTCTGAAACATGTCAAACACACCTTTCTGAGGTTGTACTTTAAAATAAAGAGTCATAAACATAAAGGTTTGCAAAGACTTACAATTCTTACAATACACTATATTGGATGTCTTTTCGGATGTACAGTCCTGTAATATAACAGTTTACCATGGTAAAGCTGTAAAATATGTAGGGGCTTGAAAGTATTATGCTTTCATTTGAAATGTGGGATAAAAAGTGCTGAAAATTACTCACAAGTACAGCACTTTAGTAAATTACTTTTCGCAGCTGGCATAATTTTCTGAAATGTTGGAAAAGCTTCTTATTTCTGTGCTTGGACTCGAATTGAAACACATGGTCAAATTTGCGAAGAGGCCTACTCGGCTCATATGTTAAATATATGATATTTTTAAACATAAAGTGATAAAATTTAATGTTATTCAAAGTGGGGAAAATGTTCTGCTTGTAAAAAGTTCTTCATTAGCTCGATATCAAGTCTTCTCACTCCTAATACTGGTTACTGTTTCTCATGCTGCTTCCATGCTTGGCAGCACATGTTCAGTCACATGTCACTGGTCTGTCTTCTATTGAGTGTGTGTCAAGGACTATCACACCTGCTCGCGAGAACAGTGTGGAATCAGCTAATGAAGCCGTGCGCGCGCGCGTGTGTGAACATACTGTCGAGCTGCAACAAACCCATCCTGCAATCTGTCCTGTCAGTCGGAAAGTTGTGTTGTGTCAAATTAAGGATGTGGTGATTAAAATAATAAGATTCTGCAGCAGTGACATGTCATTCATATTTTTATCAGACTGATAGCACAGCTTCTGTTGTTTCACTCACATCAGCTATGATGGCATTAATGTTACAGTGTTCTTTTCACAGCTCCACGGAGTCCTTCAGACCGCCATGTGCTGCTGCAAAAGCACGTTCACTGAGGCTCACCGTGTGACTGTACCGCTCAGTGTATATCTTCTGTGCTGGTAGCTCTCTTTAATGCAGCATTTGTAGAGGATTTGTGTTTTTATACATTCAGAACTGAAGCCTACATGAGTCATCAGTCTGTGTCAGAGAAATGTTTCCCTCGGCTCTCAAAGATCATGAGCGCAGGGACTTTGGGGCTCCGTCTGGAAAAGCAGCCAGTGGCATCACTGCTTCAGTAGCACTTCAGCGCCATCCAGTGGAATATGAAAGCTTTAACAAGCAGCTGAAAGTACAACCTGACTGGATGCCTTTTTGTGGGGTTTTCTCTCCTCCTTGGTGCCCTATTAATCTATTAAGACTAAAACATTTACATAAAACAGGCAAATGTTCACATTTATTCAGACACAGCTTCCCTAAACCTTCATTAGACGATAACACTTTACAATAACCATAATTTATAAATGATAAATAGATGGTTTATTAATGTTTAATCATCATTTAAAAACAGCATAGCCTATAGACCAATTATAAATGGCAAATAGATAATTTATTCATCTAAGTAAATAGTTACTTTACCACTAACTAACAATGGAATTATGATTAATACTTTTGGACTAATGGACTATTTATTAAAGGTTTATATAGGGTTAAAATATTGGTCGTAAAACATCTAGATTAAAATGTGTGTCAGTAGCACTTTGTAAATGGTTAATATTTGGTTTTTAAACCATCTATAAATATTACTTAGATGGTTATTCTAAAGTTGCAACTGATGTTTGTAATAGTATGTAAATGATAAATAAGAGGTTTATAAACCACCTATAAACATTACTTATAAACATTATGGTTATTGTAAAGTAAGGGTTAGGTTTTAAATTTGTAAAATTTTAAATGTATTAATGGTCTTTATGCTTTTTATAAATGATTATTAAAGATTAATAAACTATCTGCTTACCATTTATAAATGGTCTATTTACCATTTATAAGTTGTGGTTATTGTAAAGTGTTACCCATTAGGCTTTTACCAGTGTTAAGCAAAGTTACACCACAGCCTACTTCATCATCACACAGCTCACAGAGAAGCAGGCCAGGGTCAATGCAGAATGCAGGAAATCTATAGTGGACACGAATAGCAGCCAGAGATACATCATTGATTAGCTAGCGTCTTAGTAAACCAACACAACCAGCTGGACTGGAATGCATCATAAGGACATTAGTATGAGATTAAGATATCTGGCCTTGTTATGTCTGGAATCCATGAGAGGCATTCTGGGAAGGGGAAAGAGTGGGGCAACTCAATGTCCATCTGCCAGGCCCACAGTAAAACCAGAGCTCTCATACCCAGGTGGTGAGAGCTCAAGCTCTCAGCTACAGCTGTTGAAGATGAAGATTTAAGGAGGGAAAGAAAAACTGTGCAATAATCCACACAAACTGATCTGTGTGTGAAAATTAGATTAAAAAACAGGAAGTCTTCCATTTTTGCAAAGGAACTGAAGAGTTGAGCCAGGGCTGCTCCTAAACTGAGGATGTAGACCCCTGAGTAATAAGGCGTCTCAAAAATACTGTTAAAAAAGAGGGGTTATTTGACCCAATCTTACAAAAATATACATAAAACATTTAAAATTAAAGTAAAACCAATGAAACCACAGAAATCGAAAACTAATCCTCACCCATTATTTTAAGATCATGGGCCAAAAAGTTTGGGAACCTCTGATCCAAAGACAGGAGAGAAAGAATTTAAGTCAAATAACTTTATTCATAATGCATTTAAAGAAATACAATAATCATTTCACTAAATGTCTTGAAATGATGGTGGCATGCAAACTTTACAAGTTAAAATAATATACACATAAAGATGTTGGTCCAGACAGTAAGAGTAACTTCGTTTAAGTGGTTGATAATTATTTTAATACATGACAATCTCATCTCTTTTGGCCTGCCAAAATGCAGTTCAGTTCAATACACAAAATGAATATTACTCTGACCTTTTTTTAACTGTATAAATAATGAAATCGTTGTCAAATTTTGCAGCCACATTATGGCTAACACAGCTAGCTCAGAGGCTATATCTTAAATAAAGACAGACTGTTTTGCTAGCCACAAGTAGTACAGGATAATGTTCACTTTTGGATTCACCCTCTTAGATGTGTCCTGTTTGCAGTAAAACAACTTTGATTGTACAAAATCATTGCAATAATGATAGCTATTCCAGAGGAATTGGGCTGTAGCTAAATCCAACAACTGTTTCTAAGCTAACCCTGCTAAGATATTACTAAACTAGTTTAGCTGAAATCTCAGCCCTGGAGTCTCTAAAGCTCTTACAGCTTTTTGTCTAAAAAGTGATCTGTGTGAAATGTGTTACTTGAAAAGAGATTATATTCAGAAAAAAAAAATCCTAAGGGAGACTCGTGGCTTTGTGGACACTGGAAGGTTTTACTTTTTTCACAAGCTAGTCGCTAACTTTCTATTGTTTGGTTCAGAGCAGGTAGAGGAGGGGGTATCGTGAGCTTATTTTTTACTGACACCAGCTGCTTTTTCACAAGATTAAAGGTAGTAAATTCCTTATTTATTTGTTTGTTACACCTTTAGGCTATTCAGCCTTGAGCCTTCGAACATTATTTTTCACAGTTCTTTTTTCTTTGCTCACATTTTCTGTCTTTGAAACGACAGCACTGAGCTCCGCAGAAATTTGACTGTGTCAGTTATAGTAACAGTTCTGTCTCACACGTTCATGCTAATTGGAGTTCAGCAGTCACTTGACACTGGTATCACTTCTTTGGGTGTGAAGCCAGTGATCGAAAAGGAAAAGTCTCCCCTTTTGGCCTCTCTAAGCAGGCCCAGAGGGCTCCACAATAGCCAGATCCTTCAAGTCACTGAGTTTTCGGGAGAAGGAGCTCAGCCTTGTGCTAAAGGAGCCCCTCTTCTGGCTCTGGTCCTCTCCACGGGTCTTCAGACAAGCACAAATACCCTTGCAGAGCCCTCCTAGACGTCCCCGGAAGTGGTTTCCAATGAAGCAGTAGAGCACAGGGTTGATAGCTGAATTGGAGAACCCCAAGGAAAGGGTAAGAGGGGTGAAGGTTTCAATGGTCCAGTCTAACCAACAGCCAGCCAACCAGCCCTCACTCTTGAGTATACCCAATAAGGTCACACAGTGGAAAGGGAACCAGCTGAGGAAGAAGGCCAGGACCACAGCGGCTACTGTCCATAACACTCGCTCAAGCCCTCTGCCCTCCAAAGGTCTGCTTCCGCTGGAGCTTGGGCTCACACAGGGCGTTGGGGGTCTCTCTGGCTTACTGTAGCTCTCCTGGGATTTAAAAGAGGGCATATTTGGGGAATGTGATGGCTGCATTCTCACCAGCCCTGTGTCAGCCAACAAATGCCTGCCAATAGCACAGTAGCAACAGGAGATGACAAGCAGTGGCAGCAGAAAGGCCAGAACAATCTTCGAACACACCAGAATCATATCCAAGGTATGATTAGGATAATTGATCACACAGGCTAGCACTCCTATCTCCTCAAAATAGTGCAGCTTCCTCAGATACAAGTAGGGGGCTGAGCAAGCAAATGCCAGCACCCACACAAGGATGCATGTCAGCCGGGCACGTTTGGGGTCTCGTGCACTCTGCGAACGGAGCGGATGCACAATTGCCAGGTAGCGGTCCACACTCATGCTTGTGATGAAGAAGATAGATGCATACAGGTTGAGATGAAGGAGAAATCCACAAACTTTGCAGGCCACCAAGCCAAAGGGCCAGTTGTAGCTGTGTGAGTAGTAGACGGCCCACAGCGGGAGAGACAACAGGAAGAGCAGGTCGGACACACAAAGGTTCAACATGAATGTGTTTGCTACAGTTCTCCTTGAGGCGCTGCCATGGCCCAGCACACACACTGCCAGGGCGTTGGCTATTGTTCCCAGCACGCATATAACACTATAAATGACCGGGATGGCCGTGGTCATGGGCACATGGGACCAGTCTGAGCAGTTAAGAGTAGAATCAGCCGTAGAGGTGTTGTCATAGGTGATTGTTGTTGAATACAGTGGAGAGGTGGAGTTGAAAAGAGAGGGGCCATTTGGGATTGCCATTTTAAAAATGGATATTCCGTTGTGTCACACAATTTGACTTCCCTCCTTTGAGTTATCCAAGGTCAGCTGAAAATAAGAGAGGAACATTTTAGATTCAGCTGCCTTTTACGGACAAGAAAGATTTCCAACACAGCAATCCTTGGTTGGCGTCAGTGTTTATTAGCTTTCCCACTTGATAACTAATCACAGCAAAAATACATTACACCATTCTTGAAGTTTGGCAGTAATGAAATACATATGAAGGGGGTGTAATGATCCGACTACTTAATGGATTCCTCAGAAAAGTCTATTTTGTATAAATGGCTGCAATAAGTTTTTGAGACATCCATGATTTAGATGGGGGAAAAAGTGTCAATTTAATTTGAGATTTAGTACTCGAGTGGGACCTCAAGAGTCAATTAAATTGTTCGTGGGCACAAACTGTCCAGCTCATACAGAGAGTAAATAAGTAATAACAGACAGCAGACAATCTGCAGTTTAAGGGAAAACAGCATATAGAGATCATGTCAAGACAGAAGAAACACAAATGTAAACTCAAGCTGATTCCTTTATACATCAAACCAGAGTCTGCAAACAATTTCAGTGTATTCAAAGAATTCATTTTACCTTGAGAGGTTGAGCCAAAAAGTCCAAAAAGTCAAGAAGTTTTCAGTGTGTCTTTTGGCCCAAATCCATTCCTTGACAATTGCTCTGCAACCCTAAGAGACTGCACAGCTGAGTTCCCCTCACCAGAACATGCCTCTGTGTCTGTGTGTGTGGAGAAGACAAGCTGGAGACTCTGAGAAACCAGATGAGGTTGGGGGTCTTATAGGCCCCAAGAGTCTCTTGATGATTGCACAACAGGGAAGTAACTTACACGTCACACCTCCAGAACCAAGGGGCTGGACTGTACCTGGACAAGAGCCAGAGAGGGAAAGAGACACAGAGAGAGAGAGGGAGGAAGCTGTTTTCTGTTTTTCATTTTATTCCTGCTTTTTTTCCTTCCTCACAGCTTCTTGTCCAGATGAGGCCAAAACTTAGAAATCAAGTCAAGATGTGTGTAAAAATAGTTGTATCTCCAGTGACTGCAAACACGCAGCCAGTGTTGTACCTGACTTTAACGAACTTGATATCCCTGTATTTCATGAGTCATACTTAAAGTTCTGACTGTCCTCATCAGGGTCTCTGACCCATGCAACCAAGGCTCTGTGTTAATTAGCAGAGTCTTGTACTTAGTGTCATAGTCGTCCTACCAGCGGTCAGATAAGCCATGGGAAATATTTACTCTGTTTCAGCGGAAGTCAAGCCTGCCACTGGGGCAAAGGGAGCGAAGGGGAGGCATAGTGTAGAAGATGGATGAGGAGGAGGATGAGCAGATACTGCAGGGAGTGAACGAGGAGATGAGGAGGAGAGATGGAGAGAAGAAGGAGTGAGAGAAAGTGGAGATTCCCTTCAGTGATTTTTCATTAAAGCCTCTGGTGAAAGTTAATGAGGGATGTGTACAAAGCTCTGAGACTGATTACATCACAGCTCCTTTGATCAACGGTGGGAGCATGCTCTCCCCATGTGTGCGTGTGCTTCTATGCTTCAATACTTGTGCAACTGGCTGTACTTAATCTCATCCTGGCATGCATGCATTGATGCAGTGAGCTTGTCTATGTTTACATGTGTGTTCGGATGTACGTGTATGCTCTGTGCTCCACTGAGTATCTATCAGTTTATGACATGTTATAATAGCCGTGGGAACAGTGCCGGTGAGGATGGCGGATGACAACAAGATTGCAGCGGATTCTGAAGGCTGCTATGACAAACTGGGTCAATATGGCTAAAAACTATAAAAATGGCGGCTATGCTTTCCAAGATGGAAACTTCATAATGCAGTGTTCCTGCACTGGCATGATGGGTATGCACAGTTGTTCCCACACACACCCACTGAAGCCAAAGGGCTTTGAGTCGTCACATGGCAACTAAAAACTGAAATTCATGGTGTGATGTCAGCCAAGTCAAATAGAGAGCGAAAGGGGGGAAACAGACCCAAGTAGGCAGGAGAATAAATCCCTGTTTAGTTGCACTTATTAAATCCAATAGTTAATTATTCACAGTGAGATTACACTCTGAAAGAGGTCATTCTGTCAAAGATTTTTAAGGCAGCAGCTCACATTGATCATCATTAGGGCCTAAAATGTGCTATTGCTGTCTGCTTCAGGCCAGATTTTGAATTAGTTATCACAAATGTTCAAAATAAAGCTTCTTGTTACATAAGTTCTCAGCATGTACTTTACGTAAGTGTCCAATAGGTCCTACTTTCACTTGTTTTATCTCGCATAGCCATGCTTTGACCTTTGTCGACTCACTGTATCATATCTTCAGACAATCAATGCAAGCGGCTTGTTAATGCCGACACAATATCCGTTCTAATGACATTCTTGCCATTTAAATCTTTCTTGTTGTAACTCTGCTTCTGAATTTAAAATAAGCTCTCTCTTTGGGTGTTAAAAGCGCAAATGAAGAGGCTGAGTGATGAACAGTTTGAGAATGTGTGGGAGTGTGTGTCCCTGTGTGTGTTTGTTTGATGATCTAAACACAAAGATTTAGTAACAGGCAGCGTCTGTACAGGCAGCAGATAAGAGGAGCGATAGAGCAGAGAGCATCAAACCTTAACTTCCATCACAGCCCTTTCTGGACATCTATCTCCCGGCCAATTATTTTTTCACAGTTTTCATTTTTTTCTGGAATAAAAGCATGACATGTCTTTTTTTTTCTCTGCAAATGTAGTTTGTCAAAAGTTTACTTTCCTTTCCTCTGGGCTCATTATCAAGATATATAATTATTTTATGTCTGAGTGTTCCTGCTACTAAAAGATATAAGATACCAGCAGTCTGCAGAACAACAAACATATCACAGCTAATATGTGAGCATTATGTCACAAATGTTTACATTGAGCAGAGTCTAAACTTACATGAGAAAAACAAGAGGAATCGTGTGGATTGGATCACAAGCACAAAGTGTTTACATGCAGTGACACACACTCAAATTTAGCTGAGGAAGATGTGCATAAGTACACATCGTATAGACGTACAGTGTTCACAGTTCCTCTGAATTGCTTACATAACTGTGATGTTTATAATTTTACTGATAAATGTGCTATGTGTTTATTCGGTAGTGGGCTCTTTCCTCACTGCCTGGACCCTGGGAAGATAACCACCACAAACCATGGCCGTCTCAAAGTCCTCTGTGGAAAATCAGGCTCCTGGGGGGTGAGAGGTGAAAGGTCAGGGCTGTGAGCCCCACTTCCTCACTGCTGGTCAGGAAAAATCTGAGAGAGGGAGCTCTGGACGACATGACAGAGTCCAGCCTGGTATTAGTTCTCAGAATATAATCATAGCTGTTTGTGTGGGATGCTGCGAGGAAGGGCCCCATATGTGTAGGGGACCCTTGAGAGAGGTGAAATGAGGCTATACTTAGCTTTACATCTTATGAAACCTTCAACACTGGCCCTCTGCTTATAGAAACAAGACATCCGTGTAAGAGGGGAAGATTGCAGAGATCTCCAGCATTTGCTGTCTTTGTGCTCTGTTCTATTTTCACTTTAGTCAATATGTTCCATGTGGTTTTATTAACTCTGTTGGCAAATGATGATTCCAGGAGATGAAGTTTGTTCCTGAGAATTTTTGTCTACAAAACATCACAGCCTCTCTTGTTATGGTCCCATAACCCCACAACTCAAACCACTGGCACAAACTGAAGCTCTGATGCCACAGGAATCTTTGCCCCTATGTGTTTTTTTTCTTTTTTACTCTGATGGATGAGCGAGAAGAAGGATGAGAAAGTACTGGCATCTAATTGTTCTGACATCCTCCTGTCTTAAACACATGTGAGCATGCACAAACACATAGACACACACCGGGTCCCATGGGTGAAGCCTGGTCAGCCTCATGCAGAGTTTATGAGGTCCAGGCAGCTCGGGTTCCTCTGAGGAGCAGTAAAGAAGCTATAAAGATGTTAACAGATAGCCCAGTCCCTCTGTACACTCTGAAATAAGTAGAAACATGTGGCACTAAAAATGCTTTTAAGTATACGTGACACTCCCGGGGTAAACAAACTGTTCCATGATGAATATTTGTTCATTTGTACTGTACTTTTGTTTCAGGAATCCACAAGGACAAGGTCACTTAGGACCAGATTTACCATCCGTTTCACAGTCTCTACTGAGGACCAGAGGAGAGGTTAGATTTTGAGGAAAGAGTGATGTTACACGTAACAAGACCAAAGCCAAGATTACTGTATCATTAAAGTCACTCTAGCAGCTGCTAGACAGTTGGGTCAGAGGAACTTTGAGCGACATAATTACATCTACTCATGTTCTCTAAACTGGGTGGTTAATTTACTTTTTGGAGCAGTTTTTTAAAATTGTAATTTTACTTGTATGGAAGTCTTTCTATGAAAAGTATTGCACTTTGGTGTATTGAAGATAGCATCAGTTACTAAGTACAAAATAGCTCATTGCCCAGTGTCTACACTGCAAAAAAAAAAAAAAAAAAACCTCACAACTTTTGAAGTGAATTAATCTCATTTTTTTCTCAAAATATTTTATCACAGTGAATTTGAGCTTCATTGACCCGACGGGGCTAAAAATAAATCTTGTTATAAGATGATTCAAGCCAAGTTAGAATATGTATTACATCATGTTTCAACAAACTTTTGGAGGACTTTTTACGCTTTTTTTTTTTTTTTTTTTTTACTTGTTACAGTTGATCAAATCCTTATTTTTTGGCTTGTAATACCAAACAGCCCTGCACAACCAGCCAGGCCTGATGTTTTAAAGGGACTGTCTACAAAGTGCAATACTAGCCAAAGATGTAAAAATAATAATTTCAGCTTGAGTAGGTGCAGAGTCAAAACAACCTCACACACAATAATGCTGCCGTTTACCACAACTCCATCCACATCAAAAGTTAGTACTCAGTACTTTAAGCATATTTCAAATGAAGTACTGTTATTTAAGTAGATTTACAGAGAGATAGTTTAACTTTGAAATGTCATTGAAGTAACTGTAGTTTAATTTTAGTGGGATACTGTAGTGCCCCAGCTACCCTGATAGCTATCTGTCATATATCTTAGGTTAGTCCGTCAACATGTTAGCATTATCCTATTAGCATTAAAGAAAGCTCTTCGGAAACTGATGAGAAGTCTGTGTTTTAAAAACCAAAACATCCGAGATAATAAATGTAAATCTGATATTGTTTAGACCACATCAGTTCTGAATCATTCAGAAGGCGTCCAGCAGATATTTAGCTATTTCGAAGAATAAGTTCAGACCCTGACCTGTTCATGGCACATCACAGATAGTCAGAAAATCACTGGAGTCCAGTGAATTGAAACAATAAAGGCGTTTCATTATCTGTACCTTTTGCTTTAGAGCAATTTGCATTGTAGTTGAAATATTTTATGATGGGACTCACTGTCAGACCAGCGGTCCATTATTAGAGCTGGTGGGCTGGCATGTTTTGAAGAGTTTATTTTGATATCAAGCTTTTATTTCTCATTGGTTAGAGTAAGCGGGCCTGCAACAGTCCTGCTGGTCAGACTGATGTCTGAACTATACTTTGCCAAACCTCTCAGCAGCATTAACCTTATTGTAGCAGATCACAGATACTCACTAGAAATATGTTTAACTACATTACTGACAGGCTGTTGGCTCTTTTTTCTTTTGATTCATTTCTATATTTTCAACACTAAGTTATTGTATCATGAAAAAATGACACTAATGATGGCACATCATCTTAACACACCAAAACATTACTTTGAAAGTGTTGGTAAACTATTGGTGAAAGACACCAGGTTTCATGATCTTTGTGAGCACAAAAGACTTTAATTAATTATTCAAATCGGTTGATTGTTGTCACAGTGATAGTTTTTCATTGGTTGTAAGATTATAAAAACTGAGACTCCATTGTCATGAGACAGAAACAGAGATTTTGTTTTGCCGTCAGTCATGAGCCAATCATTTCTGTAAGGAGCTCAATGATGCTCAAATGACAGAGTTGTAATTGTTGATAATACAGAACACGGCTTTAATTGTAAGTATCCAGATTAGAACAAAATACAACATAAAACCATGAAAATATAAATTTATTTTTGGTTTTAAACAACTGAGAAACATTTCTGATGAAACAAATGGAGCTGCACTGGTCCATCTTGTAATCATTACCAGCACATGTGCAGTATAATTTCATAACAATGCAGTGGGCTCATTCACAGTAAATAAAAGCACCATGCATTCATGACTCCGGCGGCTGTCCCGGGTTATCCAGTAATTGTTAAATGACACATGCAGATAGTAAATTTCACAATCTGCCATCTGTGATTCGAAAGGCTTGCTGTGGGAGGATTGTTTTTCCAAGTTACTGCCCTTCTACATAACTCCATTCGCTTCTGTGTGCGGGAATTCATTCCATTACTCAAACAGCAAACTCAGTTAAAGCTCCTCAGAAATATGAATCATGTGGGCTGAAGAAATGAAAGTGAAAATCTGAAGGAGACTTTCTTAACCTGCTTGCCCCCAAAATGGCCTATTTATACTGCACTGTGATATAATGTTGGTATCTGAATAGGTTACAAGACGGCAGTGTGGGAATGAGATTTCTTCCTGAGGCTGGCTGTGGTATTTTAGCTGCGTGTGCTGTACAGGTCGTCATCCTCTGGGCTAGACTGGCCAAAGTCCATCAAAGCCGGGTCAGGCTTGAAACCAGAGCCCCCTGGAGGGCAGAAAGAGAAATGCATCACACTTTGAGTCAAAGGTTTAGAAGTAAAACATTGCAAAATTCAAAGGATTTAGCTAAAACCCAAAAGATATGAAGAGTACCAATGTCAAAGCCAGAGTGTCCTGCAATTTCCATTTGATTCAAAATCACAATAACCACCAAATCTTCCTGGAATATACTGAATTTCAAGATATCTGGATATAGTGAGACTTATCCATTCATGTGTGGAGCTGTTTTCCTATGAGACCGTGGTTATTTTGAGTAAAGAGACACATTTTCACGCAACAGTTTTTCCTGAGTGAAATATGGTGCCCTGCAGTATGAGATCACTGTATTATTGCTCCTCTGCTTGGATTAAAACCTTGCTGTTCAGAACATTTCAAACTGCGTGCTCCAACACATTGCTCAAGTTTTCAAAGTGCACACATCCAAATGTTGACTCTGGCGGCATTACATAAGATTCCTCCCATGATTTATTCGGTGAATATTATTCTAACTCCTCCACTTCTGAATCTGTCAGACTGCTGAATATATAGATGTGTTTCTCAAAGAGGAGAGGCTCGTGTGTTGGGCTGAGAGTGGCTCAGGGGCAGTTCGAGCGACACATGATCTACAATTTCAACATCTTGCCATTTTTTTTCAAAGCATGCTGCACTGTCCTTTTCAAAACAAAACTAAAATCTTCTGCGGATGTCATATTGACATAACATTAGCACTAGTACTCCTTTCACAACACTTCTAATGATAAATTAATTCACAGACAAGAAAGAAGCATGGATATTTTCAACTATTAAAAAACAATCTCACGCATTTTCAAATTTTAAGTCCTAAATTGATGTTAAAATTATCTTTACAAAGAAATACAAACATACTTTTACAGTACAGGTTTCTATAAGTCTACTCAAGATACAAACGGTATGTTTAAGGACACTGACAATCATGTGATCACACTCAAGCTTGTCGAAAGACATCAAACCCAGATGTTTCGATTTTCTGGTGATGGATGGGACAGATGTGTGTGTTTGTGAGTGTGCGCTCAGGACAATCATGTCCAACAAACAAAGCGGCACAATGGAGGGAGCGCAGAATGGGCTCAGTACCTTGGTTGTTTTCCACTGTAGGCTGTAGAGGAGATGATGCTGTTGGTGTATCTTCAGCTGCAGCTGTGGGGTCAGATGGTTCAACAGCTGGCACTGTTTATGGGTCAAAACACAAACCAGGGTCAATAGCAGAGGCATAAACAGATGTGTTTCCACCTTAATACAAGCTATGATTACGTTGTACAAATATCATTATTCGTAGGAATGTGTGGAAAACTTTGATTGGCCGTAAACATCACATATATAAATTTGAGGTCTGTTCTGCTAAGAAGTTATTCAAAATAATTTTTTGGGACTTCCCAATTAGTTTTCCTCAGTAGTGACATCAGCTTTATCATTTTTAAAGGAGGTTTTAAAGAACTACTCTTCCATTCTCTTCAAACAACTTTGAAAGATATTTCACTTTCAAACCATCAGCCAGGCTAAGGGAGCAAATAAGTTCAGGCAAAGTTTTTTCATTACTGGTATATTTTCTGCTCTTTGACATTATGAGGCAGACAACATCTGGTACCTAATGGTGCATCTGCGGCCTCTGGAGCAGGAAGTTCTTCAGAGGTGGGAACAGAGTCAATTGGAACAGCCTCTACCGTATCAGGCTGGGATGGAGCTGATTCCACTGGAGAAGGCTCAACCACAGCAGCTTCAACCTGAGCAGACTCTACTGGAGCAGACTCTACTGGTGCGGCCTCCACTGGAGCAGACTCTACAGGAGCGGCCTCCACTGGAGCGGCCTCCACTGGAGCAGACTCTACTGGAGCGGCCTCCACTGGAGCAGACTCTACAGGAGCGGCCTCCACTGGAGCAGACTCTACTGGTGCGGCCTCCACTGGAGCAGACTCTACTGGAGTGGCCTCCACTGGAGCAGACTCTACTGGTGTGGCCTCCACTGGATCAGACTCTACAGGAGAGGCCTCCACTGGAGCGGCCTCCACTGAAGCAGACTCTACTGGTGGGGCCTCCACTGAAGCAGACTCTACTGGTGCGGCCTCCACTGAAGCTGCCTCCACTGGAGCAGACTCTACAGGAGAGGCCTCCACTGGAGCGGCCTCCACTGAAGCAGACTCTACTGGTGCGGCCTCCACTGAAGCTGCCTCCACTGGAGCAGACTCTACAGGAGAGGCCTCCACTGAAGCTGCCTCCACTGGAGCAGACTCTAAGCTCGGTGTTGGCTCAGCTGAACTGACATCAGTGGATGCGTCCTCGGCTACTTGCTTTGTGCCAGCGGGTTCACTTTCAACAGGTGCTGGCATTTCCTCTGATGTTATGGTGGTTTCTGTCTCGACTGGCACTGAATGTACCACTGGATCTGTATAGACAGAGGGGACACCGCCTATCATCAGTAGAAGCCTTTGTGTGATTGTGTGTGAAACAAAAGAGATTGAGACACAGAAGGAGGCGGACAGAGATCAATATCTATAACACCTGTATTGGCCTCTGTAGAGGTCTGGTCTGGTGATATCTCTGGGAGTGTGACTGATGACTCCTTGTCTGTTACAACGGCAACAATAGGATCTTCAGAGATGGGAACAGGCTCAGCTGATACTGCCTCTTTCTCAGGGATTGAAGAGCTCAGGACTGGGTTGCTCTCTGGAGGTTCAGTTACCACAGCAGACTCTGGATTTGGCACAGGAGCTGCCTACCATAACAGAAAAAAAAGTGTTAACTTACTGAGCATTTTATATGTAGCTGGAACTTAAAAGCAAAAGACTGTACAGACTGTTTAACAGTTGTCTTTGTTTTTATTCAAAGCAATACCTTTGACTTTTGACTCCATATAACTACATTTGAAGTATTACAAAGGAAAAAACAAGGGCAGTCTCTAACCCTCTGAGAGACAGTTGGCGGTTTCTTGAGCAAATTAATAATGTTGAGCGGAAATCATTCGTGGGAAGAAAGCAGCTGCTTTTTAGTCACTGCCACATACTGAAAACACCCTTGCAGCTCTTTTACTTACAAACAAGTGCTTACACTTGTACATTTGATACAGTAAGACTGCTAACCTCTGGCTGTGAGGCAGCAACTTCTTTGGCAACGGGCTCCTTGGGCTTTGAGGTGAACAGTGAAGACACGGCAGCGCCACTCCACTGGCCTGCAGCATACACCTTCTTACTCGTCACCTTGTATGAAAAAAAAAACAACAACAACATTGTGTTGAACACTGTGTTTGTACCTGATTTCAGAGATGTCGGCATTCAAAAACAGTGGTTGTTACCTTCAGCACGGCCACAGCTTGGGCCGGGTAGCACACTGAAGCCCCAGCGCTCATCAGACCCATCGGCACAGCTACTCTCTTGAAACGAGATCCTAAAATAAAGTTTATCATGAAGATTGGCAGTTGAAGTTGGCACAAGTTAAACCCTGGAGAACAGCTTCATCTGGAAAGGTTACATACACATGACCTATTGTGACTTGTTTAAACTAACAGTGACGCAGATTTACACAACCCTCCTTCCAACCCTGTCTGACCCAAGACCAGACATTTTCTAAATTAAGTAGGTGACTTTGTTAGGAGTAAAGTACTTTAGGTAAAGAAGCTATCGCTGAAGTTTTGATCAAATGTTTCCAAAACAAAAACAGAAAGAAAAACTGAAAGAAGAGAAACTTAAAGACAGAAATTTGACTTTGTGCTGCTCTTCTTTTAACCTCTGTGGTTCATCAGTGAGGTTTGTAATGTGGTCTGTACATGCACGTAATCAGTGGGTGGGGGGTGGGTTTCCATGTCCGGGGAATGCTACAGTGTGAAAGTAGTGATGTTTTATACAGTATATGACAAACAAGTTTCAGCCCCAGACCTCAGAGCAATTAAAAATAAAAATCTAATGTTTTCAAAAATGATGCTGTTTTTCTTTGAAAGAAAAAAAAAGGTAACTTTTCTGACTTTTTTCCTTTATTTGGAGAGGGCAGGACAGTGGACGGGTTAGGAAACAGGGAGAGAGAGAGAGCCGTGAGTGACATGTGGTAAAGTAGCCACAGGCTAGAAAAGAACCCAGGCCGACTGCTGAAGTCATAACCTCTGTATATGGGCACACGTACAGACCGCAAAGCCAGCTACAATTGTGTTCTACAGAAGTAACATTTATAAAAGGGCATGTCAATTTGAATGAAAGTGTTTTTTTTTTTAAGTTTTCCAAAAATATAGTGATAATATTGTCGTCATGATTCTTTTCTGCCATAATAATCATGAGGGGAAAATGTGATTTCATGCCAGCCCTTGTTCAGACTCTAAAACTTCATATTGCTTTGCTGTTGTGCTACACTTGTTAGCATAATCATCGAATGATGTGAAGGTTATTAGCTGATGTGAGGTTAAGTATTGTGATATATCAGGACTATCTGACTATATGCATTTTAATACTGTTTCTGTTGCAATTAGATTGTGGGGTGGGAATGAGGGGTTGGGCTGGGGTTGATTTGGGTATTCTTTTAATCTTGGGTTGGGGTAAATTTGGGTATTCTTTGTTTTTTTTATTCCTTTTTCTGTGTGAAACACTTTGTGCTACATGTTATGTATGAAAAGTGCTATATAAATAAAGACTGATTGATTGATTGATTGATTGATTTATGGTGATTTACTTTCACTGTAACACCGTCATAATTCATTCACTGTTTACATATGAAAAACTGTTATTCCCAGTAAGTCTTTTGATGTATTAACAGGGGATCATTTTACCTTTCCGTGCCAAGAACATGCCGAGCAGGCCAGCCATTGTGATGGTGCCAAATCTGGGTAGAAACCCCGGGGGAGGGTCTTTCAAATAATAATACACATCTGGAAATCAGACAAACACAGTAAACATGATGATGAACATTCTCTGGGATAACCGCAAGTCTGACCTTTTGCTTATATTGTTGGATTAGTTTGAAAACTAACTGTATTACAGTAAAAGCTGTGACGCATATAACTGCATTATTGAGAGATCGTGTGAGATGTTCCAGCTTCATCACGCACGTCACAAATTCTCCATCCCACGTAATAGGAGTTGCGTATTTACAATCTAACCTTACATGATAGTAATTTATCAATAATACCAATAAATTTAGGGTGTCGAAGTTTATGTTAAAAACAAACACCGCAGTGACACCAAAACTGCACATCAGTCTCGTGTCTGACTGCTTTGTAATTGTAGAGATGACAGATAACTCAGTTTTAGACTTCCAGAGGCGGAGGATATTACGTTTATTAGATGCTTTCAGGTACCCACTGATGACTCACCCTCTCCAGCGTGGTATAGATTAATAGTCCCAGTTTTAACAGACACATAGGCACCCTGTCAAAAACAAAAGGAAAGAGCTGAAATCACCCACTACAAGAAACCACAAAAACTTCACTTTCCAGACATAAATGAATTACAAGCGTATGAAACCTTGTGTGGTGTTTCCTCATCTTTCATGTTATCAAACTCTAACATCTCCTTGCAGCAAACCTAAAAGCTTCAGCTGCAACTGCACGAACGCGACTTCCTGTCTAACTCCTTTGCAAAAATTGTATCTGCACCGAGCACATGCAGTACATGGGATTGTGCTCTGTAACCACAATCAAGAGGAACAAAAATCAAGGTTGGAAAACTGACACTGCAGGTGCAAGATCAGACGTCTTTATAGTGTTTAGCTTTCGTTCCATTAACATAACACTTACTTACGTGTTACGTGTTCTGGGCTCATATTGGTTTTCAGTGTGTCAGACAGAGTGTGAAAGAATGAGTAATTTCTCAGGGCTGTTGTCAGTGAATTTCACTCTGTTATCTTCATGCATGGACGCACAGCAAAACCTTCATACCTTAACAGCTTGGGCAACTGGTAGTATGCCTTCTCTTGTTGTAGTAAACCCGCTCTGAATTAAACCTGGTTCCTCTGGGACAAACTGAGCTGGGGCAGACTGCGGCAGTGGGGTGTAGATATTCAGCTGGGGACAGAGGCAGAATCAGTGGGAGGATTATGATGTATGTCAGTTCAGTGAGCGGCAGTAATTTCTCTGATTTAAAGGGATATTCCGGTGTTAAATTAATTTAGGGTCAAACACCATAACACAGAGTTAGACACCCCCTCGAGAGATGAATGTTACTGACCGCTTGCTTCTCTATATGTACTGTTAATGAAGTTAGGTGCTGTTTTGAGCATTATTTGTGGCTATAGAGTGGCGTTTTGGTTGAAGTTTGTGTGTGGCTCCTCAGACCGCTGTGTTTTGCTATCGTGCGGTTGTTACTAAAGTTGGTGAAACTACAGAAGCAAGTGGTCGGTAACATTAATCTCTCGAGGGGGTGTCTAACTCGGTGTTACGGCGTGTTTGACCCTAAATCAATTTTATGCCAGAATATCCCTTCGAGATGTTCTGAAATGGCCTCACCTTTTCTCGAGTCACGAGCCCATCAGTTGAAGCTTCACTCACAGTGTACACACGGATGGAGGCTATTCCCAGCACTGTCGGGACGGCCACAAGGGCCACCTACAGATTAATAAGAAGACAACAAAACCAGTATGTAAAAACACTCAGGTAAGAGAATTCTAGTGCTCATGTTTTCATTTGAATAAAGATATATGACAGTAATTGGTGACTTAATCTGTCATTATGCCAAAATCATATAGTTAATATTATATTTCTGGACCTTTGAAGCACACTTCTGTAGGTTCTATATCCTAAACCTTTCACAAAGCATATAGATCATAAACACTCACGAACGCTGAATAGGCCCCCTTTTTTGTCAGGTCTGTAAGAACCCAGCCCTGACCTGAAAGCCACAGACTCTGCTGGACCTCTGTGGAATTATCTGGCATCAAAATGTCAGCAGTAGATCCTATAAGTCTTGGAAGCTGTGAGCTCCAGCCTCCACTGACCTAACTTAGCTGTCCAAATCCCACAAACGTTCAGATGGAGTGTGATCTGGGGTATTTAGAGACCAAGTCAAAGCTGTTGTGTGCCCTCTTGGCTTCCAGTACTTTGTGGTCCAGTTCTGATGTTCTACTGTCCACTATTGGAGCTTATAGCAGTGGTCAGGGTCTACATGGGCACCCTGACTCATTTACAGATACACTTAACTTTGATACACTTTGTGTGTTCTGACACTTTTCTACCATCTTTTACAGCAGCTTGAGCTCCAGTAGCTGTTCTGTTTTACCAAACCACGTCAGTCCCCACACCTGTCTCCAGTTTCCTGAAAGAAACGGATCCTTGTAGACCAACAGGAACGCCCATACGAGCTGACGTGTTATGGATGTTCTGACCCAGTCTCATGAGTTTAACTCTTATCTAAATCACTCACATCCTAACACTTGACCAATTTTTCTTTTTTCTTCTGCTTAAACTCGAGGACAAAATGTTCTCTTACTGCCTAACAACTCCCACCTCCTAGCAGGAGTCACTGTAAATAGATAAGTCAACACTGAGGCTCGTGCTGTGCACACACTCTGGTTAGCGAGGCTATCTTATTACAGCCTTACGCGTCTGGACAGCGCCACACAGTTCATGTTAACACTATCGGGTCCGGGGCAGTTACCTTAAACGTTACACCCCAGAACTCATTCAAAATATTCACATTATATATCTGAAAACTTTGCCGAAGAGAAAATGTCAAACGTTCACCTTGGCCGCCATGACAGCGCTCCCCCTTCTTCTTTAGGCTCTGGGTCGGCAGCTCCCAAGCAAGGACCTCTACTGCCACCTAGTGGACTGGAGACGAAGCTGCATCCGGCAGGCATGTCCACACAGTGCTCTTGATTTAATGCGATTAAAATAAGAACAGTCTGATCAAACTTATTAAAAAAAGATATTTTTGCTTTTCAACTTGCTAGTAGAGGGTCTGACTTTTCCATTATCAGCGATTGTTTTCTATTTGGGACAATGGGTGAGAGGTGGTTATACTCATAGACTATATACAGTCTATATGGTTATACCTATAAAAGCTCCAGACCACAAAGCTCTGGGTTTATCACCATTGTCTGTCTTTTAGTTATTTTATTGACATTTACTTAAGCAGACATAAAACTATCAGTCTGTTTATCTACTCAAGTAGGGGAGACCGGGGCTTGTTGTCACACTTTTTACATCCTTATATATTTCTTGCAATCAATACATCATATATAAGCAAAATGTGTACCAGATGAAAGACCAAAGTCTCAGGTATTTATTTCGCATTCATGTCATTTTCATATCTTGTGTCAGTGCAGCGTTATAAAAAATCAAATAGAGAGTGTGAACATGTGACATGTTGCCCCACCATCGGGTAAGTTGTCTCACTACATGGGGTAAGATGTCACAGTGGATTTTGCAGCTAATAAAACAAGGACAGAATTACTGTTGTTCTCATTTTTTTTACATGAAAGTGAACATCAAAGTCACGCACAGAAAATGTTTATTATTGGGCTAGAAAAAGTCATTGAACATGGCCATTGAACAAATGTTAACATAGAATATTGACTAACCCTCAGTTTAATGTCAGGCACTGTTTTTCTTTTGTAATTCTTGACCACGTCTTCTCGCTTTCTCCTCTCCTTTAAACCACTCTTTTTTTCTGCAAAAGTAAAGTAAAAATTTCTGTATGTCAACTGCTGATAAGCAGACTCTCTGTTAATTTTAATCCCTTTTAAAACATGTAACAACTAACCCCAAAATAACTGAGACATGCTCCCCCAAACTACCATGTTTGCTAAATCTTGCTCTATCTTAAAGTTAGCTTAAAACAGAACAATGACTGAGGTATGACAGGATGTCTTAATCTCTCTTCTAACAAGTCCACATGTTTCACTGCTTGGAGTTTTATCTGGAAGAAGCTTATTTTAAAATATATAAAGTTATTTTTTTTTACTTTGGGTTGTGCAAAATGGTTAATTGACACTCAGCTCAGCTCACAATGTGCTCTTCTCTTCTCAGACAGGACACGACCCCTAACCATGTAAAGGAAAAAAACTAGTATTCCACTTTTTTGTTGCGCCCTCTGGTGACAAAGATATTTGCAATGTGACAACCATAGACTGTATATAGAATGGACAGATGCTGCGTCCGAATTGCCCTCTCGCATACTACATACTACTGCTAGATCCTACTCCTACATACTAAACACGTTGGCCAAATTCGGACACACTACACGAGCGGTGGGGAAAGACGACCCCCGCAGGCAGAGAGTAGGTACTGCGCCCGTGCAGACCGTTTTAGACTCTTTGAATGGTAATTGTGCAAGTGATGGATGCTGCTGTATTATATTCCTGCACTGCTTTAGAAATTCACAAAGTAGCTTTTCCATTACTTTTAGCCTTCATTCACTCACGTGGTGATCGTTTGTTCCATGAGATCTGCCTGATTACTGCAGCTGTGCAGTTTAATGATGGAATAAGTGAGCTTTACCTCCATGATGTCGCCACATATTTGCTCATAAAATGATTACTTGGGCAAATATGACGCCATGATATGACAAAGAGATACAACCGCACATTTTTTGGGACAGTGTGTGAAGTTACATGAAACTTACATCTGTACTGCTGCGGTCCTGCCTGCTGCTGCTGCTCCGCCATGGGAGCATGGGCGCTGCTGTGGCCAGCCGGCGTTCACGACGCATCTAAATAGGCAGCAGCTGGTGGCGCTAGCATCACATGCGCTTCTACAACTTTAAAGAGGACGAAGAAGAAGCCCGCGGTGCATTTTGGGTCAGTAGCATGCCCGTAGGATGCACCGCGACCATCCTACAATGTGGGCGTGTCTAGTATCTGAAGTAGTATCTGAAGTAGCATGCAACTCACTCCGGTGGCCAATTCGGACATGCTACATACTACTTCGACTACTACTTCGACTACTACTTGGCAATTCGGACGCAGCAGGAGTCTGCCTCCTCGCTGGATGAAGCCACTCCGACAACAGCACCCTCTGTTGATGGGCTGCAGTATAGGTCATAAATCCCGCCTCCACCAGCACCAGCTCAAGTCCTCTTTTTTCTGTGAAGCTCCGTTTTTAAAAGTTATTAGGGGGTTCACGTTTTCTATGATTGACACCTGGTACAGCCTATGGGCGTTCAGGGATTGCGTAGCTCCCGGGGGATACGCTGTTTGAGCTGAGCGTCATCACAGCGACTCTCTGCGACTGCGCGGCCCAATGCGCGCATCGCTACTGCGCAGAGCTGGTTTCAGGAAATGAAGAAAAATCCTGGAAATATCGAGAGCTATTTGGCTTCAAATCCGTATACAGGCGGTAGGCGGAACCAGGTTGTCCATAGTATATACAGTCTATGGTGACAGCTTACCCATGTGACAACAAGCTCCGGTCTCCCCTGATAGTTAAAATAAATCTAATTCATCAGACATTTACTTGATATACTGAATACTGAGTACTTTAAGCAAAATAGTGAGGGTAGGAGGAGTAGGATGTGTTCCCCAAGTCATACAGAAGCACATCTTCCCAATCAGATAAAAGTAATAAAACTAACAGCATTTATGTGATAAGCGATATTGAGTCTGCACATATCCAGGGTGAAGTTAATTGCTTTTGCAGCATCTTTTACAAGCATCGCACTTTGTGGATGGTCCCTGCACATAGAAGTCATGGCTGGCTGTGCAGAAAGGGTTGTTATCATGAGCCAAAAGTAAGGATTTAACGGAGCGTGCTGCCAAAAGTTTTATAAAAACAGATGTAATTTGTGTTCCTAGGAACCTATTATGAAACCTTTGGCTTGAAATATCTTGAAACCATTTTTTTATTTGGCTTGTCAGGTTATCATAGCTTAAACTGTGTGGAAATTCCCCTTGTGGGACTAAAAAAGGAGTGTCTTATCTTATCTTAATGAGATATCTTCAATGGAAATGAGACAAATCGACCTGGTAAGGTCAGAGATTTTGCAGCGTAGACATCATCCAGTTAGCTGGCTTACATGCAGCCAACTGAACTCATTTATGTTTTAATTTTTTACTCAGTGACCGATACCATGTTAAGGTAGAAAAGTACAAAACTTTAGTGGCCTTCTGCTTTGTGAGAGAACCGTTGCACTTTAAACATAAACACAGAAAACATCGTAGAACCATTCTAATATCTTCAAGAAAAGAAACGTACAAACAAAACATATCTCATAGTGCAGAGGATTCAGTTTATTGAAGTCAAAGTTAACAACTTAAGTTTACAATCTGTATTTTCTGTAATATATATTCATATATATGAAACCAAAAAAGGCTACTTTAGGAAGAATAAATGTCATTTTCTTTCTTTTTTAATATCATCTTTAGTCAGTTTAATGTACAGAATAACAGTAAGCTAATAGTATCCTTGAAAAAGAGCAATATGTTCCTTTTTTAATGTCGCAGTGCAACTTACATCTTACACACCTGTGCAATGTACCATGAGGTGTACACCCCTGAAAGAACACACAGTGGAATCTCCCCTTTCGGCCTGTTTCTGCAGGTTTACACACACTAAGATCTGGGAGGGATAACACAGTCTGTGCCTACAAATTGTAACTCGCACTCCTTAATCTACAGTATGTCGCCTGCCCAGCAGAGCAGCGGTTGGAAAAAAGGAAACCAACATTACGGATGAAAAATGTAGAGAGGTCTGAAAAACTCAAACTGTATTGTAACATTTCTACAGCTGTGTGTGTGTGTGTGTGTGTGTGTGTGTGTGTGTGTGTGTAGGATCGCCCATATAGCCAGTCCATCGTTGCCAAAGAGAGGGTTGGGAGGCACAGGGAAAGTGCTTGCATCATTTAGTTTCTTTGTGGTACTCTCAAATTAACCGTTCAAAACGTGAGCTGTATCTCTGGGGTGTGACTGATATTTTACAACAGTGTAACATGATGAAAAAACCTGAACCTACACTCAAAGAACTACAGTAAAAGATGAAAAATTATACCAATAGTGCTGGATTCAGCAGGTGCTACGCATGTCTGTCAGAGTCTCGGACACTGGGGGGCACCGTTGAGTCCTTGGCCTGATATTGCAGATGAGATGATTCATCCGAGTTTCACAGACATTACAGACCATTTAGTGTAGAGGTCTTTGACCGCCCAGTGTCAACCATAAGCTTGGAGGGAATGTCAAAATAGACTTCATTTATTAAGCACCTGTACTGCTGTCACTCAGGTCTAAATCCTGAAGTCTTTTGACACGTGTCAGTCTTCCTTTGTAAACCGAAACATCAAATTGAAACCTCCTGGTAGCATGCTAAAGGAGGATCTGCATTAGATCGAGTAACTGAGCAGCAAAATGCCCACCTCAGAAATAGTACAGTGTGTGTCTTCAAACACTATTGAAGGAAAACAAAAAAATTATGAACATATAAATTAAACAAATATTCAACAGTACTTTTGCATGTATCATGCGCTACAAGTCTAATCTTGCAATCATGAGAGGCAAAAAAAGAAGACACAAATGATCCACAATAGTTTACCCTGTCCGATCAAATCAGTCCCAGGCCTTTTCTCATGCAACACATCACCAGGAGAAGGGTCAGCCCAGATGTAAACCAGTACGAAACTGTCAATCAACTGTCAATGATGGTGGTGGTTGTTTGCCTCCTAATTAATCAACTGCTAAACACCCTGCGTCTACAGAGTGAAGAGGGGGACACTGCTAAACCTTGGCATAGAATACATCATACTTTACATTATATCTATGACACAAAACGTAAATAGATTTATATATTCTTCTATGTTTAAATATATTTGTAGACTGTACACAAATCTTTAGAAAATGAGACGGCAAATGCTTTTACCTGATATTTTGAACAGCAATGGTAAAGAGGCCGATGAGACATAGACCCTGTGATGCAGCCAATGAGATATAGAGATATAGAAAGTGCATTCTTTGTAGTGAGTGACTCCTTTGAAAAGAACTCTCTAGCTCTTGCATTCTCTGTTAAAAGATAAAAACAAAACAAAAATAAACACACAAAAAAAAAGACATTTTGCACCCACGCAAGTACATACTCTCTGTCTTCCCTCCGCTACCTCTAGAAGCATATCACAGTGGTAGTGGAACGCAAACATTTACATCAGTATACACAGCAGTATACACATATACACAAGTCTTTGAGGATTAGAGAGATATAAAAAACAAAGGAGATATTAAGAAAAAGAGGACGTGGAGATGAATGGTGAAGGAGGGAAAGAAGGAAAGAGAGGGAGAGAGAATGAGAGAGAATCACACGATCAGAGGAGCTTCCTTCAGTGGATAAAATTGTGTTTTTTTTCAACAGTTCACAGTTTGAAATAGTGTGCATCTAGCCAGCACAGTGGTTCCTTCAATCACACTTGTTTTCATTGGTTCCCGCAGGAACAGCTTAATCAGATAAACCAGCGTTGTTGGCTTTACCTTTCACAGTCTTATGCTAAAGTCCCCGCCCTTACATTCCCCACACTGTCCCATCAGATCAGCTTAGAAAAACACATGAGGTCCCTGTAAATCAATGAGATATGCAATAAGAGAAAGAAACCATACAGAGAGAGAGAAAGGGGGAGAACTGTTGGCTCTGGGTGCAAAGTTCATCGGTACAAAAGTAGTACAGTGCTGTGGTGAAAAGGATTCTCCTCTGTATTGCTGCTACATAGCTCCCCCTGCCCCTTAAACTCAACAGGACGAAACCAAAACAAGAGAATAAGAAATGAACAGACATGTTAAAAAGTCTCCTTTTTTTCCGTTTTGCTCGACAAGCGTGTGGAGTTTATGCTGAGTTCCATAGACAAAGGAAGATTAATGCTTTCTGTTCAAGCATGCAATAGGCACCCTGTGGGGTCCTCAGGATTATCAAAAGTTCATACACGCAGGTCTCAGACTGTTCCCTCTATGATATTTACACATCTTACAATGTGTGTTCCTGTGTGTGTGTGTGTGTGTGTGTGTGTGAGGTCGTGCTCAGAGTCGTGATGATGCAGAAGCTTGTGTGTATGTGTGTAAATGTGTGTGTGTGTGTCAGTAAGTGGTTGTTGTGTGTATCAGTTCAGGCTTTGCTTCCGCTCTCTTTCTCACACATGTGTCTCGATGAAGGAGTGTGTGTGGGTCATGAGAGGTGCGCCCAGCGGGGAGAGGTCGTCCTGGCCGTTGGTGCCAGGGCTAAGCTGGCAGATGTCTGAGTAGAGCTCGCTGTGCCACTGCTTCCACTCTCTGAAGGTCTGGGAGCACAGGCCAGGGTCCTCCAGGAGGGCACAGATCACTGCCAGCTCCGACTCTTTGGCCTGAGGGAGAAGAGAGACACCGGAGAGTTACCACATCGCAATCTTCAGACGCCATCTTCAATTCCTCTTTAAATTCTCTGTTTGTGTTACCTTCAAGGTGCTGCGGAGGGCCCGAACCCTGTGCAGCCTGTCGTTAAGCAGAGGGTCCCTGGCTCTCTGGGTAAAACATCGTCTTAAGTCCTGTCTGCTACAGGGTCTTGGGTCTCCCAGAGCTGTCACATTGGCTTGCTCCAGGGCTCGATACAGCTGCTCTAACCCATCCAACGGCTCCGGCTCACGGCCCTCTGACACCCGCTGCTCCCTTCCCTCTGACACCCTCCTCTCTCTGCCTTCAAGTCTTAGCTCCCGCAGGTCTGAAACACCCAGCAGAGAACCAGAGACACTTAGATTCACTGTTAAAAAGACACTTGGAAAAACAGCAGTTAGGTCAAAACATAAAAAAGAAAACAAAAAACAACGTTTGATGGCCTCCCATAGATGTCAATAAACATTTTTGTCACTTTACAGTACCGGTACATTAAATAAGGTGGACATTTGAACCCTGAGGAACTCCAGTCGGAGAGAGTGGGGTAAGATGAGCCATTTTTCATATTTCAGATCACTACATCAAGGCAATCATAGTTTTGTCTCTAACTAGTGTATCTGCATATATTTCAAGTGTAAACATAATATAGCAAGGCAAAAAAGTGGTCTCCTACGGTCAACTTACCCTGTGTATGGGGTAAATTGACCATAGGAGTGGGGTAACTTGAGCCATATCCCTCCCTACTGTTTTTGTAAATAAATGTCTAACCCTTCACCCATGTGCTTCTAACCTTCACAGACTCCATGAGTTGATGCCCATCTCCTAAATATTTGGTCACATGATCAATTTCTTTTACCATTTCCAAGCAACAGGGGGTGGCTCAACTTACCCTTTGGCTCAACTTACCGCACTCTTCCCTAATATTAAATAAAGGAAACTATAATAATGTCCAGTACTTTGAACTCAATTGTAAGCTAAAGTTGAATCCTCTTTCTTTCTGTATATATGCCTTTAAACGTGTTTTTTTACACATTTCTCTTCCTCTCTGCACAAAACAGATTGTGAGTAATTTCCTTACCCTCTTCACCCTGAAGCATATCTCCAGCTTGTTCTCTCTCTGCCTCCTCATCCTCACTCCTCTCTTCCATATGAGCTGAGGTGTGTAGAAACTTTCCTGGCATCGGGTCCCTGTTCCTGGGCAGGCTCTGGCTGCGCTGCTTGTGGGAGCGTCGGTGTGTGTGGCTGTGTGTGTGTGGACCTCGCTCCAGAGGGAAGGGCCCGTCCCGCTCTCTGTCCCTCTCTGCTGCGTGGTGTCTCCGTACGGGCAGTGTAGCCTGCCTGCGTCTCTCCGGGGACATGCCCTGTCTGCCCAGCCCACCGTACAGCCCCATCTCTCCTGCCATGCTTCCCATCAGGCCATATTCACTCTCTCCCGGTGCTGTCTGTAGGAAGTGCAGCCCTGCGCTGGTCAGAGGGGTCTCAATGAGGTCCTGCCAGGAGCGCCGCTCGCGATGGGAGGAGCGGCAGCCTGATGAGTGGGTGCTGGTGCTGCCCGTGCCTGTACCCATGCCCATGCTGTCTCCACGCTGGTCCTCAGCTGAGGAGTGAGAGTGTGTGGACTCGCTGGAGAAATGACGGCCATGCTTGGGCTCCGGGAAAGGGCTGGAAGAGTTGACCTGGAGAGGGAGAGGGGAGGTGGAAGAGACCATCTGTGGAGGGATGGGGGAGGTGGAGGCACTCAGTGATGGAGGGCGTGGGGATGGAGTGGAGCGCATGAGGCTCATGGAGCTGACTGAGCGGGGCAACTGGTCATAACTGTGAAGGAAGTTAGTCTGAGGAACAGAGGGATGGAGAGGCAACCAAGAGGGACAAGGATGGAATTTCATAGGCAGGTGCAATACGAGGAAAAGTGACCCGCAAAACAAGGAGAGAGAGGAGGTGTGCGAGGTGAGAGAGAAGGAGGACAGAAAGCAGAAGCAGAAAGACAGCAGAAGATGAGAGCAAAAAAGCAATGAGATGGCAGATGATCAACTCCAGGAAATGACAGACATGACTGCTGCGTGTCTGGGAAAGCATGACCCAATCCTCCAGGACCACATGAGGATCCTCTGAGCATGAGTATTTTCAGTATTGCATATTCTCTCAGAGGTGTAATGAGCAAAGGCAGCTATTGCCACCTAGAGGTCTGATTGTAAATAGGTTCTGGCAGCAGAACACAGAGCAGTGATGGCTGCTTGGCTGCTTAGCAAACCAGATTCTCCTCCACTCTGATGTTTTATTAATGTTAGGAGCTCTGCTCTTTGCAGCTCTGAAAACTGAGGGGCTTTTAGGGATAAAATATTCCATCAGAATGAAACACTGCAAGAGAGATGCTTGGTGTATATGAGTGTTAATGTTCGCATATGCTTACTGAGGGTGTGCGGTGGTAAGTATCACAGAGAGACGAGGGTCCCTCCTGTTTGAGCGTCATCGAACCATCAACCTCGTCTTGATCGCTCTCACTCCAGTAATCTGATATACAGGGAAAAAAGGCAACACACACACACAAACATGTAAAAGCAGGTACTTTAGAAAACAGCACAGTTAGCTCCAAGTGAATCTGTCGTACCTTCATCAGGGCGTGGCACCTTGTCATCTGGTGTGTAGCCAATAGCAGCAAGACCAAGCCGGTTCATCCACCTATAGGAGACAAGCAGGAGGAAAAGAAGGAAATGAAAGTGAGGAAGGAAGCCACGGTGGTTAAAGGAGATACAGTATAAACAGAGAGTGAGTGTGACACAAGGTTCCTTTTTGTAGTTCAAATGCCAAATCTACAAAAGCCAATATCTGTTCAACTGACTCATCTTCAGATCTGCAAAAAAGTGGGATAGTTGAAGGTGTGGATGATAGGAAACAGGAGACAATTAACAGACAATAATCCTGTTTTTTCTTTCCTGTGACTGATGGCATTTCACTTTTTCCTCTTTTTTGTCCATCTGTTTGTCTTCACAGCAGATCCTGCTTTTTTCCACAGGAATTAACCTTCATACTGAGATTACATTAATTTGTCTGTCTGCGGCTAAAAGAAGACCCAAAAATGTTTGTCTTCCCCATTTTGAGGCTCCTGTGAGGAACTTTTGGTATGAGTCAAACATTTGCGCTCCCTTTGGACAAAGCAGTATTGGCTCATCTTATCCTGTACATGCTTAGGTAGTAAAAAATTAATCCTGCTTACTTTTGAAAGTCAATGTGAATATTTTATGTGAAAGGGCCTATTTCTTTAGCTGCTCTTCTGACCCCTACCCTGTAACACCAGCTTTAGGGTAAAAAAGATGATACAATAATCATCAGTGTTGTTGCTAACAGTCTTGCTTGAATTTGGATATCATGTAAAAGCATCTAAATGAATTTCAGTGTATTTCATTATCATCAAAAACTCCTCACAAGCTTTAAGTAGCCCTCACTAAATTTGTACTCAGACATAGGAAAACAGCATCAAACAGCAATGACAAATACATGATCGTCTCTATATCCTAGTGTCAAACTAATAGAAATTCATATAGATTTACAAGGATGGTTTGATAATCATCTCTCAGGGTTACAAAAACATTGAAGCCCCCCCCGGATTTTATCTTCCTCATATTTTGGATGTTTGTCTCAATATTTGAAGGCAGTCTCTGTTAGAGGTTCGAATTGTGACCATTTCTATGTCACTGCGTCTCTCCTGGCTACTACTTATATCTTTAGTATTTATCCTGCAATGAAAAATCAGCTGAAATGCCACCCAGGCTAGTTGTTGAGAAAAACAGTCAATCCCAATATCAGTGTGTGTGTGTGTGTGTGTGTGTGTGTGTGTGTGTGTGTGTGTGTGTGTGTGTGTGTGTGTGTGTGTGTGTGTGTGTGTTGCCCCCAGCCAGTGTGGGTGAATGTTTAAAATGCATGGAAATGGATTTTCGCTCACTGTTTTTTCCACGTTCCCTGCCGCACATATAGAGGATCTCTTCAAACCTCAGCAGTCTGTACATTTTAATTTTGGAGGTTATCAAAAACTGTTTTTCTATAAAATCACCAGAACTATTAATCCTTTAAAATAACAATTAGCACTCAGCCTTTGTGCACCATTTTGAAATATTTCAATCTACATCACATTTGAATTGGCTAGAAGTCAAAAGTCTCTCACAACAAAGACAGACAGTAAGTTATGAAAGATGCTGATTTTGCTCATTTTAATGGTATTAGCTGGAAGTGAAAGAAAATGGAAGCTTATGTTAGTCTGTAAAAGCTTCAGTTCGTTTTTTTTTTTCATTAAAATCCATTTGCAGCGTCTTCTGATGACCTGTTTGTCTCCACGATCCATTTGTTGCCCTTAAGTGCAGCACCAATTTATTATAAAATTGTCAAACCTTTAAAGGAATGTACATTTGTCTTCAACTCTCTTATGTCTGAAAGGCTTTGTTCTCTGAGATTGTATTTTAAGGCACTGTATGTTGTTGATTGCTCAAGAATGCAAGCTATTTTTTTCCAATCAGTCATTTTCCACAGTGGAAAGACTGTCAAAGTTTAGCACTTCTATTTTATCCCCTCCAGCAGAAAACTAAAAACCCAGATGTACAGTAAGGGCAGGAAAAAGCCATTATACGTCTTGTAGACAGGTGGTTATTTTTCTGGCCCCTAACACCTACCTCTTCACACACATACATATAATTACGAATGCATGTTAAATGTGTGGAGCAGCACTCTCACACATGAACCTACATGCAAGGTATGGAAGTCAAAAATAGCTGGTTAATTACTCTCCAGCAATTATCTCTCCATGTTATTGAGGAGAGGTGTGGATAATTAGAGCTCATCAGATCTCACTCCTGCAGATATCACTACAATCTCCTCCTCACACACAAGAACACACACACACACACACGCACGATGACACAAATACACACACACACACACACTGAGTTCCACATTTAACAAGAGAGGGCCGGGTTCATGCCTTATTCATGTACTGTGTTGTGTGGGCTGTCGCCTTGTGTAAACTTGGTTTACTCAGTTAAAATATTCATGAGAGAACACGTGACGTCCCAAGCATCTGATGATGGTCCACATTAAGATACAAACACACACACTCCAAGTCACAGAGACGCCCACTCGCTCACCTGTTCATTTCCTCCAGACAATCTGTGGCGAAGAAGAAGCTCTTGATTTTGGGATGACAGGCTTTGAAGGCACTGCAGCCAGGCAGGGAGAAGAAGACTGATTAGTGTTTCTGTGTGTGTGCACGGCAGGCTTGTGTGCGTTCACGGTGTGTGGGTAAGAGCAAATGTGCTTGATTAGTAATTTTGGCGTCATGTGAGGGACACTCACAATTTCCGTCTGCACTCTATGGCTCGGTCTATTCTGAACTCTGGGAGGCTGATGAAGCCCTCAGCTTTCTCATCCTGCAGGCACAGACAGATGGAGAGCGGTGGCACATCATCAACACAAGGAACAAAATGTCACACATACTGATATACCAATTTTATAAGGGATAGCAATAGTCAAGTCGAGCATATGAAAACAACATATGTTGTTTACACTGGCAGGAATATATTCCTTCAACACATGAAAAGATACAGAACAGAGTGTCTGTCTGTCATAGCTGGAAAGCAAAGTTACATTAACACATCAAATTAACAGTTAACTTTCATGTTGGGGTGGTCTTCTTTTAGTTGAATATTTACAAGCTCTGATATCCAGGCGTTGGTCCAAACAGCTAAACCACATTTCAAAGTATTCCATAGAGTTTTGTTTACATGGGGTTGTATTTATCTGAATTCATGACTTATCTCTTCCACCTTCTCTTCCCATCTTCCCATAAAAGTAAAACCAAAATATCAATGCATCAGATGGTAAACTATTCTGGACTCGGTAACTGGACTCGTGGCTCCTTTCCACGTATCAACACAAATATTCAACTTAGTGACAAAAAAGTAAAGATCCCTCAAGTCCTAACAAGTCCTCAAGTTTTTTCCACAGCCGACAGAGCAAACTCACAGTCATGGACCGTCGAATGTTGTATTCTTCCTCTACACTGATAATTCAGAAGCAAGAGCTGAAGTCATCAAAATTCAGCCTCCAATCATTATGTTACTCCTTTTTTTGGCTTGCAATAACTGAATAAATTTCTCGGAAAAATTAACGCTTGCACTTTATCTGACATATACATACATAAAAAATACATATATATCTTTGGTGATTATTTTAATTTTTGATTTTGAAGGAGACAGAGATGAGCTTACTGATCAGGTTACTAATGGGAGCTCTGAATGCCACGTATTTTTTATACGGTCTACACGTTGGGCAGCCAAAAAGTTAAATAAAGACATCATCATTGTATCAAGACATTGTTTGATTTACTGAAAATTCATTGGTGAATGTTTCTTCTTCATTTTTAGTCAGATTTAAGAAAATGAAAAATACAAGAGGCGACAGCAAGTTGTGACAACCAGCTGCTTTCCGTGTCTTATTGGAGTGTAAATCTGAACGTTTTGAGGAGAACATGATCAGCAGATCCATCATAAAAACACTCATTTGTTGAATGGCTTGGATACTTCTCGTTTTCAAAATCTTCACAAAAATTAAAATCTAAAGTTATTACTTTAATATTTGGTCAACAGAGAGAAGTTTTAGATGAAGAAGAAAAATAAGATGCTCATTATTTCATTTTCAGTGATTTTCAGCCTTGGCTTTTTTATCCATAAAAAATTATAACTCAAGAGTGTTTCTGTTGGGAAATTTATGTCTGTAATTTTACAAATAATGTGATCAAAATCTAAATCAGGAGGCTGTGACATGTCCTAACAGTCGGTCATACTAAAGTTAAAATTGATCACACGATTACCATTTTACGACTCAACTCATAATTCATCAGAGAAATGTCTTCATCTGTCAAGGCAAATATTCAAAGTTTATACAGCAGATTCACCATCAAATATTTAAAGTCTCAAAATAAACTCAAAGATGTTGACATGACTTCATCCAGATTATTTCCTCAGTCCTGAGAGTGTTCCCTTCAGATGTTTGGATTAATTCAATTTGACAGACATTTCTGTTTACAGTTCTTCTGGTTTTAAAGTTCTTTTTTCTCTTCTGCCATTTCAGCTTTTATTTAAAAGGACGATAGAGGAGTGGCAGAGAAAGTTGGGAGGAGAGAGAGGAAGCTGACCTGAAGCAAAGGGTTCAAACCTACAGCCTCTGAGATGGAGACTACAGCCTCGGGGTTCAGCTTTCACTGCTGAGTCAAACCAAGTTGCTTCATATTTTGACCAAGTAAGAAACACAAATCCAAATTATTCCACGAAAAGGGAAGATTTTTGAGAACAGACACAGATTTAAATTGTTTTTCATTCCTCTTTTAAGTTAAATAACTCACTCTATTCATATTTTTATTTAACTGTTGCCATTAATTTGATTATTTAAAGGAATTTAAAACAGCCATGCTAGTCTTGTAGATAAATTGCTTTTCAACAAAAAACAAAGAAAAAAAACAGGGGGTGAGAAAAGTGTTCTCACAGATGAACATGCTTTCTTACATTTTGGTTGGTGTACCAGTACAGGCAGGACTCTTTGAGGACAAACCAGTATTTCCTCCATTTCTGGGTGAAGTAGCCTTTAGCATCCTTCTTCTTCCACAGCCATCCTTCACAGTCACCGTGACCCAGGTCCTTACAGGAAATTCTCCTTCGGCTGGCACTAGTGAGGGAACCTTCAGAGAGGAGAGAGTGACGTCAATACTGAGCACAGAGTCAAAGGCGTTGAAAAAGTCGGATGGAGAGAAGAATCTTTTTTTTTTTTGTCAACAGACTCATTTAAAAAAAAATAAGTGTGCAGTCTCTTAAAGCAGAAAGAAAACAAGCAAAATACTTTTGATGCCCTCACATTCACAAAACACCTGATGTCTGTCAGTCTTTTCAGACTAAGGGTCTGGGGTAAAAGCTGTCTTTTGGGAGCTACTCTTAATAGCATAAGTGCGCTGACAGAACAGCGATCACATAGAAGAAGATGCAAAAAGACAAGAAGCGTATTTACCTTTACTTCGCTTTTTGGTTTTCGTTCTTAGAGATGTGTAATGGAAAGACTAGAGGAGAGAGGAGAAGAAAAAAACGGATTAACTCAAACAAATTAAAAAAAAAACTTTCTGGGTCGACGTTGATGCGTGTTGTGGAGAGGCTGCAACAAGTTCACTCAAAGTGTGGAGCTTATTTTTATTTTTATCAGGCAAGCAGCAGAGAGGATTACAGGCACAGACAGATCACAGCGATAAACTGCTACAGCCAGGAAGTGACCCGGCTACAACCTGTGATGAGGATCTGAAAGCTGTCAGCGGCAGAGTCTGAAGACCACAGTGATGCAAGAGTGACATGAACTGCATCAGAGAAGCCTTTTGAAAAATGAAAACACTAAAATGCATGAAAGTTTATTCTAGTTAAGGAACATAATTTTTTGACTGATCTGTATTAGTGATATTAAATCTGTAATAGGCTAACAATTGCCTGTGCTTGCTAACATTACCCATGTGTGTTAATCACTTCAAATAAGTAAATTTAAAACTTTATCTTTTTAATGCCTGTGGGTGTTAATGTTCAACTGTAATCAGAAATATGTTATCTTATCTTATTTTCATCTAATAAGCCAGCATTATAGCGCATTAGGCGCATCTCCAAGAGGCTAATGCTAGCTTGCCATGTAGCAATAGGTATCAGCACAGGGGAATACAGGCCTGCAGGCTGTTTATCTGGTAACAAAGCCAAAGAAATATCTGATTAAAGCCAAGTAAGCTGACTCAGTGTGTGAAACACCTCTTAGTGCTCTGGAGAGGAGGTGGGAGCTAATGACTAAGACAGTTTCCTGTGTCACAGTAACCTAAATATGGAAACCAATTGAACTCATCTGACTGCTATCCTTTATTTAATTATGCCAGACCTGAATGGATTTAATTTTAGGTACCTCTCCTTTCAAATCTAGCTGTTAAATGTGTCTTGATATTATGTGGACACACTGGATGGATCCCTGGAAGAGCAGATGTGGTTGGTGGCAGCCATGATTGTGGATGGAGCTCAAACCTCTACTAATCGGGTTTGACTTAATACTCAAAGTGTGCATTTGAAACAGCAGTACTTGGGAAAAACTGTGGTATAAAATATCCAGGAATACAAAGTCAGTTTCATGGCATGTGGCTCTGCTCTCCTACCTTCCTCATGGATGCCCCTCCTGAGCTTCCTGAGCCAGAGTACCTGCAGGAAGACGGACAGGATTAAATGTTTCCATTATCAAAGTCCTACTTTTCTTTTCATTAATTCCAAAGCATGTATGGACACCACAAACACAAACTCACCTGTCTGTGGTGTCTGCACGCAGTGTGTCTGCACCTCGCTGAGAGACAGAGAATAAAAACAACATTAAAAAAAACACTCAAATACACCTTTGTCTCCTGTTCGTCGATGCTGGTGATTATATTACAGAATACATGTCTGCTTTTATTTGTTAACTTATTTATTATTGACATTTTGAAAACCCTAATGATTTGTACCATTGGGTCGTGTTTTTAATCACACTGTATATTTGAAAATTTGCTTAATTCAAACATTTGACAAATATGAAACGCTAACAAAAAAAGACTACATGTGACCATGTGACTCTCTTTTTTCTTTTGCATTAAGATATAATAAATAACAAATTATACCTGTATAAGGCATTATGCTCACTGCTTATGACACTTCATAAACATTGCTTTAAACTGTTATGAATGCTCCTCATTGCTTATAAGGGTTGTTTTAAAGATGTATATAGATGTATTCATAAGGCTTTGTAAATGTGCTTATGATGTATTATAAGAGGTGGCTTTATGTAAACAGTCACCAGATATATCACACAGATAGTAAAATAATCCATTTTGATTCATAGGCTTTTTCACAGTGCAGTACTTAATGCATCTGTTTTTACAAATCATAATAAAACTGAATCAGTTGAAATACAGGGGAATATTCCTTTAATATTGCAGCTCAGTTTGTACCTTGTCCTTGAAACTGCTTGAGCTTTGTTAATTGATGAATTCAGTCACACACAGGTCACTGTCAGCTAATAAAACATGGCTGTCCCACTGACAATAAGTCAATCAGAAGCACTAGAGCAGAAAGTCTGAAGATGAAAATAATCACATCAGTTTCCTTCTACTGGGAATGACATGACAGAAATGTTGTGATTTCAAACAACACACAGCTAAGGGACCCAAGGAACAAGTGGAGGATCCAAGGGCCCCCAAAACTACATCCTGGGGCACAGAGGCCTGTCACCTAATTTAAATGGTTTGTTTAATTTGCATTACAACAAACAAGGAACTGAATTTATTTGTGCAGCTATATAAATTCAAAGTTATTGAAGTGTGTAGGAACTTAATAAAGACGAGACTTCATAACAATATGCCCTTAAGATAATGTGCTTTTGCTGTATTTGGTGTATTGTGTTAACAGCAAATAATTAGATGGAGTGAGCAAGAGAAAAACAAGCAGGTCATTAAGGTTGGCGTGTGCCTGTTAAGAGTAAAATAGTATACTTCATGAGCCAGCGAGTGGATATGAGTCACCACCATGATGAGTACACAGCTGTGAGGGTCAGAGAGGTCTGCTGTTAGCTTAGCTGTTAGCGTGCCGGCTGTGCATGTGTGTCCTGCGTGCGTCGTGTTTTAAGCACAGTCTGTCAGTCGTGCTTGTAATTGGTCTGGCTGACGCTGAGTCATACACCTGCTCACAGGGGTGCCTGTTTTCATGTTTGTGTGTATGTGTGTGTGTGTTTGTCCAAAATAAACTCCTCTTTAGATTCAGGCGTGTCTGAGGAGATGGGGATAATAGGATGAGTTAGGATGAGTCGTGAGATGGATACCCAGCATACAAATGCACTCTTGTGTGTTATTGTGTGTAAGTGTGTGTCTGTGTTTGTGTGTGTGAGAGAGAAGTTGCAGAGGGGTGTGTCGCCGTCATTCTCATAATCTGTGAAGCTGGCAGCCACAGTGACACTGATCATCCTCACCCTCCTTTGTCTCCTCTACCTGACTCGCACACAAACACACACACAGACAACAACGCGTGACTCTGTGAGCACCATGACCTATCCTGAAACTACAAGGAGGACACGGGGATAAACTGTCAAAGGAAGGAAGTTGTGAGAGTCAGTGAGAGAGTGAGGTCCTTTTCCAGTTTGTAAAGTGAGACAATCAGGATTAAGGACCTGAAGTCGACTGAAGAGCGATTAATAGACCTTTTAAACAACCGATACTTAGATGTGTCACAGATACAAACAATAAAGCAGGTGACGATGGCTAAATTAATTTCACTGCTAACCAACATACAACAGAGCCTCAGCTCAAGATATCCTTGACAAATGTGCTTTTCTTTACCAATAGGTAAATATTATTAAAATCACAAGATCTACTTAGAGCAAAAAAGGGAAAAAAAACTTACATTTGACACAATGAGGGAAAACATACTTTATACTTCTTGCTCTTTTACTTTAAAGAGGAAAAATATTGTCACAGGGTCAAGTTTTTTACACAGCAATGTGATAATTGAACTTAAACTTTGTTGCTTTTTACCTCTAATAAAAAAGGAGTATTTAGTACATGAGCCCAAATAAGACTACAGATGGCCTCGAGCTGTTGGCACACCAAACAGAAAAAAAGTCACATGCTTTTCTGAAAAAACCAACAATAGTTGAAGAATTTGTCTCTATGCATAGAAAAGTTTTGTACTCCAAATTGTTAGAACTAGTGTCTGCGGCTGTAAAAGAAAAATACTACAGTGTTAGACTGATACTGTGTTTTGATACTAAGTTTTAATTTCAGGGGCAAAGTTTTTAATGGGAAAAGCACTTTAACTTTTCTTATTTAAACATTTCATGCGTCAATACACTGTTGTGAGCTTTTTTTTTACTTGTTTCATCATATGAAATAGCTTAAGTAATTAGGGCTGTACAACATACATTGGGCCAAAAATACCAACATTATAATTTTTTTTGTTATTTATCACCCAGATAATTCAAATGAATACAGTTAACACAACTGATAAATGCTGCTTTCATCTGCTTGTTTATGTGTCTTCAGGCTGGCAACGGCAAAAATGGTGACACCCAAGTGCATTTGTTTACTGTTAAAAGTGGAGGAAAGCAAGACTGCAGTTTGAAGCAAAAATATTCTGAGACGAGGAAAACAGTCTTTAAGTTTTAACACAACAAATCTCTGAAATCACCTGAAGAGTTTTCATTGTGACAAAGACGTATTCAAGAGGTATAGCCTCGGAGTATTATCATGCCAATTTGAGAAATGCTGAACATTTACCAGAGACAACCCAATGTTAAGAAATAAATCACAAAATCACTGATGAGTAAACCTTTTTTTATGAGGAGGCAGACCAAAGATTTGGCCTGCTAATTACTCTGCTATTTTGGAGAGTACTGCTGATACTACACGGATGTAGCCCTACCTGCCCTGTATGATGTGGTCACTTCACACATTCACAGTCTGATCAACAACTTGCAAGTGGAACAGGACTTGATGTGAAAAAGATGTTGTATGGACAGAAGTGAAGTTTGCAACCACAGTTAAGAATGACAACAGAGTGAGAACTGTACTTTTTTGTATTGTGTTGGTGAGTATAGAGTATTGTTTAAAAAAAAACATTTTATGTTACGATCATAGGAGACACTTTTGTTGACCATGACGTGTAAGAGATCTATGTCAAAAGCACTGATGATCATCAAACTGTTTTTCCTTTTTCCCACAGACTAGCAGGAGTAACCCATTTTAACTTACTAAAGTGTAGAAAAATAAAGGTAATCTTATTGCTAATGGTAATTGGGGGCTGATTATCATTGATTATTGGTATCAGCAACAAAAATTACATAAACATGTGGGACCAAAGACATTCAACACGATATCCGATGAGCACATTCAGAATAAGCCCGTATACATACAGACAGAGCATCAGGTGGCTGGTCGAGGCGCAGGGTTGAAGACAGCATTGAGGGGCTGATGGGAAAGCTAGGGCTGCTGGGATTGCGGCTCTTGCGTCGAGAGCGTCTCGTGGAATCTCTCCGGCTCTCCCTGCCCGGACCCTCGGGCTCCTCCTCTATCACCAGGATCTTGTCGTCGCTAAGGTAACGCAGCAGGGAGTTGTCTGAATCTGTAAGGTTAAAGGGGGGAGGCAGAGGATGGGAGCAGTTAGAGGACGGACAGGCTCAATGGGACGGATGACAGAGGGAGGAAATCCACTGAGGGTTGAAATAGCATCATCGAGCCGAAAGAGAATCCCAGAGGAGGTACTGATGAGGGTGAATAGACCCTCACAGATACAAACCCAACAGATAGAGATAAAAGTGCACCAGATCTGTAATGTCTGATACAGATCAACATCCAGGGACACACTGCTAATCTGTTTGCAGTGATTATTCTGATTTGTAGGTCTCTGCCGCTAAATCCTGTCAGTCACTGAAAGTTTTATTCCTCTTCAGCCCTGGACTGAAAAAGCTTTGCACATAAATTGTTTAGAATTCATATACTTTAATGTGGAAGACTAAGAGGTGACTTGAAGAAAAGGAAGAAGACGGAGAAAGGCAGACACCCGACGGTAGTATTGTGCCTTAATGTTATTCATGGACTTTCTGACGGTAGAGTGGAGGCACCTCCGCTGCATACAGATTGAGTCTCTACACAAAACGTTGAAGCTGGTTAGAAGTGGTCACATAGAAGTAACCTTATTTTCAGAGCCGTTGTATAAATGCAATTTCCTTGCATTTATGTTTACTTGTCGCTCTGTCAGATACATACCTGTCAGATATGTATCCTCACAAAACCACACCACCACCATGGATAACCAGAGGATGAGCTGAAATGTGTTGAGCAGAGTATGGAGCGAAGCAAAGAACCAGCCTGACCTGTTTCTGTCCGGTTGTGTGAGGGGTTTTTGAGTGTATATACATATACATATATGTGTTTGTGTGTGTGTACCTCGGCTCCCTCTCTTGCCCATGCTGGGTTCCTTTGGCTCAGCCATCCAGTTATATTCAGGGGGCATGGAAACAGGCCTGAGATCACCTGGAACGACCAATCAGGAATCAGAGAGTCTGCTAGTGGGGAGGCAGTGCGGGTGTTGAGGGAAGGCGTTGACTGAGAGACAGCGTGGGAGACAGCTGGAGGGGAGGACAGGTGAGACAAAGTGTGTGCAGGTGAGGGGGAGGGGACAGGGGACTCTCAAGGGACTGCTGCAAAATGCAAGGCCAAGGACACACAGACTTTTATTCGTTTAGAGAAGTTTGTTTTCACGTCTGCGTTTTTAAGCAGCATGCTATTTATTTCCACATTTTTCTTACCAGAAGTATTAAGTCTGAATAGAGTTTGTGGTAATTTACAGATGTGATGGGCCACACATTTAAACAACAAAGACATGAACCATAACAGATGGCAATTAACAATAGAGAAGTTATTTAATCACTGCTATCACTACCAATGTTTAGGCTACAACAGATGCTGATGTAACAACAGCAAACATATGCTGATGGCAAAGCCTCAACATTTTATGTAAAGATGTAACTTTCTGGTCATTTGCAACCAGAAAACTGTGTAAAAAGTAACACCTATGAGCTGCCTAACAGGCAGTGGCTGAAAATGCCAGACTATCTTACTGAAAGGTTAAAACCACAGACTGTATATACTTTGAAAAACTTGGTTCCGCCTCCCGCTAGTATACGGATTTGAAGCCAAAAAGCTCCGGGAATTTACAGGTTTTTTCCCCACTTCCTGAAACTAACAATGCACAGTAGCGTTGTACGCATTCAGTGGGAGAGTGGCCTAGTGTCGCTGTATCCCCCAGGTGAGCTACAAAACCTTCGTATGCCCATAGGCTGTATCAAGTGTCAATCATAGAAACATGAACCCCTAATAACTTTTAAAAATAGAGCTGTACAGAAAAAAGAGGACTTGAGCACAAACCAGTCTTACTGTAACTACATGTCAACAACGCAAGCAGGGGGGAGAAAAATGTATATTATCTGTAATTAATTTCAAAAGTTTGTTCACAGCTCCATAGGGATTGCTGGAGGAGGCAGGATTTATGGCCTGTACTGCAGCCCGTCACCAGAGGGTGCTGTTCTCGGGGTGGCTTCAACCAGCAAGGAGGCAGATGGCGTCCATTTTATATACAGTCTATGGTAAAAACAATCAAAATAAGTCATAATTGAGGGATATGGTCATGGGATTACAGAACTTGGTACCCGAAGCTATCAGGTCTTCCTGAATGTTATCATCCATCGCTTTTGTTTGCCACATGACCCTGGTCTTGCACTTCATAGGCCCCTCAAGAGTCTCCCAGCAAGTAACAGGATGTCCACGAAGCTGTCTTTGACAAGGGTGACACAGGTGGCAGGGCAGACAGGGAGCTGGAGACAGAGTTTTTGGACTGACCTTTTGGCATGTGATCAGTGTGTTTTGGACGTGTGACGCAACATAAAGACACAAAGAAGCAGAGCCATGGAGCGAGTGATGAACACATAAGGAGAAGTCTGGAGAAAAGGTGAGAAATGGTTGGAAAAAAAACATGCTGTTCAACTGAACACATCAAAGACCAGGGCCCTTCCTGCCCCATGCATACTGTGGACTGCGCTCTCCATCTTACCATGGGTGGGGGTTTTGTCACGTCGACGAACCCCAGTGTTGCGGCCCCTGTCATAGTCAGGCCCTGGGGGACCATCTCCCTCCAGCAGTGAAAAGAACTGACCGCTGTCCTGGTCTAAGTAGTAGCTGACCGCCTCTGAACCTTTGGAGCCAGACTGGGAGCTCACGCTGTAGCGGTTGATTTCGTCACATGACATCAGACCCATCTCCTCCCTGAGGAAAGCAGAGTTGTCATCCTCTCTGTCATCAGCGCCATCATCACTGTCATCAGCAGGACTGTGATAATCAATGTAATCACCATCATCAAACATCTGTGAGAGGAAGTGTCTGACCTGGTGCTGTAGAGTCCCGAGACAGGAGACAGGATGTAGACATCCTGCATGCTGGGGGCGTCCATCTTGGACATGCCCAGAGTTCCGCCAGGTGTAGGAGAGGTGCTGGTGGGGCTGGTGGGGACGGGCTGAGGAGAGAGAGGAGAGAGAGAAGGAAGGAAAGACTTGAGCATCTTTGTATTGAATAGAATCGGAGGAGGGTTGAAGAGGTCTAAATCTGCCTCAGAAAATAAACACACAGTTCGGTGGTGTTACAGGGAAAGAGAAGCTTTTATTTGTGATTTCTTTCTTCTGCTTGTTTAAACACTGAATCACAAGCAAGAGTTGTTTCCACGGCGTCGCTATGTGTTTGTGTGTAGTCTTTTTTTATATCCGTCTGACTGTGCAGCCTCTCCCACGTTCAATCGCTTCGCTATTCTGTCATTTTGTCTCAAGCCTCTTCACTCACACAGGGCTCTCCATGTCTGTTCCCATGACAACCTCTCCTCTCCTTTCCACCTCTTTCCTTGTGCTTCCTCTACCCTCACCTCCTCGCTCCTCTCTTTAACGCTACAGGAGATGAAGAGGATGGGGGAGAAGCTAGTGTGGCCTCCTACCGAAGCTTGACTCAAGGACATGCAGTTTTTATTTGTCATCAGGTCCCTGTGTGGACAGGACGCCTCGTCTCTGATGTCATGGAAACTCGGTCCAAATTTCAAGAGAATTAAATTTGTTTTCAGTCAGAACAGCTGCAGAGACGAATGCAGATGGTGCCAAGAGATTCCTCCCAGTGGACGTGGTTTTTTCGGATTTTGAAAAATGGGATTTTTTACTGTATGTCTGAAGAGGAAGCTCCATTTTTAGAGAGGAGATGTGAGTGTGGACAGAAAGGATAAACAGAGCCTGAGCGATGGTGAGGCCGGCAGTGTTCTCATTAAGGAAGCCCGGTGTTTCATCATTTCATCAGCAGTGCATTAGGCAAATTCATTTCATATTCCAAACTTTCCATCCCTCCCTTCCCCTCCTCACCGCCATCCCCAAACCATGTCTCTGTCTTCATCTCTTTCTCTCCCCCTCTCTCTCTCTCCCTCTCAGTTGTCCTCTTTTGAAGGCAGCTTACAGTAAGACAGCCGCACAATAAATAATGAAGACGGGGTGGAAAGAGAGGGACATGAGAGAAAGAAGGGAGAGCAAAGGAAATAGGACAAAGAAAGAGAGACTGCAGAAGAGAAAGCGTGGGGGGGGGGGGGGGGGCTGTGCAGTGTGGTGACTGGAGCTGAGAGTGAAAACAGTAATTTAGTGATTACAGCCCACTGCTGCCTGCATAGAAAAGAGGTAAGAGGGGGGTGTAAGTAGTGAGGGATGGGAACGCCACAGCAGGCGAAAATCCAGTCTGTTAAAACTGCACTTAAATCATTTGACCCCTGCAGCGTCCACTCCAAATTACCTTCAAATCTACCACTGAAACCCTGCCCACACAAGCACTAACACTCCACTACCTCTGTGCACACACACCCAATTATGCACACACACCACAAAATACACACTAAACATAATATTTACTCTGAGAGGCTGAAATCTTTAAAACTGTGTGACTAAAAAGAGGGTCAGTAAATACACCGAAATGAATGGAATATAAAAACTGTGATTTCCTTTGAACGAGTGTTGATATGTCACCACAGTCTAATCTCATTTCAGCCTAAAGGTTCTGTGAAAAGTTTCTGGTTTGTGTTGATTTTAGCGCCCCCTCCTGGAAAAAGCAGTTTTGTCATCACTTATCACTCATGTTGTCTTTTAAATTTGTATTTTCAGGTGAAAAATCCCATCATGCTCTCATTTTTTTAAAGCAACAGCTTCATGTATCACTCAATTTGAATTTTAACAGCAGAACAAGCCTATGAAAGCTGTACTTTCAACATGCTACAATTCATTTTATGTAACATCTACCTGGGTGGTAATGGTCTTAAGCATTAGAAACAATCATGTAGATGTTATTAATCTTGTCACAGGTGGTCTTGTCTGATTTATTTTTAGGTCACCATGAGGCATCCATACTAATTCCAGTCTGTTTCATAACCATGTTAAACTCACGGAGCGCAGGTGTTACTAGTCACACTGGCAACCTTAATTAGTGCCTCTGTTCTATTTAAATACCCCACTGAGACCTGATAGCAAGAAAGCACGCATCGTAATGACAACCTGTGTGTGAGTCAGCTAGATTAGTCGGCCACCACTGACTTAATCTGGTATAACATGTCAATAGGTTCTCTGTTGAAAATCAATTTTACATCCCTGGACTAACTTTTACTTTTAATTTACTTTTAATTCAAGTAACATTTTCCAAAGCTTTAATTAAGTAGTCTAATAACAATAACAACATGAGTTCATGCAATCAGATCAAACATCAGCGAATTTTTCTCTCCCAATTACTTGCCTTTTTTACTGAACAGCCATTTTTGGTAGTAATTGACCTAAATGACAAGCTTGATTCTCCAGCTGTTGCACCAGCTGAGTAAATTGAAGGTTTATTTTAAGATCCTCTTATTTAAGGTAAAACCTTTGCAGATACATCTGTATCTCTTATTTCTCTGCTCATCTTATATTGTATAGTTGTAGTTTGGGCTGAGTGATAAACCAAAAATTTATCGATACCAAAATTTATGATAATAACCAACATCAAAAGTGAATACATAAAAGTTGGTTTTGTATGTGTCAAGGTAGGCTATGGTCTCATGTTCCTTTAAGACACTGTCCTACGTCAGAGACGTGACTCCACCCCATCGAGTCCGTAACAAAGAGGGAAAGACAGGTGAGGAGATGGAGGACGGTTCAAAAGTTGTAGCAGCTGAAGTAGACGAAGTTAATGTGGGAGGGGGTGAGCAGCTTGTAGTTATTGTCCATTTATCATCATCGAGGTGAACTGCTCAATATATCGTGATATCGATTTGAGGCCATATTGCCCAGCCTTAGTTGTAGTATTATTTCCTGATATAAAGTCCCATCCTGCTGTCTTTTGATGGTCAAATTTACCACTAACTACAAAACATTGAGGCTCAAATGTCAAACAAAGACTACATTGTTATCATGCAGTTAATCACTTTAACCCCTGACCTGCAGAAGTACTTAAACACTATACAGAAATACCCAGTCCTGCTGTTTATGGTTTGGTGTTTGCTTTTATGACCCACATAGAGGCACCAGTATTAACCTCAGTCTTTTTCATAACCAACCAAAAACCCCTCATAGGAGCTTTAAGGTTTTACATCAGTCATTTATCTCTGAAAGGATTGCAGGGAATTAGGTTGCTTTGGACATGTTTAAAAAAAACCCACAGAAATAGACCAACAGAGTGTGCCATATGTAAGGTGCATTCATGAACAGAGCTGTAACCCCTCACCCATTAAGCAGGCCTTTAAATTATACATGACTGTTGACTAAAATAGCACACATTTCCAAAGAGCAATCATTTATGTATCCAAACATATAACAGATTTATGAAAGCCAGGTCACAGACTATGTGTTGCACACGTGTGGCTGGTGAAGTGACCTGTGATGTGGATGCTGAAGTGGCCTTCAGGCACAAATAGAACAACTCACTACACACACATTTTGGAGCAGCACAGCAGACCTGCATGCATAATGCAGCCTCACTGCATTCCTCGACTTATTTTTTTATAACCCTCACTGGCATTGTTTTTATTACGGTGAATCACTGAATCGCTTTTACTCTTTTTCTCCTACCATGTTGGAAAACAGACACTGGTGAAAACACAAAGACACACAAACAGAAAGATAGAGAGAGAGAGATTTGTTACTTGGAGGAATCAAGGAGGTTGCCATGGAGGGATTTGGAGCTGGAATCACAGGATAATTTTTGAGATAAATTGTTGCCTTTGTGGATTTAGTGATAATCCAGCCATTTGCCACATTTGGGCTAAACTTCACAGGCGCACAATTTATCTTCTGAAACGGGGCTTAGCGGTAAGAGAGCACATGTGTTTGAATGTGTGTTTGTTCTGGGAGTGTGTACAGGGTACAGTTTGTATTCAAGATCAAGCTAACAGAGTGCAGTGACCCACTTCCTTCAGCTCTCAAAGGAGCAACCAGACAGATAACGGATGCAGCCCCCTGCGTGCCTGAACATACATGTGCTGAACCACACTCCACTGGACACATCCAGATGGACAAACCTGCATAGGGCAACGCTTGGAAATTTGTGCACAGCTATCCAACACACACATACACACATCTCACAGGCTGTTTAGCAGGAGATTTTAGATTCAGTGCATTATCTACAGTATTTGCTGAGTAGCAGCTCTTGTTTCAGAGCCAGTGGAGCTGCCTGTAGTTGCTTATGAATAATTAAGAGCTCCAGTCTATCTGAGAGAGAACAAATCTAAAACATTCCTTTCTTCTCTTCTCCCACAGATATCTCTGCACTCTGATCTAGACGCTCACGGCACGTCTGTGTTTTAGCAGCTCATCAGGGTAGAATTCCCACAATCCTCTGCTGTTGCATACAGTAAATATAACAATAAGCTTATGGAAACAACTTTGAGTGCTGATCCAACAAGGCAGCAACCTCATTATAGACAGAGATGATAATGAAGTTGTGATAGGCTCTATTTCTCTGATTTCTAGGACAGTATAGAAATCATTTTTACCACACATTCAAAACAAACACAGAGGCCCATGTGAATATGAACTCACATGTATACATACTGCATTTAGAAACTTAAAGACGTGCAGAAACATGACAGTAGCTGCTGCAATGAGCAGTCAGGCAGCAACAGATTAGCCCTCGCCTCGCTCTCCTCTGCCTGGCTCGCACCACTATTTTCTATCCACTAACAAAAATTTGTTCTGAGTGAGAGACAGAACATTGCAAAGTATTTGCCCTTAAGTCAAATCTGTATCCACTCCGAGTTGTAAGTCCTTCAAATAAACATCCCACCTCTGAAATTTACAGTATTTCAGATTTATAAGGCACTCTCTGTCCACTACAACAAAGGTGAAATGAGTCAGGGCCAAAGTCCTTCATGTTTGTGAGTGTCTGTAAGTGGAGTGGTACTTTTAGTGACTCTGCACTACCTGTGGAAGAACTATCAGAGCATATTTCATCATTTCGATCAGTTGTTTAACTAAGAAATTGATCTAAAATGTTGGATTTCGGTACGCACAAGTTCACTGCAGGTGACAGTGAAACAACCGACGCATTTGTGAATGGCTTTGAGCGGTGCCAGCTATACAACAGGCTGCAAAAAAACTAAGAGACTTGTTGAAACACTCAACAGGAGTATTGATGCAAGGTCAAACACACAACAAGTTTCCTTTGAAAATGTTTGTCTAAAAATGCTGGTGGCAGAAAGAAGAGCGTGGGCAGTGAAAAAAAAACAAGCACTAAGAGTGAGTCAAAGATAAAGGCAGGGGTAAAACATGACTTACTGTACACAGTGAACAGTCTTCCTACCTCGAATCACTGACTGTAAATACAAGTAGTATGCACTTGTAAGAGTACAAGAAGGTTTTGGAGGGTTGTCAAATTTTGATTTCTCGTTTCGAAAACAGTTGTGTTTACAGAGCACCGTGTCAGGTCACTTTTCAGGGACAAATAGCTCACTACAAAACTTCTCCTTGTGTTGCTGGTTTACCTGCAGGCCCAGTGGCTTCCAGCGGACGTTCCTGAGCAGTGCTGGAGTGGAGCTCAGGGTGTTCTGGGGCCTTTTCTTCAGCGTGAGGATGACTCCACATGGGTCTTCTCTCAGAGCGTTGACCAGGTTCTTCAGCTGCCAGCCCACCTGAGGAGCACACACACCGGGCTACCAAAAAACCACCACGACACACACTGATGCACTTTTGGCTGTCAGCCCATCCTCACTGAGGAAACCACCATGAACGTATAGTAGGTCCTCAAACAGCTTCTTCCCACCACCACACAAGGGTAATGATACCTCCTGCCTCAGATACCACTTTCTACTGTCGCTGTTGTGCCATTATTACTAAGAGACAGCTGAGAGACAATGTAAAGATTCCCTAAAAACCCAGATGTAGTAGTCCAGAGTCTGTGGTCTCTTCTGTATCCTGCTATAACCATGAACAGAACAACAGCTATTCAAAACGAAGCCAAAACTTGTAAAGCTTCCTGTAGTGACTGGATCACCAGCTCTTCCATTGAAACAGATAAAACATGGGTGGAACTTTAAATAAACTTTCCTCAAATGTACTTTTTGTCAATTGGTTAGTTTTCATCATGCTGGTTTATGCTCAAGTGTTTATTTTTAATGAAGTTCAAACAAAAAAAGGTTATAGAAGCATTCTATATAGGTCTTGCAAAGTAGAAAGAGATGTTTGAATGATATTTGACATTAACCACTGAGACTGAGATCGTAACAAAGGATAGGAAAAAGTTCCTTCACTTTCAAATAGGGATGGGGCCGATCCAATCCAGGGTTCCGATACAAACATAATTCATGGATCTAAAATTTTTGATCCAACCTACGAAAATTTTCGATCCATAAGTCATGTCTTTGCTTTAACTTTGTCCGCTGAAATGACTATACAAGCGATTCTTGCTGGTCAGTCTACTTGCTGGCTACAAATTGCGCAATGGATTTCCTGAATGGAGGAGTGTCTCAATGGGACACTGAGTTGAGATATATATACTTGCCTGTAGAGAGGAGTTTATTACAGCCTCATTGACAATAAACAATAATGATAATAATGATGGTAAAGTTAACAGAGCTCTGGTATCTGAATAGTATCGGTATCTGCAGATATCCAAATTCAGGAATAGAGATCAGATCGGATGTGAAAAAAATGTGGATAGGTGCATCCCTACTTTCAAATACATATGAAGTTTAAATATGAACCTCAAAGCCAGTAACTCTTTCTGAATTAAGTGATACCTAGTTATTGAACATATTCAGAGATCAAATGAACCCAAGGTTTTATTGTAAGTTTGATGTGATGCATTTGCAAATTTGTGTTTTAAAACAGCTTTAATGTAACAAGATTGATTTCACTGTAGATATTTTCCACACCTAACCAATAAAGTAAAACATCACCTCTGTGTTTCACCCTGTCCCACTACCACTAGTCTGAAATAGTCATACTAAAATAAAGCTTAGTCAGTATGTTTAAGTTCTGAGGGAGAGAGAAAGATGGTAGAGGAGTGAGAAAGGAGTGCTGACTGCAGTGTTTCCTCGTGTTCCGGCCAGCCTGTCTCCAGAGCTCGCAGCACTCGTCAGCCCATTGATTGGCTACACGAGTCTCAGCTACTAGAAGTGTCCGCAGAGGCCACCATGCTTACACACACACTCACAACACACAGACAGAACTGCTCTGACCTTATTCCTGACATAATGATGACCGGTCTGTGTCAGCCTTTTTGTGGCACGTTGCCTGTTCTTTGGCGAGTTCAGAAAGTCTGGCTTTGGACAGTGTTGGTCAGCAACAAGAGCTGCCACAGAGGTCAGATAGTGCTGCATGTTGTGTCCCCTCAGGTGAAAAGTTACACTTAACACAGGTCAATGCTTATAAATATTTACAGATTTATAAAACCTAATTGTTTCATAGGTTCATTGTCCAAAACTATCAAGTCTTTACTAAAACTGATAACCATGTTTACTTTTGTTCGATCTGCTCCTAATCTGCCCCGTATGGGTTCCCCACAATTCAAGCTCCCATCCTAAGATAGGCTAACTCTCTACCCTCTACAGCTTCACACTGAACTGGCATACGGCAAACTATTATCAAGCATTTCAACTCTGCGAATGATTACAGGATATAAAGCTGAGGGACTAGGTTTTTGGTTTCAGGAACCTTCTGGTTTCCAAAGGTAGCTTTGTCCACTAGTGTTGTGGTGAGTTTGATTATACACAGAAAGATACTCAAGTTAGAAAGAAGAAGAGGTAGTACTGTGATGCATTACCAGTACTTGTCAGCTATCATGTACCACAACTTTTACCGAATCACAAAAACAGCAAAAACTAGAAGAAATACAAAGAAATAATTAATCCAAACACGTCCTTCATGAGCAGATTGTGCAAACAGACTTTGCCTTATTTCAAAGAATAGTCATAGTGAAGGCTCTCATGATGTTAGATTTTCATCTTGTGATTATTGTAGCCAAAAAACTCTCATAATGAAATTTACTTTTAAGAAAGTTGAAAATAAAACAATACAGTCTGTCAAATTGTAAAAAAGCGAGACAAAGGTGGATCAACACATCACTTCATAATGGGTTATTAATGAGCTTACAGCCATCATCCACTTCTAATGTTCAAATTTATGATTTATCCACATCCCCAACCCTGTCAACACAACTTCTATGAAGAAGACACTGCCCCATAAAACAACTTTCCATCATGCTTTTATTGTGATATATTTTGTCATGCATTTTGCCTGCCCAACTTCCTGCATGGCAAGGCTACACTTATTTTAGAGTGTAAACTACTTGGTTGATCTAATGTAGTGGAACTGAACACAATCAGGCAAAAGCTGTGTACATGTATGGGTGATGTGTATCTGTTTGTATGGGTTTACATACAGATACAGGTGTTTATGTATTTTTATACCTAGAAAATTAAAAGGATAATGAGTAGATGGCTGGGCTGCAGCCCTTTAACTTATTTTATGCCAAGATGTTGTTTGTTGATGTTTTTCTTCTTATACTTCCATTTCTTCTTTGCTTGGATGCATATCATCTAATTTGTGAATTAATTTGTTGTTACAAGGGGTAGACAATATAAGTTCACTTCTTTCTGCCCCCTGTCATTCAAGAGTTACAGTGTTATCTTTTTTTATGAGCTTAATTTTTGTTTTTATGCTTGATAAATGAATGAAATGAATAAACTAAACTAAACAAAAAGACTTTCACAAACAAAGAGACACAGGCTCTGATATTGTTTCAGATTCACAATCAGCCCTGGATTGATTTTAAAGAAGCTTGATCACCTTTCAAAAGGCTTTGGCTAAGCAGAAGATGCAAAACTTGTATTGGTTGATTCGAAGGATGAAGATGATTTCAGAGAGCCAACACCTGATGAGGGAGAGTAATTTATAGCATTTAAAAAAGCTACAAAACAATTGGGCTATGTACTCTATTGTATACTGAATTGCATCAATGTTACACCAAATATAGGATCTACTCAGACATTTTCTCTCGACTCAAACTCTTGAATTCCAAGTCAGACTTTAAACCTTGACCAGTACATCTTTTGTGGCGTTTATGAGTGAGAACAGAAGCAGCCCTGAAAAACAGACTGCTAATGAGCTATTTCTCAAATTAAAAAAAATATGGCTATATATATCTCTCTGTAAAAAATTACATGCTTTTAAGATCCCCAAGCACTTTTCTTCTAAAATACTCTTACCATATCCCCACTACCATCACCCATGAGAGGATTCTTTATCACACCAGCAGGATTAGACTGACCTGTAAATGAACTCAACTGTGCCTTGCTCAAGCTAAACTTCACCACTCCTGTGAGACTTACCATAGGAGTGGACAGCACACAGAGAACATGAACGGCAAAAATAAAAATCTAATCAGGCCAGTTTATGCAAAGTGTTCTGTTATGCAAATATGCAGATAACAGAGGGAGACAGGGAAACCTACCAAAAATAATAATAAAAGAACATAAACTGCTGCCGATGAGGTTTTTCTTTTTTTTTGAGAATCCCTGGGGTCTTCATTATTTTCCCAGATGCTTTTACCTCCACATAATTATGTTGCCTCTTCAAACAACCAGTTTGTTTTTGAGCAAATTCCATATTTTACCTCAAAAGAAAAGCTGAGCTAAAAACTGCGAGCCCTGTTTTGAAGTGATTCTCAAACAGAAGCTCATGCATAGACATGAAGGCAGGTCTGTAGCTAAATACGTGAGTTAGGCTCTCATAATGATTCCATAATGTAATAGGATTTGTTGATCCAATACTCACACTAATTCAATTTTTGGATATGGAGTCTCACAAGATAAAGTTATCAGCAGAGATGTTGACAGAGAGTTTGATGGTGGAGTGTATCCATCTTCTCTCTTCAGCAGCTCCATTTAGCCCCCTCCCCTCCTGTCCCCCCTTTTTTCTTTCATCAGCTTCCTTTTCTCCCTAAGTCCCTCTTTGCTTCCTCCTCCCTTATTCGCCCCCCCCCTCTCCCAGCTCTGTGACTTCCCTGCATCCCCTGACTATTTCACCCCCCTTTCCTCATCACACACACACACCTCTGTCTCCCCCTGCTTATCTCCTCCCCCAGGGTGAGGGATCAGAGTGGTGAGGGTCTAGCTGTGGGAGTAATGAGCGGTTGGAGCTGCGAGCCTAGCGGGGTGCGATCTGCACTGTCACCTCAAGGAGAGAGAGGGAGAGAGATAACACACGGCTCCCTCACGCGTCAATCAATGCCGCTCCCCGGCGCCTACAAGCCGCTTTCACATGAGCAGCACCTATCCAGACATACGAGGAAGTACTTGCAGGAAAAGCACATAAAAGACTTCTGCAAACAGATTAAACCTTTTCTCTACCCCTCGGAAATCTCAAATAAACGCTGGAACAAATCGTTTGTGTCAGAGCTGACAGAACAGGCAACAGACAGCTCACTCAATCATATGCTCTCACAAGGCACCGTTCCATTTAAAATGGCTGCCCATTCTGCATTTCCCTCTAATGTGATAAGTTGAGGGAAGAAATACAAGTTCTTCAAGTCGGAAAGTGGAACATGAGTTCACATTTCAAATCAGACGCCTCCTTCAGGGGTTTCTTACAACAATGGGAACAAATTCCAGAAAAGTGTGAGCTGACAATCACGCTGGACTGAACAAAGGTCTTGTAACAATCGTCCTATAATCTGCTCCCGAAGCAGGTCTAATTAGCCTACATAGCGACACAGGCACAGGACAGGAAGCACCATGGCGGCAGTGGTGGTGGTGGTGGTAGCAGACATCATGTACCTCGACATTTCGTCAACACAGCACAGAATGGAGAACAAAAGGCAGTTTGCAGTATGTGTTCACAGTGGAAACACATATAAAGTGTTTTTTTTCTTTCTTTTCTGTGATTCTATTGTCAGCTTTGGAGCTTCTCCACTTACCACTGTCTGGTGGTTGACTTGGATCACCTCATCTCCTGCATGGATCTTCTTACACTGGTCTGCTGGAGACTGTAAAGGCGGGAACCGGAGAAGAAAAGGACGATCAGAGCAAATGGAAGACAACTTAAAGTGTAAAGTCTGCAGAATTTAAAACCGTGATTTGTGGTTGCTTAAGTTTCAAGCTTCCCATTTAGTGAAATGAAAACTCACATTCTCTGTGGTCCCAGTGATGACATGAAGTCCATCATATGTCGATTTGATATACATCCCCTAAAACACAACAGCACAGGTATGGGGATAAGATTCAGAATAATACAGGGTGAACGAGGTCACAGTAAAGCACACAATCGGATCACTTTTGAATTTGTGTCCATAATTCAGTCTATTTCAGGACCAGACCTGGACTCATGTCAAGTTCAGATTGACTCACAGAGGGCCCCAAGTCAAAGTAAAAACCACTTTGGTTTGGTGTTGACTGAAGCTCTATGTAAGTTTTATCTTTATTAGAGGTGTAAAGTCTCCATTAAACCATGTGTTTAAACTATAGACTGTATGATAAGTGGACATAGCAACAGTGACGTCACCCATTTGTTTGTGAAGCAGCAGCTGACTCAGACTGACTCTTAGTCCACCTACTACTAGCTTTTCAACTCATTACAAATAGCTAAAGTGTGTCAACCTGTCAGTCAAGTCAGCCATGATTTGCAAATCTCTTAACATCTTCGAAATGGAAATGTTACAAAAACACTCACTTCCTTTACAGTGGGAGCCAAAGGTTGGATGAGACTAGCTAGTTTGTGACTTAAGTTGTGTCAAAGTTGTTGGTAAGGTTCACCATTAGTGGAGCACACCATCCAAACTATCCAAACTATTTCCTCAAAGTTGACATTTTTACTTCCCCTGGCCATCACTGAACAGCTCTTTTCTTCATACTGTCTTTGTTAGAGTTGCCTCTCAGCACACACAAAAGATATGTAAGATACAACAAAACCTTCTTTGATTGGGCAATTGAACCTAAACTCCTAATATACAACTGTAAGGTAACAACAGCCACACCGGGGGGGGGAAAATATTGGTTTTATAAAATTATCTCAGCTCCCAGGAAAATGTCAGCAGGTCTGCAAATCAAAGTCTAGCAGAGAGAACAGTCACTTTCTCCTCCCCATCCATTCAGACATCCCTCTCTTTTAAAACTATCTTTTATAACTCACTTGTTTTAAAGAGCTCAAGTTCACAACTTGTGCAAATTAAGCTCCTGGATGACTAGAGAGTTGAGCCCGATGTGGCTGTTGCAGAAGGCTAAAGGCCCCTCTGAACTTTGCCTCTTTGCCTCTCGCTGGTTCGACTGAAAGGTTGAGTTGGCATTTCAAATTTGACAACCACCACCTTTGGGCTTAAAACTAAGACTTCATAAATCAGTAGGGGGACATAACTGTTTTTCATGTTCTATACAGTATAATGGCCAAAATGCTGTTTGCTACTCAGAGCTGTAATATTTAAGATGTTCCTCATGCTAATGTTAAACTACCTCATCTGGTGTAACCCCTTAAAGTGTGAGCAGTGAGTAAGGTTTGTCCAAAGCTAGACAATACATTCTAACCAGGCTCAGTTTGAACTTAGAGATATCTGGTGCAACCCAGTATGGATTAAATTATCTTATATATCTTATTTCCTTGCCAAACATTTCAGACTCCTAGAACCCGACAAGAATTCTGATTTGAGATGAATTTCTCTCATTTCAGAGACCACCATGTTACTCTAGCTTGAACTAGCTTCACTGTGAAAACTAAAGTGTTTAATTTACATCAACCTCATCTTCTTCAAAGCATCCAGTGACCTCTCTCAATGATTCTGTGATTGTAACATGCGCTTTTCTATTTCTAAGATGAAAACTTTACTCCACTGAAGAATTGACTCGACATAATACTTCAAAGATACAAAACTCAGGCTGTGAGTTTTGACCTGGTGAATTCCCATAACAAGCAATAAGGAATAAGTGGGCAAAAAGAATACACTGAATATTTATACACCCTAAACGTTTCATTATTAGTCCTGAGCATTGAAGAGACTTGGGACCAGATTATGTAAAAGCATTGTTAACAGCTTTGAAGGAGAATGTTTAAAAGTTGTGTGAAACAGTCTATAAACTTCACATAACACAAGTGCTGCATATGAAGATATAACTCCACCTGGGTTCTGTCCTTTGGGACTTCTGACTTGACCTGCCTTTAAAGCTCATTGATTTAAGGAGCAATGCAGCATCGACACACTATAACCTCATAAAGCTGCTATGACGTAGGTTTGCGCAGTTAAACCAAAATCCATGGTTGAAAGATAATAAAATGCTCTGAAGGCAGGACTGAGGAGAACTGCAAAGACAGGTAATAAATGCCCATGCATTGATGCAGTTTCACATTACGCATTCAGTCCTTGGCTTTAATGAGTTTATCAATTACTGCATCTCTGAAACAGTGGTGGTGGAAGCTCGTGTGTGAATCCTCAAGTGTAGTCTTACCAGGCCTTCACTGGGCATGATGCTGGTAAGGTGGACCACCTCCAGATGGGCAGACTGGGAGACCAGAGAGTCCGATGACAGAGAGATGATGTGGTCACATATCCCTGCTAAGGTCTTACACTGCAGTGTCATCAGAGGTAAAGATAGCAGGAGGGAAAAATGACAAAGAGAGCAGGAGAGAAAGAGGAAGGGGGAGAGAGTGACAAAAAGAGAAAGAAAGTTATTGAGATTGGTTTTGGTCCACGAGGGATGCTGTGACCTAGCTGGAGGAGGTGAAACAGAAATCCTTTCATCAGGTTGTTCCACATCACCACTTCCATCACTCCAGCATACAAACTGTTTCCTGTCACAGTTGGTCCACCGGCATGCCCACAAGACACTGTCACAGACAGGACAACACATCACCGATACCAGCTAACCCTGTGGTGCCCCAGTGACATTTTCTAACATCTAAATTACAGACCACACATGCCATTTGTGGAGATCTGTAATCTTTTCTGAACTTAAGTGCTATTTTTGCTCTAAAATCATGTGAATAAGGACAGACTGCAGTTTTATTCTGCACTGCTCTTAAATTCCCGTACATGGAGGCTAATACGCGTTGAATAAAATGCACCTAAAGCCTCACCTTGCCTTTGTTCCAAAGAGCCCATGACTGTTTTCCAGGCTATTTGTCTGCTCAGTCACGCATGCAAGTTAATTTATCTTTAGCAGCATCTCTGCCTTCTAATCTTGGCTGATGGACTGAAGCTCTCAGAGACGGTTACCCTGGTTATCTTGCATCATTGCGTTGCTATTTAGCGCACAGCACACTCACACATACACCAACAGACATGCGTTTCAGAGAATATACCTAGACTAAGTTTACACAAGCTGCATGACAGTAATGAACCCTGCTTAAAATAATCTTCTGATCTCAGTTCTAATGAGCAATTACAGATTAATGTGATGGAATGAAGAGAGATCTTCAACACACACATAATATGGCGCAGACATTTGCAGGCATGCACACACAAACACGCACAAACATACACACACACGCTATAGCTCGGAGCCTATGATTCATTCAGTGTGAGGGAAAAGGGGGGGATTTTCAGTGAGCCAACCATGTGATGCATATGCTCTTCCTCTCTTTTCTTTCTCTGTCTTTCCCTGTCTCTTGCTCATACATTCAAAAATATACAACATCATTTTCTGGGTCAGTTATTTGAACATTACGCTGCCTGTTTGATTTTATATTTATATAGTTTGTTTATGTTCTAGTCCTTGTGCATATATCATAGAAAAAGCTATCTTTTTCATGTCTGACTGTACATGCCATCCACACTGAGCTTTGATAGGACATGTCTGCAAAGTTAATCAAATATTGATCACAATCATGGCTTTGATATCCCAGAGTTGAAAAATAACATGCCTAAGTACAATAGTGATGTTTGAAATGCTACTGTATATAAGATAAAGCACTTCCTAAACAAATACCCACTCCAACCAGCAGACGATCCAGAGGTTAGGGCCAAAATGACAGAAACAAAGGTCAAATGTCTACACTGGATGAATAAGAGCTGCCCACCAGAAACAGCTAATCACTGATTATTCTGAGGTATTTCAGACTTAAGGCAAGTAATTTTTAGCAAGGCAAAATACAATGCAGAGAGTGGTTGAAGCTTTGGTCTATGCTAGAGGCAACACAACTAATAAGTTCAACCACTTGAATGAAAACCTCAAACTGCAGAATGACTGTGTGAAAGACAAGAGGAACGATGGTAATCACCATTCTGTGTCGAGTATCAAGTCAGAGACTGATAATTACAGCACTAAAGACCTACACTGTAGACTACAGACCTACACTGTACACTACAGACCTACACTGTACACCACAGACCTACACTGTAAACTGCAAGCCTACACTGTGCACTACAGACCTACACTGTACATTACAGTCCTACACTGTACACCACAGGCCTACGCTGTAAACTGCAAACCTACACTGTTACAGACCTACAATGTACACTACAGACCTACAATGTAAACTGCAAACCTACAATGTACACTACAGACCTACACTGTACACTGCAAACCTACACTGTACACTACAGACCTACACTGTGCACTACAGACCTAACCTAATTGTATTTCTGCTCACTTTATCTTGCTCTTTGTGTTATTTGTTTTATGTATCATTGTACAGCACTTTGACTACCCTTGTGGTTATTTTAAAATGTGCTATATAAATAAAGTTGATTGATTGATTGATTGAACTGTGCACTACAGACCCACACTGTACACTGCAAACCTACACTGTACAATACACTGTGCACTCCTAAATGTAACTCTTAGTTGATGCAAAAGTTGTTTGAACCAGAATGCAGCACAAAACCCATCTGGAAGCACAGCCCTGTTTGAAAACCTTGTTGTCCGGTTTGAACAGGATACAGCAAAGCCAGTGCAATTATGTTTTATCACCTCCGAAATATCTCTGAAATTCAATCGATTAATCTTTCATAGATGATTTTATGTGTTTTTGTCTCATTTATCTCAATTACTATAATTACTTTTTTCTCCTGCATGCCTAAACTAAAAACCACTGGCCCTCTGAGTGTTTTATGACTGAATTTATTGTGAACTTTTGAATCTCTCTGTGGCCTTTCTCCCGGCTACATATCAGACCTGCTAGTATATTTTGAGCCAACACATACTTTAAGATCCTCAGGCAGGGGTCTTCTGTCTCTTCCAAATACCAAACTGGTGACAGAGAGTATGTCGCAAGGGGTCTAAAACACTAGACGGGCCTCTCAGAGTGAATCAGATCAGCTGAGTCAGTGATCCCTTTTAAATTTTTAAACATACTTTCATCAGCAAGCCTTTCCCGATTTAACTTGAATTTTAAATTGCTAACAAATTCAGTTGTTTGACCTGTCTGTTTGATTTTGCTGCCTCTTTGTAGCATATTGATGAACAAGATGATTGATAAATATAATTTATTATTGTCAATTTTATGGTAAAAATACAAAAAGGCTGTTGCCAAATGATCAAATAATTACATTAAATGAGAGTTATCGCTTTGCTGATTCAAATAATGGTAATTTTGGCCATAATTATGCAGTCCTCAATGCTTCTAGCTGTGTGAATATGTAGGTGAAAGTCAAAGGAGAGTATATCTAATCCTGACAATAGAGCTGCAAATAGCATGAGATGTCCCCTGCAGCATACCATGAGCAGCAATTCTGTGGCTGTGCTTGTATCATTTTTGATCATTGGACTAATAGCCTGACCTGGGATTAACACAGACCTTGAGACAAGAGGCGAGCTACCGACTCCTCCAGCTGTGACACACCCTGCCTGGATCTGACACGCCTCTGGAGAATAAGGGCTCAGATTATAGAGGCGTTAACTGATGTGACTAGCAGGCGTGAGATTTAAGTGCGGTGAAACAGAAAGCCAGACATACTATGCTGCCAAATGGATTAAGCTCTGCACACTCTTTTTCTTCTTCATCAACTCGCACCTTTCTCTCATGCACACACTACCGCACATTAACATGCTAACACACACTTAGAGCGCAGTTGCTCTATGCATTGTCTCCACATGCTTGAGAATTTCATGCTGCAACGAGTATGAACCTAACTAGAGACACAGTAGGATGGAGAGAAGGGGAGAGGAGGAGAGAAGAAGGGAGGAGAGAGGTGTGTGTGTCTGTGTGTGTGTGTGTGTGTGCGCGTGTGCGTGTGTGCGGAGGGGGTCTAGGAGGAAAGGCTAGAAAACAAGGGAGAGGAAAAACACACAACTAGGACAGTCTTATGTAATTTCCCTCATCCTTACGCATGCATGCACATAAAAACACACACATACTCATACACACTTCACGCTCCATCAGACACACAGACTCACACATGCTCATATCTTCTCTCTCTCTCATACGCACACAACACACGCGCATACACACACACACAAAAAACACACACAAACACATGCGTGCACACACTATCCCTGTCCATCTGATTGCTGCAGGCCCTAGTCTGGAGGAGAGCAGAGTAGCAGTGAGTTTTGCATTATTGAGAGGAAGCTGACAAATGTACAACTGTCGCTACAGTCACAAAGACGGAGCTGACCCGCACATTTAACAGCGTCTGTGTGGAGTTAATGCTAGATACTCCACTCGTACTGCCGGCTGTTTAACCGGCATGCAGACATCATAATGTTAGATTACAACACCACCAGAGAAACAGAGCTCTATAAAAACCCGGGTCATATAAAACGAAATTTGTGTTTATGTGTTTATGTTTTTATGTGTTTATGTTGCCAAATGAAACCAATACATTTTCATGCATTCACCATGTAAATATGACTGATAAAGCTGATTCTGATTTTTTTTTTTTAATTTTGGCTGCAGTAAAGATTTTAAAAACAGCATATTAGAATATGAGAGCTTTTTTAAGATGCAGACAAATTTAAAAAACGTTAGGTGACACTTCACGGGGTGGCCTGATCAATCAATGGCCAATTAATGGCATTTGTGACATATTCAGTATTATATCTGCACCCATTAACCAACTCCAAAAAGTCACTGACTAGTATTTTAATATTGTTTTGCATTCATAGTAATATCAGCCTCAGCCATGTTTAACAATCTGTCGTTCCAGTGATTCATTAAAAATCTATCTAAATCATATTACTGGCTGACACCACAAGTATTTTAGACTTTGATAAGTATAGAATGATGAATCTGAACATGACTTTTTTTACCCTAATTAAAACCCCAGCAGTTACCTTATGTTATTATTTTTGCAACAATTTAAGAAACAATTTCTGTTTGCCAAACAGAAATCCTAAAGTCCCTTGCAGTGATGTTTAACTGAGCCGAATATTATTCCATCTATATGTATTTGATTAACTACAGTTCAGCAATTTTGTTTTTATTTGATAGTCTTATCAATTGTTGTATTTTTTCAAATGCAAAACAAACAAAATATGATATGAAATCAGCATTTTGTATCGACCATCAGCTGACCTGTCAGAAAAATCAGCATCATTACTGACCAGGGAAAAACTTTTATCTTTTAACCAATAACAATAATAATAAGGATGATGATAATAATAATAAATACTATTATTATTAGTAGTAGTCGTAATGGTATCTTAACAAGGTAGTACTGTTTTTATAAAAACAAAATATTTAGGTAAAACAGATAAACAACAGAAAAATGGCAAAAAATGATAGAGTTTAAACATAAGTGTAAAAGGCACTTGTAAATGAAATATTAACGTGTTAATTACAAAAGGAAAAATCTTGACTTTGATAATCAACTACATGTCTCTGTATGTAAGCCCATCATGTATTAATAGGTATATAGGTTCCTATATGTCCTATATAAGTCTAGTGCCAGCGTCACTTCATCTCCTCTTTATCTCCAAAACACAAAGTAAACAAGAATCAGCTGGAGAGTATAATCTAAAATCAAACAGCTCATCCCTCTCTCTCTCTCTTCCTCCATGCTATCTCCTTATTTCTCCCAGAAACCTCACACATTACAGGTTTTTAAGTGTACGTTCATGTCTATGTATGCGCACATGTGCTGAGCCATTTTAAGTATTTCAGTGTATCATTAACAGGCATGTGACAATCCAGGTAAACAAGAGCCATGGTTCAAAAACAAAGGAAATGAAAGGGGGAAGTCGCACAAACATGAAAGGCATTATCCTGAAAAGAGACCGACATGCAAGTTGTTTATAGAAGTCATGCAGAAGCCACACTATACAAACCTTCAGACAGAGGATCTGAGAGTGGAATTATTGATTGAAAAAATCTTCAGATATTTTTTCTCTGAAGTCCCCCCATCAAAATTTAATTTGGTTTCTTCCTCCTGACCTTGAATGGCAGCAGGAAGTGTCCCAAATCCAACTGTCAGTCCACATCAGACACTAGCTCCTCACTCGGTTTCACACGTGGTTACAGACGGTTCCCCATCATACATGCATGGGCACTGACGCACGCGCCCACACACACACACACACAAGCACACATGCCAACACACGCTTTCACACAGAAGGACACACACACACAAGCTGGAGCTCTCAAGAGGCCTCAGGCTTGCTTTGAATATAACACAAACAATTTTGGGCCACAAATTCCCACACACATACAGAACTGTGACATGCAAGCGAGATACACAGCAAAACAAATAAGAAAAAAGAAAAGACATTTGACGTGTTTTCAGAATGCATAGAAGCACTTTTACAAATATGCTCTCTGAGAAAATCAGAGAAAAGATTGTGTGCAACACCGAGATTAGATTTTAAGAGGAAATTGTTAATTATTTAGTTTTTCTCTTTGATAGAGTTAGATGAGGTGACTGATACCTCCCTAGAGCCGGTTTGGTTGGCTTCAATCACTAGAAACAGTGGGAAATGGCAAACACGGCTCTGTCTGGAGTCAGTCAAAAAATCTCTAACTTGACCTTCAACATGTTTACAACATGTAAAATCTAACATCATTTTTAAAACAAGTCATAGTTTTGTGATCTATAATGTATGGAGCAGCATCCTATTGGAGTTTCACGGATGCTTGCAACTGTTTTTACTGTTACAGAGCAGTTTTTGTGGGTTAGAAACCAAGTCAAAAAAACTCAGTTTCACTGTTCAATTAATGAAGTGATTTTTCTTCCTCAGAAAAGCCAGTTTAGCTGTCTCCCTCATTTTTTTTTACCTTGACTATGAAATTAGTGGCTACTGACTGTTACAACTAAAACACAGATAAAATAGTCATATATGAATATGACTGGCGCCCAATTCTTCACATAAGAACCAAAAATGAGGGCAAGCTAAGATGAAACTTTACTGGCCAAGGAGGAAGTGTCGTAGCTGATATGATAAAATGAAACTCACCACATGGAGGATCTTGTTCTCCGTCTCATACACAGTGCAGTCCTGTAAGGAGGGAGCAGAGACAAACATCAGGCTCAAATTTCTCCAACCAGGAAAGACAGAAATAAGAGAAACGACACATCCATCAGGAAGAACAAGAGGTGACTCCCTCTTCAAAGGAGAACATAAACTCTCTGTGATTTAATTTCTAACTTTACACATTCTGCATAGTTCTTTAAAATTTGGGCAGACTGAAGCACCAGATAGACATGCTCTGGATCCGTTCGACTGTCGTGGGCTCGATGAGCCTCCTCAGGATTTGGAAACGACAATATTTGAATGTGACAGATTGTTATTTAACGATAGCTGATAGTTAATCTATTTCTGGGAAAGCAGCCCACTGAATCCACCAGATGTGCATGGTAGCAGCTAATTCATCTGTGTGATGCATTATTGCGGGTTCTGCTGCCACCTTTGTCTGTCTCATTGCACCCTGGCAACCACATGTACATTTGGCCCATTGTGGTCCTACAGTGGCCCCCCTCTCCCCCCTCTCCTCTGGCCCTTACAAGAGGGAATGGGTGTTATCTGTGCAGCTCCAGGACTTACTCTGGGCACACATACAAACCCACTCTGATTCACTCTGAGCAGGCTCTTACAGGGGAGGACATGGATGGGGTCCAAGATAGCAGTCATAGTTTTTGTCCAAACAATGAGATTTACACAATATCAGAGTGTGTGCATGTAGCTCTGGCTTTATTTTTTTTAAGTGTATTTGTGTGTGACTGTGGTGAATCAACATGAGGGAGAGAGCCAGAGGGGGAGCAGATAGCGGACAGGAAATGAAGGGACCCCTTGTTCATTCTCCATCAGTGCCCATAAGTTAAACAAAGGATGAGTCAATGAGTACTTTGCCTGAGGGTGTTAGAGAGCGCTACTCGTCCCATCAGCCATGCTGCAAACAGCCTGGAGCAGTGGGCATATGTTCCACTCAAAATCAAATCTATAGAAATGAGCCACAGGCCAAAATAATCTATACTGAAATTACAAATCCACTTTAGTTTGCCCTTTCCTTTAAAATTACGATGTTTAACGCACAGATCTGATAAAAATAGAAATTTCAACATGCATGCGTGCCGTGAGCGTGAGTGTGTGTGCAACTACCTGTTGTACGATGGTTGTTAGTTCCAGGCAGAGCTGTACGATGTTGTTCTTCAGTAATGAATACTCTGTTACACTGGCAAATGGAGACCTGAGCAGACAAAATAATACAGAAGAAAATAGAGTTCATCATCTCAAAAACTCATTTGAGACCCTAAAAATATGCTGAAAATTTGTTGAACCTCGGAAAATACGGGCCATGATCTCATTCTAAATTTTGTTGTTTCTCATCAGACGCTCCCGCCTGCAAGGACTTAAAAACAAAGACAGTGTTTTTCTCAAGGATGAAACTGCATGTAAATGAATATAAAAGAGTAAACTGCCATTCTATGAAGAAAATTGAGTTTGTTTATTTCGCCCAGAGGAAGCAATTTTTCCCCCCAATTTTGGCTATTTTATTTGATTTTGTTCATTTCATTTATTTGCTAACAGTGTGATTTCAAAGCTGTGATGGGGGCAGAGAAATAGAGCAATAAAAGCTGTTCTATGTTCCTCACAGAGCACAGGAGTGATGAAAACAAACAGCGATATTTGCTTTTGTTTTATGACCAGGAGGCTGTGAAACCCAGGGATCCAAAGCCCAACATTACTTTATTTGTAGGAGTGCATAGCTTCATATGGTTCCATCAGCTGATCAAACTTCACCAGCACTGACGCGTGCCTCTCTGTAGTCAAGAAAACTGAGGATTTATGCCACACTTGTCTTGTCTGCCTGACAGTGCACTTAGCACAAAGAAGGAGAAGACTGTTAGCTTTGAAAGTTCAGTATTTATGCTGAGCCAAGTAAACGTGCCAGTGGATGATTTTAAAACTTATATTAATTATTAAAATACAATAAATTAAACTCCAACAAATACATAATCAGCCTGCGTGGGCAATGCTTCAAGATATAAATTTAGGAAAAGACACCATCTTGTGCTTCATACTATACAAGTAAAAAAAAAAAAAATCATGCTACGCTAACATACGGTGAGGGAACATTTGGATGACTTGAACATTACCACATTGTTTTAACAAGTACAGGGAAGTTCCTACCTGTCAAGCCAGGCTAGCAGGTTCTTAGCTGCTCCAATCAGATCCACCACCGAGGTGAGGAAATCATTCGGTAACCTCCTGGAAGCTCGTCCATCGTAGTGCCCACCCCTCCGCCGACCCAGGATGAAGTTCTGGAGGTTCTTTGCCGAAGCATTGAGCTTGTGGGACAAAGTCCGGAGGTTCTCTGTCTCAAGGCCATAATTCTGGAAAACAGGAAGTATTTCAGATAACGTTATCAATCGGACATCTGTGGCATAGGAGCTTGGGCTTGTCTTTATATCAGTACACACTGAGACTATTACAACGATTACAAGTTCACTTTTTTATAAATATGGTAGGACTTCACATAAAATCTGTGTTAGAGCCAGTAACTACGGGAACAATACAAGCCTGACCACTTAGCAACACTAGTGAGATACTTCTGTTAGTGTGTGGCTCAAAATAATCAGAGTAGGACTGAATATGAGGGTAAGAGAGCTTGGAGATGTTTAAAGATGTTTCATGGATCCCAGGACGATTAGCTGGAACTCTGCGTCCGCTGATAGGGATCCAAAATAAAACTTAACTGAACTAAAGGGACATTTTTGATTTTTTTAAGGGAGCAAGACTACCTGTCTCAAGCTAGGCTCATCATCTCCTGCCTCCTTTCGCTCTTTGAAACAGGTTGCAGAGGAGTCACATGCAACCACTGCCAGTACAACATATCACATACAGTACATTTAACATTTATGCTCATCTGTCTCCATAAAAATACACAAGATTCGCTTCTTACTGGTACAACAGAAGACACTGCTGACCTCTTCATTCTACTGATAGTAGTCAGTGAGAAAAACTGAACCAGTAATGACCACTTAAACTAAGGCATCGGGATTTTCACAAAACATCGGCTCTGCACAAAATAAGAATACTGGGCTCGTTGAGTAGGCTATTACTGCTTGCGACCCTATTAAATAAACACACATACGTACTCACACACACACATACACAATCTCACAAACAGACCCACTGAGCCACATTGCTCAGTGTCCCAAGGCACCTACAGTCATGTTTGCCTGACAGAGCCTGATTCCTGCTGACACAAAGGCTACACACACACACACACACACATACACACACACACACATTCCCCCTGTATAGCGAGATGCACAGGCTTAGCTAGACGTATCTATTCCTCCTCTGCCTCTAGATCTATTCTACACAGTCACGACCGCAGTGACTACAAAGAGGAGAGGGTTTCACAGTGGCAGTGGAGAGAGAGGCAGAAATGAGGGAATTGAGGAACTAAAGAGGCAGAAGACAAGAGGGGAAGAGAGGAAGAGAGAGCACCCAGCTATGAATCTCTCTGAAACTGGGTCATGCATACTTTGTGTTCTGTACAATCTTCTGTTTTTGTGTGTGTGTGAATGTATATGTATACATGAACCAAGAGCGTGCATGTTTGCACAGCTGTAATTAGTCTGTCCTATGATTCGATCTAAAGCTGTGTGCGGCTCTCTCCGGGGGGACAGAGCGCTGAGATGAAGCGAAGGAATAATGCCCTGTGTCGGCCATCTGAATGACTTTGTGCATGAGTGTGTACGTGTGTGTGTGTGTGTGTGCGTGTGCGTGTGCATGTGCATGCGTGGAGAAAAGGAGAGAAATAATTTGAGCAGTGCGTGCATATGTGTGCCTGTGTGTGTGTGTGTGTGTGTGTCAAATCAATACAGTAAGAGGGCGATGCCATTAGCGCAACCACCCCTCCACCTTCATGTCGATGCGGTTGCCATAGCAGCCATGTGTGGAGTGGCCTCTCCTCTATGCTGATATTGCTACCATTGTTCAGAGAATCACATTCAAACAGCGTTTATGAAATACTTCAACAAGGAGGGAAATTTCAGCCTTTGATCCTTTTCTTTGCTTAAGTAAAACATTCATCAGTGTTGCTTCACAGTTCAGATTTTAACATTCAGCTTTCACAGACAACCCGCACCAAAGTGTAGTGTCTTATCTTATTTATCAAAGAATATCGGCTTTGGCACGTGTTCCTTTCAGCTTAGAAGATCTGGGTTCAGATCAGGAATATTTTCAGTTGCATGATGACTGAGTGTTACATTTCTGCAGCAGGTTTTCTTCAGAATAACACAATCGTTCTTTAACCCTGTGACTTATCCGAATTAAAAAGATGTATATATTTTGATTTGTTTGGAACCTGATTAAATATCACAGCAACTCCGAGAGGAAAAGTTAAAGGGGCATCAACAAAACACTATCCAGGGGCAAGAAACCGAACATTCAAAATTCATTTATGCTCTCCTATATGGAACATCTGAGGACTCCTGTCTAATTAGCATAAGTGTTTAAATATAGATGAAAAGGACTCAGAACGTAAATTATGGCCAACTATTTAATAACTTTTGCATAATAACCAAGAGGATTTTGAAATCAAGTTTGAGTCACACAGTGTGGCACTCAAAGGAAACCAACATAGAAAGCTGACTAATCTGCATGAAAGGAGAAGATGACAGCATGAATCACTTTCTCAGAACAAAAGCGGAATAAAAGGAGAATTAGGACAGATTCCAAACACAAAACAGCCAACTCATTATTATCATGGAATATGCCGAGATATTTTCAGCTCCAGAGTTGTTTGAGACTTGACTGAATTGAAAGATACAGTGATAATAAAGAGGGAAAACATTCTGATTGACCGAACGGGTTTCCTCCAGGTTCTTTGTTTTACTCTCATTAATCGAAACATATAATAGTCTGATTCATTGAAAACTTTTTACACCAATATGTTTGACCATGTTCAAACCAACACAGAAAAAGTGTATTTTTGTCATAAGTCACTGTTAGTTATGAATGACGTCACTCAGCTGGTAATGGAAATGTTTATCATTAAGAATTGGGTATGAAACACCCTAAAAGGTCGGCCTAGTGTTCTTAAATTATGCAGATGTGATTTTATATGTGATCTTATCTGCAGATATGATTAAGAAACGCAAAATTGGCATCACTTATGTGAATGTTTTTTACTGTTTTAGAAGTGGATAACATAATGCAATCTATAATGTGCTCCCAGTATTGTAAGTGGAGAAAAAAAAGGTACAAACGTTTGTGTGCAACAATTTTTTCAGTTTACCTCCAGGTCCACAAAGAAGATGAAGCTCTTGAAGAAATAGGAAGCCCTAGAAATTAAGGGTGCATTTGAAAAAATATCCAGAGAAAATAATTGAAAAATTATTGATAATCCTATGAGTATCCTCCAAACAGGGTGAAGGTTATTATTGGTTTTCAGTGGCGGCTCAAAAAAATCCATATCATGCGTCCCTCAAAAAAGCTCTGCCAACTCTGATGGTGCAGATTAAGTAACAGTCACGACAGATAACCAGAAATCAGCCAGGTCCTAGTTAAACACTGGCTCTACAAGCTCAAATTTAAACTAGTCTTAGAAGGTTAAAGTAAAAAAAATAATAATATAATGCAGTGTTGAGGCTACATCATGATACTCCCAAAGACCTGCCACCTGGCTTCCACAGCCCACTCTGGAAAGGTCTACTTGAAGTCATCTGGGGTATTTTTCTTGAGTTAGTTTTGTTTGTGTTTTTAATTCTCTACATTTTAACTTCAGTACAATCTTAACCATGCCAGTGTCATTATCATAGGTCTTTCAATCCTGATTTTGGCAGCATTTCATTCTTAAGTTAGGTCCTTTCCTTGGTGTATTCTTCTGAAAATTCGTTGAACCCCCCAGAAACCTACTTAGCATAGACGCTAGGGGCAAAAACTCGATTGCATAGACATAAAAGAAGGGGCTTTCCACATTTACAGCGAGACTGAAAGCCCAGTCAGCGCTTGGAACTTGCATTGATCTAGGTCCACAGAAGCTCCTCATTTTAGCTGAAGAAAGACCAGAAAAGCACAATGGTTGAGCTGGGGGAGCAGGGTTCTGCTTTCTATATGATGGCCTATAATGCTGACTGTATAAAATCAACCTATACTGTCCAAATATTCACAGTGCCTGCAGATACTACAGAGCTGTGTGTCTTTGTTATCTGGAAGTGCAGTAAATGAAGGAAAGACTAGGGAGATTTTCTGTCCTGAGGCAATTTTAATGCATAAATCTGTTGTTATAACTAGGGTCTAATTTTTTGTAGTTGGGTTTTCTTTTATTTTCAAAATAAATACATTTTACTTAGCATAGGACTAGGTCAGGTCTGCAGTTAAACAAAGGTCAACAATGCAAGAAATGAGCACTTGAATTTGGACCAGCAAGCAGTTAAGGCAGATTTTCAAGTTTACCCAAAATGTCCCTCCTCACAAATGAATTTTTAAAGTTCAAAAGTCTATAAGGAATCAAATCTGTCATAATGACAGGTTTAAGCCCGAAGTCCATCTGAAAGCTGAGATCAGTAGTGCGGTGATGGGCCCTGGTGCAAATTTTGGGGGCACACTCGTGCCACACACTGGCAAAGAAAACAAACACCCCAATCAATGTCACCCTGTAGAGACACATAGTGCAGCTTTCATCCAACCCAGCTCATGATCAAACCCCTGACAGTAGCTAAAGTGACATACTTATTTAAGCTGAGCAAACAATGTCCCTCAAACCACCGGAGCCCAATTTCGTCAAAAATATAAATAATTTAGTGGCAAGTGAGAAAAGCTAATGAAGCAAAAACACACAAAATTACCTAAGACTGAAGCCTGTCAGTGTAGCAGCAGGGTTAGAGGGCAGGTAAAACGTCAAAAAGTAACGCATTACTCCAGTAGCACAGAATGTAACGAGTTACTGTTGTTATTTCAGTGATTACATTAGCCTACCGTTAATCAAATGTTAATCTCGTTAATAGCATCACTTTAACTTCTTATGTCTGCTTAATGAAAGGTTAAAGAAAATATCAGGCACTCCTTTTCATGCACTTCACGATACTGTCTGACCTTTTCTCAAGGGATATGTTTTTTACTCCTTAAGATGAAGAGCTAAAACGACAGGCCGGTTAAGCTTCAGGCATCTCTTTGGGCACATTACTCTGATGTTGTGTGACAACTTTCCACTGCCCCGAGCTCGACATTAAATCAACAAGTTACTTTACATCGACATAAAATAGTTAAGTAAATGTCTTCCTGACTTCTACCTGAGTGAAAGTGGAAGTCTTGCATAGCAGCCTCCCGTACCATCAGTTCAGCATGGGTCCACCTGTTGCGAAGTAACATAACATACTTGCTAAGAGGTATGCTAACTAGGGGCGTGGCCAGACTATTTGACAGGGATAGCCCCACAGATATATATATAAACGCTAGATGGCTTACTCACGCTGTTAGCCAATGGAGACCGTCGTCCGCGCAGTGGCGACCATTTTGGTACGGGACGATCGCCCACTCATAACATTACAGTGGACGCTGCATGTAGCATAAAAATAACCATAGATTGATTCATTTTAAACCGATTTTCGATCTGTTTGGTTTGTAACAAACTTCAGAGTTTTAGTTATGTTCCTGCATATTCAAGAATAATTTTAACCATGGATTTTCATAAATAAACATTAAGCAGATATGGAGAGCAATAGCTATAGGCCTACACACACAAGGCAATTTTATATAAATCATTTATATATAAAACATTTAATCATTCCATGTATGTTATATTAGTAATATTTCTATTATAGGGATAACTATAAAAAAATATAGCAATAACATATATAAATATTTATTTTCATTATAAATTCTTGCCTCGTTGCCATTTTAGATGTTTTTAACAAGGCAAAAAGCTTGGAAATCATGTGCAACTTAAGTTATGTTGAATCAAAAGAGCGTTTCTGCCTCTCAAACTAATGTAACATTGCTGGGTCAACTTAGTAATATGTACTTGGTCTCACTCACAGCGAGTCTGTTAGCCAAGTTAGACAGCTGATAAACACAAGCACATCCACAAAGACTGTCACTTAGACTAAATGGATAAATAAATAGACTGTCATACAAGAAATTAAAATCTCGATTGTGATCTGCCTTGACGACTCGCGCAAAGCGACTCAAAAGTTAGCCCTTGCGCGCAAATAGCTGTGAAACAAAGTGCTGCACGATTGAGTCTTTTTTTTTTTTCTTAAAGAAAAGCTGCCATTTCAACATGTCTAAGCATCCCAACTCATAGCCACATTATTAAGGTCTGTAATAAACAAAACTATTTGTAAATGGTTTCTTATATGTGTCTATGGGTAGCCCAATGGGACTGACATACAGGGGAATTCAAATTCAACTGAAATAGAAATATTTCAAGACTATTATAACCTTGGTGATGTCGGCTTGATCTTAACACATTTAGTGCATTGTCATGTGAACCAATGTTAACAACTTTGCTGTTGTCTTTAGTGTATCTACAAGCATAATAGAAAGAGCTTGTGTATATCCTCTCCATAATAATCAGGCGATGTTATGGAGTATTGCAAAAGAAATATAACTAATAGTGTAACCAGTTACTTTTGGCAGTGAGTATTTAAGTAATGTAACATGTTTTCTTTATAAAAACTTGAGCAGTTATGTGTAACATAACTCTCTTTTTAAGTATCTGCTCCAACATTGTTAACAGAGTGGTATGAATAAATTTTACATGACAGGATTGGTTTAAGTTTAGGAGAACTTAAGCTAATAGCATTGTCATGCAACAATTCGAAGGCAGCTTTAAATTCAGTGTTATCATCAACAAAAACTGATATGGAGGTCTCATTGTGGACCCCTAGGCATGTGGTCCCTGGTGTATTATGCCAGCTGCACTGCTGACGCTTTCACCTGCGGCTATGTTTGGTGACAGTATGGTTATTATACTGTCCACCTTAAATTTCTTTTTCATATTTCATGAGCTAAAAAAGAGCTTCGTACTTAAAACACGTCTGACTTGCTCATGTTTTCTCCCCAGATGCCGATCTTTTCCGAAACACATCCTGAAATTAACTTGGTGAGTGAAGCATCACTATAGCTGATAAGAGAGATGGAGCTGAAACTACAAAAACCAAGAGCCAGGCTGTAACACACTGAAACGATGCCTCACAGCAGTAATTTTAGAGATACATCTTCAGGACCTGGCATTCCTGTGTAGTGTGTGTGCATGTCTGTGTCTGTGCAAGTGGGTGTGTGTGTGTGTCCATGCACTTGCGTGTGTCCAGTTCCGGGACATAGGGGTGATTGCTGCTCTGGGACACTCATTCCCATGCTGGAACATTTGAATGAGAAGAGGTCCTGATTAACACGCACACACACACACACACACACACACACACACACACACACACACACACAAGTATGTGCGCCTACACACACTCTCACACACATTCACACACATTTAAACAGCCCCAACTAATCCAACCGTGTGTGCCTGGGAGATAAGGTGCATCCTGCATACGCTTTCTACATACTCTCTCTCCTCCTCTCTTTCTCTCTCCATCCACTCCTCTCTCTCGCTCTCTTTCTCGCTCTGGGAGAGTAGCACCTAATTCCCCCTAATTCCCTAATCCTGAGCAGGGCCACTGCACAGAGAGTCAGCAGTGACCGAGGAAGTACACACAAAGTAGCGCCAAAAATGACTTTTCAAGCTATTTCTTAAGTCAATCACAATAACTGGTGTGGGAAAATAAACAACCACAAATACACCTGTGAAAATGTCTTTAGCAGTTTAACAAAAGAAAGTCGCTCTCATAGTTATGGCAATCCCAGCAGGTTCAGCTTGAATATCTTTACTCTTTTTGAATTACTTAAGAGAAAAATAAGAAAATAACCCACATGCAAAATAGCCAGATGTGGTTTGGGACTGGATTTGCGATAAAAGCTAAGTCTGGGCAGCAATACCAAAACAATGTTAAGAATTTGGTTATACATATGTTTTCCTAAAATTGCCACCTATGGTCATAACTTCTACAAAAAAAATTCTGCCAAACACTCGAAAGTTGTTAATGTTGAGCTGCCTGAACTAACTTGTACCATATGTTTCTGAGTTACGAGCCAGTTCCCACTGGGGATCTTCCCATTAGGATCTTGGTAATAACGCCAAAACCCATCCATCCATTTTCTATACCGCTTATCCCTTTCAGGGTCGCGGGTGGGCTGGAGCCTATCCCAGCTGTCATTGGGCAAGAGACGGGGTACACCCTGAACCTGATGCCAGTCAATTGCAGGACCACATAGAGAGACAGACAACCAGTCACACTCACACTTAAGGACAATTTAGAATCACCAATTAACCTAATGAGCACGTTTTGGGTCTGTGAGAGGAAGCCGGAGTGCCCGGAGAGAACCAACGCATGCACAGGAAGAACATGCAAACTTCACACAGAACAGCCCTGTCTGACCTGGGATAGAACTGATGTGTCGCCCGTGTCAAAACCCTTTCAAGGTTAACTATGATGAAAGTCACTTGCAACGCAGGGGTGTCACTCAGAGTGTGAAAAAACAATGTCAAATTTCCAAAAGAACCAAATCAATATATCAACAATGAAATGCAACTCAGAGAGTTAACAGAAATACACAGCTTTTGACTTTTCACTTAACCTCCAACCTGTCAATAGACACGAGTACAGTATTTCAATCGACATATTTACGGCTGCTGAGTTGACAATACAAATGGAAACTTTATTGATCTCTCTTTCGTTTAAATCAGTTTTATCTACGTCATCATATGTGTGTGTGTGTGTGTTGGTGGGGTATGAACGATGGCGTGTTAGAGTAATCAAAAAACTTCTGTAGCTAAACACAGAGCTATTCTCTTCAGTTCGTTGTCTTGCTAAACAAAACCTTTTGTTGCTACTCCCCCCATTCAGATGACGCATTTTAAACGGCTCATATTCATCCAAATACTGTTCTTTATAACAATGTACCATCACCTGTTTTTACAGCTCCACCACTGTTACATAAAGAATAAATTAAGCAAGACAATGTTACACCAGAATCAGTGTATGCAACTTGTGTGCTTGCCTTTTTTTCTTTTTTTTTTACCTTTTAGGCCTCCATACTTGTCTCATAATAATATAATGCCAAGTATATTTAACCAGTGCTTTGACACCTTCAGAGACACAGTAGTGAACACATCCAGACTGTGTTTATCTCCCTCCCACATAAAACAAGAGGAATAAGTCAGCAGGTAGCAGCAGTTGACTGACCAGGGCACAGAGGAGGTCGACAGCTTCCAGGATGAGCTCCTGATGTCCTATTCTGGTGACACCTAGCTCCTCCAGCTCCTGATGGGTGATGTGCAGCAGCTGCTCTCCCCCCATCTGCTCCCGCTCGAAACTCTTCACGTACTGCTGGAGACAGTCGTCCAGACCTGAGGAGAGCATTGACACACACACAGGTTAGCAGGTGTTGATGCTTATCTACTGTCACTGTGCTCTGTGGTCATTGGCTGAGAGAAACAGAAATGTGAGTGCCTGAATCCCTGAATCCCAGTCTGCTTTACAGAAAAAAGGTTGAAAGTCAGAAGTTTCCTAGATTCTTAAATGACTAGATACTGTCACAGAGAAAAGATAGATTGTTTAGCTTCTTAATATGTTGTAAACCATGCAGTAATAAGATTTCCTTTAATGCTGCTGCTGTTTTTGCAAAGAAAAACAGAAAAAAGTAACGCCTTTGAATGTTTTCTGTGATCAGACTGAATTTCATGCACATTCAGAGTGATTAAGGGTGTGTCCAGGATCTACCTCAAAAGATGCTAATAACATATCGACATCTGACTCTCTGCTGTAAAGCTGCGGCTGCCTGCTATGCAGAGAGCCAATCAGCTGCACACAGACGTGGTGGGTCCGGGATATTATTGATCAGTACCAGCCTCAGGGTTTGAACCAAACAAAGTCAGCAGAAAGCACACCTCCCCACAGACCTAATGAACAAGCCTGCCCCGAAATAAGCACACGCAGAGCAAAAACGCGTGAGATGAAGTAAATCCATTCACACAAACACATGCATGGAGCTGCAGAGGAACACAACAATTACACTTTGTTTCTCAGTGAACACTCGCTTCAACAAAATCACACAAATACAATTACAACTGCTGTTGTTATTCAGGGTCCCATCGCCTCTGCCGAGGCATGTTGTTAAAGCCGAGTGGAGCTGCGAAGAAAACACTGATGCCCAAGGGAAGTGAAGCTGACAGAGAGCAGACAGTGTGGTTGCACCTTAATACGCACACACACACACATGCACAAACACACATTTGCTGAAAAGAATGAGCAGAAGGCATCTTGCTCTTGGTATACCATGGGACACAACAGATAAAATATAAGCGTACTGCTACCCCGAGTGACACGGACAAACAATCTTGTTATATTCAGCACAGAAGAGCAATTGTAAGTCTAACACTTTGCTAAGAAGTGCTGCTCTGTGGCATAACAAGTGAAAACTATTTAATGGAATACATTCCCAGCAGGCTAATACTCATATCCCACACATTAAAATGTGTTTCACAGACGATAACACAGTGTTATCTCACCACAGGCTGATAAGATATCAAGATTGTGCATAAAGTATGTGAAAACTGAACATGTGAAAACAAGCGTTGCAAGTGATTTGTGATTTTAATTGAACTAATTCACAACATCCAAGCAGATGTTTAAGTTTGTAAATGCTGTGAAAATTAACACTTTTAATAGCCATTATGTTCCATCATCAAGAAAATTTATTCAAGCACTGAACCAAGTCAACTCTACATTGTGTATAGGCCCTGCTCTTATCAGGTCAGGGCTGTTTTTGCCCCCTGACCTGTCAAAATATGGACTCCAATAGACCTCCGAGGGCATGGCTGTGACTTCAGGCACCTCGAACGGTCAAAAACTGCAATTTATGACCAGAGTACAAGAGAGTACAAAATCAACAAAATTAGTGGTAGACCAACAAGTGGCTATGATTTAAACAGAAAAGGAAATTTCCAGCATCTTCTCAGGCATAAACTATTGAAACTTAAGTTAAATGTCACTGAGCAATTTAACAAATATGCAGTAATTTTCATGTAACTGTTATTACCAAAGTATAACTAAAGGTTCATTTTGTAAAAAGATTACATTTAGGATTAGATGGAAACCCTCATAAGTAGTTGCAATTCTGGTTAGAAAGGACTGGATTCAGATGACAAATGTGGAGAACATTTAGGGTAAATCCTTTTAATGACAGTTGGAGAAATGGATGGGTCAAAAGAACACGAGAGCTTCACCAAAGATTTGGCATCAAACAGCAGATCCTTCAAGTACCGTAAGTTGGGAAGTGGTGACTCTTCTGTTGGATTGAACCACACGGGCCCACTTGCATCAGTGAATCTCGACTGTCCATGAAAGTGTAGCAGGTTCTTCAGTTTCCCAACCGTGGACCACATTTGGTATACTGACTACTGCAGACTGGGATCATCCCTAAATCTGTTGTTTTGGAGATGCCCTAACATCTAGCTATCACAAATTGGCCCTCATCAAAGTTGCTCACATCCTGATCAGTTTTTCTGCTGCTGCTCTACATTGCGCTATTGTAAAAGAGATATTCAGTGCTATACACTGTTAGTGGTCATAATGTGTTACACGTGGTCTAATGATTAGCTTTGAAAATGGGGCACATGCCTGCAGATATAAAAAAAAAACAATCAAGTGAACCTCAAACCAATACTGTGACAAATATTTGATTAACACAGAGAAGTACAGATAAAATTTTTCAACACTTATCTCTATTTATTTTCTCCATTGTTCTCTGCTTCTTGCTTGTGTGGGAGTGTTACCTTTTTAGTGTAGAGGACATTATTAATTTTATGTGCTGTAAGATGTGAGATATGTAATTTAGACATTATTTGCAACTGGAGCTGCAAACTTGAAACTGTGAATGTTCTGATCTTGGTAAATAACCTTTCAGACAGATATTAGCTCACCTGGCCATGCACTGAAGGCAGCCGCTGATGTTTATCTGTATCTTTACCCCATCAATTTAATACTGCCAATCTTGTTCACCTGGCTGCTGATCCAGAGAGGGAAGATCTGCTGTTTGGCAAACTTTTACTTGTTTTCATGGCAAAATGTGAAAGAATATGTTGCCATTGTAGGAGAATTAAAGAAAGACAAGCTGCATGTGAGGCATGTTTGAAGAGAAGGAACTACCAGAGAAATACGCTGAATCTCAGATCCTCCTTTGAAGAGCGGACAAGAAGAATTATTAAGTAATAATTGTAATACAAAAACTAAAAAATGGGTACTGTTATCAGCCCAGATTTTCATTATTGATGCTCTTCTAAAAAAATAAACTCTATTTTTCTTATTTTGTCTTAAATTAACCTTAAAAAGCAGTCATACAAATCATACTGATGTCCTCAGTTACTCTCCACTAGCAATTCAGAACAACATTTTTTTTTTCCCTTTCATATTTGAAGTCATGCTCTTTCATGTGATTTGTTCCCCTGTGTGGATCTGTATGGTTCTCTTTCAACTGTTGATTATTCTCACGCCCACATACGTTTCTCATGTTTGTCCAGGTATAAAAAAAATTGAAAACATCTTTTCCTTCCTTTCAAACAAAAATGCTCATGACGACAAATTCTTGAATGAGAGTAAAGTGCACTGCTGCTTTCTAGCGCTATATTGAAATTCACTCATTTACATCCCTGTCGGTGTAAAATGTTTATTTCAGATGAAAAATCGTGTAGCGTAGTCTATGAATCATCAGCAGTGTTGGCAGAGATATGAGCAAGTAGACTGGACGTGCAGATTTCTTTGGCTGGCCAGCAGCTACGGGAGCGGAGACGGCCGTGCAGAGATCACAGAGGCAGAGCAGAGAGAAAGCCCTGCAGCTGATAAGGAGGATTTTTGAATATGAGACTCCAAACCCTCACTAGAACAAAGATATGAGAGAATATATATATATATATAAAAGACAAGACTACCTCTTAAAATGGAAGACTTAATACAACCTTCTGATTCCTTCAGCTGCTTCCTCACTCTGACATTTGTCCTTCCACATTTACACCTGTGCCCCTTTTTCATAAGAAGAATAAAGTGTGACAAAACATGGCTTCTTTTTTCCTGATTTCAATGTAAAACTATATTTACAGAATATGTACAGTTTCATTTCCATCGTACATCTAAGATTGTCTGCAGTCACGCTTCTTAATAATACACATTAACATTTGTTTTCTTCTTGGTGTGAGTCATAGCTGCAACTTTGCCCCCTCGTTCTTTGCCCCACAATCATATATGTAATTTATATAAAAAGTAATGAATAGAAAATAAAAGGTGTCCAGGTTGACAGCTGTAGCTATCCCCATTAAACTGCCAAACTAGTATGTACTCCAACACACAGATGAATGGCTCCCTGATTTAAAAGCGCCACATTTAGCACCCATTCTCTGTAACATAAAAGGGGGCAGGACTTATTGTTTTCCAATAGTGAATAATTACTCACTTGCTCTTGTGAGCACACGCATAGTAATGCAGTCAAAGGCAAAGAGGCACAGACTCACACATAAACATATACCTCGTGACATACGGCTGCCAGCCAATGAAATGAATCAGAGAGCTTCCAGCCTCCTCGAGGACAAACAGCTGATCTGGGTTCATCTGCTGACTTCAAATGCCAGCTGAAAATAGCACATGGTGCCTCAAACACACATACATACACAAATGAGCAAAAACATATGGATCAGGTTTGTGAGGACGTCACCCCTCCCCACGGTTACAATGTAGAAATGATTACTCCTATTTGCTGTATCAAACATTTTCTTTCCTCTGCTCTCTGCTGTCTCTTCTCATATCAGCCTGTGTACTTTGCTCACTGCAGGAAATATAAAAACTGACCCCTCGCTTAAGTAGGCCATGCAGTGTAATAAGAGGCAGACAAATCCTTGCCTGCGTGTAGCTGAAATAAACAAAAAGTAATTTTGCATGAGTAATGTCACAAGTGTCTCTGTGCAATCAAGTCAGCAGCTTATTCGAGTTTCCCCTGGGACACGAGATCAGACAGACTTCGGGAAAAGATATTGTACCAGAGCTTAAACAGAGAAGTCCATGTTTCCACTGGCTTCCACAGAGAGTGGATGCTGTAAGCAATGCTACTGACATGAATGTGTTCTGTGCAAATATTGGTTTTCCACTGGCAGTTCAGACAATATTGAATAGTATTTGCGGAGCCAAAGCATTTAGAAATCACATTCTGAGGTAGTTCTCATGTACAGCAGTTTGGGTCTTTTGTCATTTTTAAGGACTAGTAACGATAAGTGCTTGCAGCATGATGTAAAACGACAATTCTCAAGTTCCCAAAATGTCCTTGATATTACCTTGACTCTTTACAATTTCAGACTTGTAGTGAGCTCAATGCTTTTTTAAATCTTGTTCCCATGCTCCTTCTTGTTGTGATTTCATTTATACACTGCTATACATGTTCATTGGTTTGAAATGACCTGGGCTCATATGTAACTGCATGATGAAACCCGTACCTTCAACAGTCAAAGAAAAAAACGAACACATCATGATCCAAGCATTTGAATCAGATTGGGATTGTCTGCTAACAAAGTCAGCTCGCTCTTTTTCAAATCTGTTCAAATTACACCTCTGAAAAGAGTCCATAGATATCTTTATGTGTGTGTTAAACTCTTATCAGCCATGGCGTTTTTGTAAGTTGAATAGTTGATTCAGTTTTTAATTCTGAATAGGCAAAGCTAGGATCACACAACTTACATGTATGCAAATCAGCCCATGGAAAGGAGCTACAAAGTTGCATTGAGGATACAGTTTTTAATTTAATTTCTTAGACACTGGGACATATTTCTTACTTTTCAGTAGCATTGGTAAACAACATGGAGGGTATTCTTTTCATTACTCTCAATCTAGTTGGAGAGCACAGACTTAAAGTTGTTGATAGATGACTGACCATTCAACAGCAAAGAAATAAGAAAACAAGTGAGGGCTGTTAAACACACAAGGAGCCAAAAGACAGACATCAACCAAACGGAAGAAAACACACACAAAGCAACCATGAACTGAAACACAGTCTGGATTTTGGCAGTGTCACAAAGCTGTTTGAGTTAGAAAACAATGCAAACAGTGAAGTTGAACATGCACAGGTACTGCTACTGTTTTCTGCATCTGGTAATAATGCCAGGTAAGTGTTATTTTTGGGAACTAACATTGAGACGTGGACATGAAATTAAATCTTAATTTTAATGTCAATGCAACCCAAACAAATGCTGAGAAAACTGTTGCTTCCAACCATCACATCTAAGGGACTGTTTTTCTCATTTTAGCTGGATTATTGGATTATTTTTATGTAGAAAAAAACCATCTGCAAATTGTTTCTTTTGTTAGCAACCAGGTAATATAAAAGATTATATATTGTGAGATGTTAATTATGTGAAATAGTGCTCCAACTATCTTGAGGAATTTTTATTTTATTTTTCTGTTTCTTTTAAATAAATATCAAGAAATACAAAAAAACAACCAGCTACTTTTATGGCCAAGCAGAAAATTAAGTTATGATAATCTTAAAATAGACTATACAACTGTGGTATGTTTATAACTGCAGTTTCTCACAGCTGCAGCAAAGAGTCCCCCTTTTTTCACCAACTCCAAAAAAAAAAAAAAAAAAATCCCACAATCCCAAATCCCAATCCCATTTTTTTTTCTAAATGCTGCTGAACTACAATTTTCCCATAAATGCGCTGTATCATTGCTCACATTTCTGGTTTTGTATCCCTGATTTTATGTGAGATACAAATGTCTCCCTTTATAAAATTGAAGGATGTAGCAGCGCTGGAGATTCCCCTGATGCCTGCTATCACTATATACTAGTGTGCTGAGGCCTGAACAAGCACTTCATGTTGACAACTTCATCCACATTTCATGCAATACCCTTAAATCTTTTTCTCTTTTTCTGTCTTTTTCTGTGCAAAACAAAGCTTTTCTCCACTGATACAGGAGGGGTTGCCAGGCAACCAGAAAGAGAGAGGGACCTCGGAGCAAAAGTGAGGGATCAGCAGTTGCTGCCCCTCAGGACCCTGCACTGATGCTAGGCTAAGGAGCACACATACATATTAAAATTCCACACAAACTGCACTGCACATACTGACTGAAAGCTTGTTGAAGGCCACAATAAAAAGACTGCCTCTACAGTTGGATATAGTTCAGCTCTGCTCTCTGCTTTGCCATTAACATCAACTGAAATCAGGCTTTTCAAACCTGTGTTCCCCATTGAGACCATGTTTGGGTCAAGTGAGCTGGGCTAAGAGCAGAAGAAGGCAGTAAAGACTCCTGTCCCGTCGCCTTGCCCCCCATCTGTGAGCTTCCAGCTGGAGTAAGTACTTTGGTGAGTGCAAAGAAAAGACACAACACTTACTAAAAATATTCTTACTGTGAAATATTCATCACATCATGACAGAATATTCTAAAGACTGTGGCATTTTAGCTCCTCAGTACGTGAGCTTTCAAGTTTTAAATGCGTTGCAGCCCTTCTCTGAAATTCAGCTAGCAGGGAGGTGTCAAGAGGCAATCCAAAAGAACGGGTGGGGTGGAAAACAGGGTCAACGGGGAGGATACAAAGAGTTTGGTGGGAGAGCTCGACTCTGACGATCTAACCAGCCAGAGAGAATCAGAAGTGACTACATGACTACATAAGTTAGGGAATACATAAACACGAACTTCATCTTAACTTTAAAAGCCCAACTATCCTTGGTCTACTTTATTCATCTCCTGGCAGCTGCTGTTTGGGTACAAGTGGCCTTAAAAAGGTGAAAAATAATCACTCCTCATCGAATAACTTCGAACTATAAAATGGTCTTTGTACCACCTTGACATGAGTTTCCACTAAAAAGTCCCAAAATGCTACTACCAAGGACAGTTGTTCAAATTTCCAACAAACATGCTTTGATTAAAGCACTGAAAGCTCAGCCAAAATGAGTTGATTACTTCAGACAAACATCGTAGTAATGCAAACAGAATAAAAGCTTTACTTTATGTAATCTGGTGTAATCTTTTAGGTAGGACTAGTTTGACATTGGCAGGCTTTTTCATGTCCACTGTCCCTTTTTTTTGTGCCTGTTATCCAGCTACCTCAAATGACTGCGTCTGTGCCTCATGTCATTTTCTAAAGGGCACTGACCTCAGGTTGGAGAAACTTATCTGAAAGTGATTTATGAGGTCGTAAAACTGCAGTTCCTGGAACAACAGGTGCAAAATCAAAACACACTCACACATGGACACACATACACACAGGCCCCTCTGTCCAAGTGCCCGGATAGAGCGGGTGCTTTGATATGATGCCCACTGCATCTCCCATTCTCGCTCTGCCATCCCCTCTGTGCTTTCCCCCTTCATTCTCCATCATGCCCTCGCTCGTTTCCTCCCCCATCTTAGCCTCTTTAGCCTTTCTTTCATTTTGTTCCTCGCTTCCCGATCCCTAAATTGGTGATCCTGCTCTCTCAGCTGGGGGCTATAAAACAGGGGAGAAAGCTTGTGTGATTATGTGTGCAAACTTTGTGTACGTATGCACCTTGTTATGAGGCTCAGAGTGAGTTGGAGGAATACTGGATAAACAAGCATCTGTGTTGATGGTTCCCCATCTCATCACGTGCTGTGACTCTAACGCGATCAGATCTGGTTACCATGACTACTGATGCCCCACTTAAAGCTGCTGCTCCAGAGTTTGTGTTTATGCATGTGTGTCAGTGTGCATACATACATACATACCATACTGTACATTTATGTGCATTCGCCTTTGTGCATATATGAATGTTCATCTAAATGCAGTGAGTGTATCCCTGCAGTTCTTTTGTCTGAAAAATTGAGCACTGGAGGAGTTTTCTCAACTTGTGTGCATATGTGAGTGTGTGGATGTGTGTTTCCTCACAATAAGGCACGCTCTTTAATCTTTAATGCAGCTGAAACTACAACAAGCGCACAGTCAGAGCCAGGGGAAGCGTGTTTTCTTGCACCGACTTCCTTACCATGTCAGCAGGAGTATGGAATGGTAGTTAACATGGTTCCCTACAACAGAGGACACTCAGCCAACAAAATAACACCATGGAGATTCTCACAAAGCATAATATGACACATCTTCCTCTGTAGATTTAGCTCTTTTTGCCCAAGTTGACTGTTTTAAATTCCCATGAATGACTTTTATCTCTTTTCAAATATGTAGATACAATAAACGCAGCCATTCACAGCCATCCTGTCCTAACTAAAATATCTTGATTCACATTTAATCTCTTTTTTTTGAGCCAATACATCACCACACAAAGAGGAAAAGTGAAAATACTGCAGAAAGAGTAAACAGCCTTATTCATTTCCCTGTTACAGTATGCATCAGCAGGCTGCCAATGCTGTGCACTTGAAAGCGCTGAGTGATATTATGAGGTACACAGAGCACCCGGAGCAATCAATTTTTCTGTCTTGCCAAACATGTTAAAGCACTGATCTGTCCACGTCATGCTTTACACATCAATTGTATCTCCATACCCTCACACGCACATAGAGGAAACTCCTCCAGTGTGGGTGTTCGAATCACAACAAATGCTGATGAGTCATCTTTCTGTGAGCCTCACCAGTGCTGTGCTGCTGGAGCAGTCCTTCTGCAGCTATGGTACAGGCTGCCTGGCCCGGTGGCTGACTGTGTCAGGCTTCCCTGATAGGCTTGCAGAGTATTCCATCACTCTGTCCCACATTGTTTTCTATGACAGCTGGAACATTGAGGAAGAGGAGCTGTGCTATAGGGAAGGATAGATTCTGAACAGGTGAAGCCCTTATTTTTTCCCACTAATGACTGACACAAAAACTTGGGCTAGAGGTGCATGATATGGATATCTTTTTAGCCAATACCAACAGAAAGTACTGGCCTGCTCCTGGCTGATCCTGATGCGATAACCAATATATTAATAAACTTTTTTGTATTTGAAAAAGTGTAGTTTTTGCAACTGTTAATGCATGGAGAGGAAGAACACCATAAGCTGGTGAAATTCCATGTTCGTTATACCTAAAAAAAAAAAGTTGGCTATCAAGTGCTGTGAATTATGTGATTTTTTGTTTTGCTCTGGTTTTGAGCTCTCTGGTAAACCCCTTAAATCAGCGCTGTGACACTCAGCCTTTTTTGCACAGCTACAGCTACTGCTGCCTAATATTCCCTAAATGCAAACTTGGGGACTTTTCCCCACCTCTCTAAATAGTTGTAGTACACATTTTGCAAGGGAAATTGTGTTATCCTCCTCTGAAACAGCAATAAACATCCACACAGGGAATGCCATTTTTACTTTCTCATCAGCTTGTGCTTGTTCCTCCCACTATATGTAATGGTGTACCTGTGGTGGAATATATAGGCCCATAAAATAAGTAAAACAAAGCAACCTAATCTGTAATTTTTACTAGATTAAATTGAATTGAATTGTATTGTCAAAATTAAAAGGCCACGAAAATGTCATTTTTATCTGTCTGAAAACCTGCTGGCCTGATATATATTGTGCATCTCTACCTCAGTCAACCATCATAATAAAACTTGAGTCTTTGCTCTTAAGCTCATGATCTTATAGCTAGTACAAAGATGGAGCTATGATTAAAAGTAACTCAATAAGTTTACTCAAATTCTTTTCTTGGGTTAATTTTTAAGGAATTTAGGCTAATGACACAAATATTTACTCTAAAAAATTAAAAAATATCATTTAAAATGTCATTAATATAAAATACTCTATAGGGTAATTGCAGATCATAATAATGTGCATTAAACTGCCTTTTGTTATAAGTTAAATCTGTCCACCATAAACCTACTCAGGCCTCTAAAACACAAACACAAATGGTTGTTCAATAAAACATCTGTGTACTTCTCCAAACCTTCCAAATATGTCATAACATGTACTTTTATCAGAAATAAATATCAGATACACAAATCAAGTACAAATGTCACTTGTACAGAAAAGAGATATTCTTCATGATAAAAAAAGCAAAAAGGAAAAGTAATATATTTGGTTCATGCATAAGTGGCTCTTGCAATATATTAATACACTTTTACTGATTTCATAACTTTACTTCTGAACAAACTGTAACTAAGGGCTGCAGGTGAGAGTCAAACCTGGGCCTCCTGCTATCAAAGCAATAATCTCTGATCCAAACTGGCGCCACACGGCTAAATGTTTTAGAAAATTTTTAAATCTTGCCTTCAAGTAAAGTGTGCAAAAACCGTGAAAACCTTTTAACTTCAGTATATGTTATTGATTACATTTTGAGGGTTTTGAGGCTAGTACTTGTAAAACTCCTCAAGAGCACCCCAATAGCTTTGGGGTTAGGGAAGCTGGAAACTGTCACAGTATCCTGGAGCTGGGTCTGGCTTCGTAGGGACTATGTTTCCTGTCAACTCTCTGCTAGTGCTTTATCCTAAATACAATAAATTGTCCAAGCATTAAATGGGATAAATTACATCAAATTATGTTGCTATGGTGGTGTTATCAGTACAGCCAAAAACATTTTTAAAAGCACAGTACCCTGGAAGACAGAAACACTTAAGATTATGATTACGAATTGTCATCTCCAACCTTTATAGAGAAATAATATTAAAGAGATTTGGTTTTAAAGATTTGCTGTCAGTACCTCTTTGGCTCATATCTGTGTACATTCAAAGTACTTCTACTCCCATGGCGAGGAAAAGAAATCATTACAGAGCTTCTTTAGGAGGTCTCAATGTCACTGCTCCCTACAATAGCACGAAACTCAGATCAGCATGAGAGAGATGAAGAGCTACCAGAAAAATAGGCCAAAGTGAACCCCCTGTAAGCGAAGAGATTAATTCTAGCCTTTTGCCTTTCACTTTATTCATAAGAATATAAGATCTGAGCATAAGCCTGCCACTGAGGGTCTATATTTGAAGCCCCAAAGGAAGGAAGATAGGGCTTCACAGAAACCGGGGGAACACTGAGATGTTGGTTAACGTCTGTATGAAAATGAGTCGAGGAGCTTTTCATGTGGAAGGGGCCAGGAGGCTCTTTTTAAAAGAACACATGAGGAGGCCAAATGTGGAGCAGATACACGACGGAACAAACATCTTCAAGAGTAAGTGCTGCGTGTACTCTTTTCTTTGTCTTTACTGTTGCTGACAACAAGGGGGATTTAGTATATCAAATAATATGACACCATTAGTTTACCTTTAGTGGGATGTGTCACGCTGTATCATGCATGATTGTAGCCTATGTGTTTGACTGCTTTTACATTAACTAACAGATATCTGCTTCAGAACAAGGAGAATTTTCTTGTTAAATACACAAAGTCCAGAGTATTTTTCATGTATTTAAATGAGGCGAAGGGGATCACTCCAAAATGCTCTGATCATTTGTTCCACACAAACTATTTCTTAGGTTAAAGATAAAATGTGCATCTGAAAATCAACAGCAAGATATGTATGCTTTTACTTGACATACTTCAACCACATTCGGCCCATAACTAATCTATTATCTGATCAAACTTCAGTCCTGCCTGCCTTTATGACTTGTGCAGGAAACTGTGCAAAGCTTTCCAAGGAAACACTTGACGAATCAGAGGGTGAAGCCGTGACTCCTCTAGCTGCTTACTGTAGCTAAAGACAGCAATTATAAAACCAGTAACATCATCCTAATCACTCATCGTAAAGCATCTCAAATACTTCCTCATCGTGCCCCCTGAGGGTCTGTCAGCCACCTTGACTTCTAATTGCAGACATGAGTGCTCTGCTTTCAGAGAGCAAATCCAGCTGGCATTGCTGCACACATAAATGATGTGGAGTTTTTTTTATGAAATTCATCATACTGCTCTGTGTTTGTGTGATAAATGCAGACACAAAACCACAAGTGACTATAGGTTATAGCAGCGTTGCATTGTGGGTTTGAGTCATCACACAGTGGTGATTAAGTCATTCTCTTAAGTAAGGGATTGCGGGCACCCTCCCTCCCCATTTTCATTGTCTGTCAATCGGCCTACCACAGTTTGTCTCACAGCTCTGTAGCTGACCAGAGTGTGTGAGAACAGCTCCTACCACACACACACACACACACACACACACACACACACACACACACACACACACACACACACACACACACACACACACACACACACACACACACACGGATGATTAGTGATTACTCATTCATACTGTTCGTACCTCTCGCCAGCAAAGCGAGCAACAAAAAAAAAAAAAAAAAAAAAGGAAAAGCGAGCGTGATCGGTGCGTTTGCCTTATAAGGCAGGCGGCATTGCGCTGTCCAGGGTGCTGAAACTGACTGTACGCCTGGCATTGGGGATGGGGGTGGGGGGGATATGGGTGCATGCAGCTAACTACATTAATCATGTAGGCACGCGCACATGCACGTGGGCATACGCACACACAAACAATTGATGGTGATATGGGTTTTAGAGCATTTGGCAGTGTGTGAAAGAGCAGATGACATATCTTCCACATTCATTGATGAGAGCTCTGCTGATGGAGCAGAGGCAGCAGCAGCAGCAGCAGCAGCAACAGAGCCAGAAGCCTATAGGCTTGGCTCTTAAGCAAGAGAGGTGTCAGAATGCTGAGCCTCCACTCCCTGCTTCTTCTTGGGGACATCCATTCACTGCACCTGCTCCAGCACATTCACACTACTTTAATGACTTTAATTAGCCTCACACTGGTCACATACAGCAGCTTAATCACACGTCAGCCTGCAGGTTGATATACGGAGAACACACATGCATACAGTGTGGCCCTCCGCTGTTCACCATCATCACCCTCGTCATCATCATCATCCCCACTCACGAACATTTAGCCGCCTTATGCCAATGAAAGAATAGAAATGTACCTTTCATCCAGTCCAGCACTTGCTTTGGTGTCCATTTACTTATAGGTTCCATAACCAAAGCCATGGTGTCACAGTCTCTCCGAGGTGAACAGCACAGCGCTCAATGCAGGCGACATAAAACGACTTGTCAGTCACATCTGGAATGACACAGCGGTGTTTCGATCTGAGGGAAAAGAAATTCTTCTCAGTTTTATTCTCTCCATCAGAGCATGGCCGCCTGCAGAAACGGTGAACGGGATGCGGTGGTGCAATCCACGCGCACACACAGAGACACGCGCACACACGCTCTCTCTTCTTTCCCTCCCTCCCTCCTTTCTCTCTCTCACTCTCTCTCTCTATTTCTCGTGCCTTCCCGCCAGCAGCCCGCGCGCTGTGAGAAGTGGATTCGGAGAGCGCGAGGGGATGGAGCGACCCCTCCCCTCTCCTCTTTTCCTCCCTCCCGCCTCGCTGCAGCATCACAAGGGCCACCACTCATAATACAGACCAGGGAATGGTGCAACGCATACCATGTAGGGAGGATCTACCCCCCACCCCTTACCACCCCCCACCTTACACACGTATAGCCCTGTATACAGAGAGCAAAGAAGGCTTCATGCCAACTCCAGAAATCCTCAAATGGACTATGTAACCTTCAAAAGCACCACATGTGAGGGTCTTTTTGAGAACTTTATCTTTACGCATCTCCCCATGAGATGTCCCTGTTGTTGAGATGACGGCTGTTTAGATGTCAGCTGCTTTTTAACTTCACAATCCGTGGATGAGGAGATCAGCATCAGTTGTCTGACTGCTGCTGCTCGGTGCATGAGCTCAGCTCTGACGAACAGCGCCCCCTGCTGCGCACCTGAGACACAGGTGACGTCATGGATTACAGCAGCGCCCCCCTCCATTTACCATCACCACCACCTTCACCCTGATAAAGCTTACTTCATACTTTTGACAAATCTGGACACAGACAGGTAGATTAAAAAACACGAAACAGTAGATCTGTAGAGGAACACAAACGTTTATGTATGATGCTGTTGTGAAAATGTGTGTCTCTTAAATGTTTCACTGTGTGTGTCCTGTTCTGGAGGATTTTGTGGAATGGAGACAGTGCTGTGGAAATGATTTCCCCATGGGGACTTTTACATTCAAAGTCTGCATAGGTGAACACATTCTCCAAATGACGATGCCACCTATATTTCAACAGCTTGTCATCATGAGTTGCACATTTCCAGAGCAGATTTTCTTTAAATTCTCCAAACGCATTTACAATAATGAGTATGTCATCGCCTGTGCTTTAAAATAGGTGGAACAGACAAACCCCTTGGACAATGGACATAAGTGACCTTCCACAAAAAAGCATGCACACAGTTACAAACACTCACACATTTGGTACAGAAAACACAACACAGGCTTGATAGCTGGACTGACTTTATTTATTAACGCAAAATTGTCAAAACAAGTTTGTTTCATTTAGTAGGATGCTCATTAGCTCAAACAGACAGGTTATCCGACAGTGTACCAACAGCAATCTGATAGGCTCATTGATGAAAATGAATAAGTCACTGTTGGATTTGCATTATTTGCAGGTCAGTTTTTAGAGCAAAAGGTTCCAAAATTACATAAAAAAAACAAGAGAAACACAATAATTTATTTCATAGAGATTTAAAATATATGTTGCATTAGTGTATGAGATTGTATTTACAAAGAAACTGGACCAAACAAAATAAACTACTATTTCAGTGTTTGCCAAACTACAGCAAAAATGTTAATCGGCTAAAACCATGTAATTATACAGCTCCTCAGTTCTTTATAACAACAGTGTGTACTATGAAGAGAACTGTAGAAATAGAGGGATTTTATCAGTTAAAGGGACATCTTTCATATTTTTTAAAAGCCCAAATTACGAACATACATCCAAATTAAGCACAGTTATGGCCCTGAACCTTATGTTAAAGCAAACCTCTGAAGAAATCAAAAGTCTTTAATGGTACAGCTGAGAGCAGGAATCCTTCCCTTGAATCTTGAATTCGGCAGACTTAAAAACATTCATGAAGATGATAGGTTGTGTGAACTGAATGAGGTGGAAAGTGAGTCATATTTTCTGTTATATTGCCCTTTATATGATGAACTGAGAACTCCATTATTTACTGCAATGTCTTTAAAAAAACCACAATTTTCTGGTATTCTGATGATGTTAGAATAAACTCGCTGTTTAACCTCAATGTTTTTTAGTTAGCTCATTTTGTTTCTGAAGCTAGGAAAAAACGTCAGGTTTGTTTATATGCTAAAATGACTTAATGTCTGTTTTCTGGTTTTCATCTACTATTATATGTTCCTTTCCTTTTGGTGTCTTGTTAGCCGACTCGGGCTGGGCACTGTCTGTGCATGACACGTTAATAAAAGTTTCAACCAATCAATCAATCTATAATCTAAGAGGGGAACATAAATTTATTTGTCCAATTGTCCATACAACTCTGAAAAGTATGTGCATTTCTGTTTGACAGAGAAGAATTACAAGATTCATATAAGTAAATTAACAAAAAATATGGTTTATATTAGATATACTTGATTGCATAAAAGTAATATTAATTCTGAATATCATAAGACAGGTTATTATTATAATGTGCAAGTAATTGTAATAAGTGACCTACTGAGTGTTGAGCAGGTATCTTTGTGTATAAAATGTATGTATTTATACAGATCTTTGTTATTTTTACAAATAGATTTTTTTTCTTTTTTTAAATCTCTCATTTGCAAGGAAGGAGCAGGACTAGATAAGCCTTTTGCTTTACTCTGTTCCTTCTCAAACTGTTTATTTTTGACATACATATGTTGTGTTAATTTATCTTTGACATGTACAGTTGTTTGGTTTACATACGTATTATTTTGTTCGGTGTTTTTGTTTCTAATTGAAAGAAAGAAATCTTTAATACTGTTATTGTTAAAGTGGCCTTCTATGATAAGAAATTATCAAATTCAAATCATTTGACCTTTTTATTTTTGCAAAACTATAGGTAAGAGTAATATTACTAAAGTGGGTGGTAAAATATTTACAAAGTCTGATTCAATTGTGTCTGACTGTGCATGTGCTGTAAACCAAATGTGTGCTTATTCTAGCTTAACCTAAACATCTGGAATAACAAAAGTACAGATCAAAAACTAAACAAAGACATTCTTCAAAAAACATAATCTTCAAATGATACTTTAACATCCTCAGATGACACAGAAACATAGCAGTTTCAATCTAAAGTTTGGCTGCCTGCTTCCATGTCTGTGACCTCCTCCTCCTCCAGCAAGCCACAGAACAAAGTCAATGGTGGGCGGGACGATGGTGCTCAGTTTTCAGCCCTTTCAGAATGTCACAGCGATGATCTTAAGCTCTCATTGGCTCCTGTCTCCAGATACGTCACAATCATGATTAGAATTGATGATCTGACGTGCTGATTTCATTGTCTAGCAAAGGGGACTGGTGAAGAAATCAACTGAATTTGAACGGTCGCCTGATTTTGATATCAAAAATGGTGAGTAGGAAAGTGATTTCTCGTTTCGCTTCCGGGAATCCCTTACCGTGTTTGTCCATATCCGCTGGAAGCTCGGGTCAGTGAGAGTGGCCACGGCAGGGTCGGAAAATCACAGATTTGAAGGAAAAGTTCAGCCGCAGCTATCCACTGGGAGAGCTATGCTAATGCTAGCTGAGTGTCTGGCTCTGTTATGGCCGCTCAGGCCTGCAAGCTAACAGGAGAGCAGTGCTGTGCATGGCCATTGTGGAGATGCGGTGCTTACCCGGTTTGTTTACAGTCTGGCTCGCTGTCGTAAAGTTATGGCATGTGCTTCCTGTGTGAGAATTGTGTTTCTAAATCTCCAGTCTGTTGCCTTGGTGGCGCACTAATCGAATGTGCCAACAATTTGTTGGTTAATTCTCTCCGTAATGTTTCCATATTGACTGTAGCCATGCGCAGTCTGCCTGAGTCAGCCTTCCAAAATAAACCTGCCGGATGCTTATTGGTCGCTCAACATTCCCGTATGTGACTATTTCTGTTTGCCAAAAGCTCTTTCAGTAACATATTAACCGTACACTCTGGAGACTCCCAGCTCTTTGCGAGGCGAGCCGAGTCCAGCCGTGACTACTTTCACTTGGCTGGCTGCTGCTGTTGTTTTTCTCTCTCTCCCTCTCTCTTTCTCAGTCCCAAAACACTATGCACTCTGGTTTGGAAGCTGTGATACTTCCAATTAAACCTTTACTTTAAGTGGAATACATCATAGTTTCAGTTTAGTCTGCACTTTAATAAATATAATTTACTAATAAAGCAAGAGTTTGATTCACTTTAGGATGTGACTTAGTTTAATAAATGCTCATAACAGATTTGACATTTCAGGTTGAACTTTTTCCTGCCTGAACTTGTTTATTAAAAAAGTTTTACAGTTTATTTTTGCCGCAAAGTAGTTACATTTACTTTTCATAATATCTTGATCAAGGGCAAAAATACGGTGGCTGAGAACTGCCACTGCTACAAATAAAAAAAAGAATGCAAAAAAAAAAGGAGCCACAGCGGACATTACTGATGCAGAAAAAAAGAGACCAAAGCCCACTGCAAATAAAAAAAAGAAATGGTGCAGAAAAAAAGCCACAATGGAAGTGAGCTGCCAATAATGATGATGCACCGGTGTTTGACGATCTAGGCGCAGAAGGCGACGGTGAGAAGTTAGTCGAAAGGTTATTGTTTAATTTCACTTCGTAAACTTTTCAATGTGTCTGAAAAGCCTGAGTCGATATGAAGTTGAACTGAAGCTAACGCTACTCTGGCATCCTCCACATCAATTTCATATCGACTCAGGCGCTACATGGCCCAACCAAACAACACATTGAAAAGTTTACGAAGCGAAATAAAACAATAACTTTTCCACTAACTTCTTTGCTCGTCTTTTCGCTGTCGTGTTCTGTGCCTGGATCGTAAAACACTGGTGCATCATCATCATTGGTCCCTGGCAGCTCACTTCCGTTGGGGCTTTTTTTATTTGCATCCTTTTATTTTCACAGTAAGAAATCACCACTTTTTTGCGTCGTTAACTTCTGCTGTGTTTTATTTTTTATTTTTTATTTTATCTGCACTGTTTATTTATTTGCAGCAGGCTGTCTTTCTTTCCTTTTTTTTGCATCAGTAACTTCTGTTGTGGTTTCTTTTTTTTTTCGGCCACCATACAAAAAACCCTTAGGATGAACAACATATTAACATGATTGTTACTCAAAGCATTGACTTATTCTCTACAATGAGATCGAAAAATATCTTCAGTCTCAACTAAGCATTGAACAATGGGCCGTCACTTATTACTTTAAGTACATAAGGAGGAAGATTGATTTTTTTTTTTTTTTGTCCAACTCTTTTTTAACATAGTGTTTTGTTCTTTCTCCTCAGCCACCTAACTTCGCAGTGCGTCAGGTAAAGCAGGAGAGGATGAGTGCAGTCAAAACCATGCATATCTACATGGAGGTTTTGCTGTGATCTGCATGGCAGCCCCCTCCCCATCCAGTAGCAGAATGGATGCATGGCCGCAGAGATGGGGCCTGCAGACTGTAAGCTTACTGTAAACTAATGTGTGATGAAAATAGTTCCATGGTTTGAACTCTCTCAAAATTAAAAACAAAAACTGCTTTACCTGCTGCACTTTTGGCCTTCAGACTGACATTATTGTACAGAGTTGTGGAATAGTTGCACAGATGTATTGGCTATTTTAATGTGCTTTCAAATCTGCTGTAAATTTTTTTGCAGTGCATAAGCAAAAGTCAGATGCACAAATACCATGAATTTTCCTTATGGTTATTATCTGTTTGTGTTCCCTCAGATGAACCTGCGTTCAGTGTTTACAGCTGAACAGCAGAGGATTCTAGAACGCTACTATGAAAATGGGATGACCAATCAGAGCAAAGCTTGCTTCCAGCTAATACTGCAGTGTGCTCAGGAGGCCAAACTGGACTTCAGTGTTGTCCGGGTAAGGGATTTGAAAGAGATTCCCCTAAAACTATTAGAAGTCAAGAATTATTAACCTCACTGTCTCTGTCATATTTGCTCAATGTTTGCAAGTAATGTAACTGATCTGATTTTCTCTTTCCCTCTAGACATGGGTTGGCAACAAAAGACGAAAGCTTGCCTCCAAGGTGGAACAAAACGGAGGCATGTCTCATTCCTTATCCAGTCATGGACTTGCTGGAGGTTTCCTCTCCAGTCACACTTTAGGTGGTGGTGCTCTATCCAGTCATAGCTTGGCTGCAAGGGCACTACTTCCAGCTGAAATGGCTGCAGTGCGAAGCACCATCCAGAATCGTGCTCACCTTCTTCCTCCATCCTCATCCTTCCCTTCTTTCTCTTCAGCATCTTCCTCTCCCTCCTCTTCTTCTCCCATCAGCAGTGGAAGCAACAACAACAACAACAACAATGACGTCATACTGACGGGGATCTACTCATTAAACCCCGCCCCTCATCCCAGACCAAAAGCAACAGCGCCTCCAATGCATTCTGACTCTGAGCTTTCTGCACACGCATCCACATCACTGATCACTCAAGCCCTGCAGAGCAGGAGCAGCTCCACCTCCACACCACGACACTCCAAGCTGGTCTCGTTGTCTCAGAATCTCCCATCACTCACATCTGCCTCAGGGTCTGTAGTCTACACTGCAGTCAAGAAGGGGACTTTACCCCTTGGGGAGGCAGGTGTCAGTGTTGGAGCAGGGGCAGTACCTCACAGCTGGACTAGGCAGTATGGTTCTGTGCAAACTCGCCCTTGGTCCTCTGCCTCACAGTCCCAGACTCAGCTTCAGCCTAGACCTCACTCCAACCCTCAACCTCAACCAACAGCTCCTCAGAAGACTAGAGTCTCCCCCACAATACAGAACTCTGGACCTGCCTCTGAACCTTCACCTCGTATCCAGCAGGTCTTTACCTTGTCAGAAAGAGCAGACAAGGACAGATGTAAGCAAAATCAGGTGTCTACTTGGAAAGGCCAGGAGTGTTTTAGGCCAACACCCCTGGACAACAGTCATAACTTCTCCATTGCTATGGAAACTGGGGATGAGGAAGATGAGTGGCAGAGAGAAGAGGAGTTGGCCACTATGGCTGCTCAGACTCATATCCACAGGGAGCAGACGTCAGCCAGTCCAACCAGGATGGAAGTATTTGTGGTGAGGGGTGGACATACATCTCTTGCGACCGGCTCCAGACCTACTCTGCATCACAGCAACACAACTCTTCAGGGCAGCTACTCCCTCACAGCACAGACCTCACTTTCAGGAGAATCCAGCTCACAGGTAAGAGGGCTTTTGTTGTTGTTGCTGCATTCATTCAAAGTGAATTTGGAAGTTCACCTGACTGTGCCTGTCATTGTGTGAAGATTTCACTTGGTGTGTCTGCTGCCCCCTGGGTTATCAACAACTCCAGAAAGAGAACAGTCAGTGCTTTTTTATCTCTTTAAAAACAGTATTTTAAATAATTAAATACATTGAATTTCACCCTGATTTTGCCTGGTGTGAAAGTATAACAATTTTATACAATTGTATAAAAATTGTCTCCTCCAAAATCAGCTTGGGTGCTGTGTTATTAAAAGCAGAGGGTTGTGTTTTCAGCTGCAGGAGCGGACCCAGTTCAGTGATGGGGACCTCATCCAACTGAAGCGCTACTGGGACAGAGGCATGACCAGTCTTGGCTTAGTCTGCAGGGAAAAGATTGCTGCTGCAGCAAACCAACTGAACGTAGACACTGAAATAGTCAAGGTGACCAGCAAACCACAAGTGTTTTGAAATCTGTAAAAAAGAGTTCCCTTCACATTCAACTACTGAAGTTTCATTTCAAGAGAGATCTGATGTTCTTTAGTGTGTGAGTTTTGAACTTTGTTCTCAGGGTTTGGCCACTTTGTCTTTGACATTTAGTAGCAACAAGGATATTTGACTTGTTGAACTTTAGTGGGCAAAAAGAAAACAGATAGTTTTCTAGGTCACAGAAGTTTCAAACTTACTTTCTCAAAGTTGAATAAAAGTCACACCGTTATATATCAGGGCTGCAGAAGGAATGCTGACGGACTAAATATAGACTCTTGGGCCTGACACACACATGATCCACTACCATATCTCTTACTAGGATATTTATTTCAAGGAGTAAAGTTTTTGCCTACTCAGAGAAACAATATCTGATAGGATGACCCTCAAATCATTGCAAGTATTGAACAACATTTTACAACCAATTTATTTCTGTCCTGATTTGGTACATGTATCCTCACTGGTCCCAGGCTTGACAGTCAACTGCCGTCACTGCCAGTTAACTGTATGAACTGTAATCACTAACAGGATTTAGATTATGTTATTTGCCATGTTAGTTCCTATAGCCTTCACGTTTATTCTATCAGCCATTTTATAGTGAAAGACAAACTGAAGTGTTATTATTCCAGTATATCACACCTGATATTATTGTTTATGTTTTTTTTCAATTGGCAGACATGGATCAGCAACAGACGGAGGAAGTACCATCTAATGGGTATTGAAATCCCACCACCTAAAGGTGGGCCTGCTGTATTCACCTCCTCCCCAGGTAAAGAATCTCCAGTGGCTCTCAGTCCTGACGAGGAGCGGCTCAGAACAGCTGACCTTGGAGATGATTTGAATGATGGTGGATCAATCTGCCTGTCTGAAGGTATGTCTTTAAAAACAGTGCACACAACAACAATAACAAACTACCTCTGTGTAAATGTATGTCTTAACAATAATACCACTTTCTGGCTCCTAGATGGCACCATTGACTCACAGCATCAAGATGGAGAAGACAGAATAGACACACCGATTGCTGCCTCTCTCGCCAACGACGTGGTAATTCATTGTTTCTCTGTTAGCACAGAACAGCCTCATTAAATGTAGCCACTTTAGGTGAGTGCTGGTAGGGGAAACTTTTCTTACTCAGATGCACCAAATTGGATCGCAGCTTGTACTTTCTACTCAAGCATATTAGTGTATAAGTGTGTAGCAACAGAGCTACGCAAGGTGTACTTCATTAATCAGTTAGTAACTCAGCATATTTTCTCCTCATTGTTGTTTTTTGGTTTTGCACTACAGCTGCCTATCAATGTTTTATTTAACAGGCCGGCTTTACTGACATTTTGATATCTCCCAGAAGGATAAGCACACGAGTGCATAATACAACAAATTAATTTGTTGGTTTCAGGCTCCTGGTATGGAGTGTGGTGGCATACTGACACACTGTCGAGTCTTACCGGGACACAAGAATAAAGCAGAGCTATTCTGAGTTTCTTTTGTTCTATCTCTTCCTTTTTTAAACCAAGACAACTAAAGAAGGTCTGTTGTGGCGAGCAACCTATTTTAAGAGAAGTCGTGTATTATCAATATGGGCACTTTTTTAACACAACAGGACTGTATTTATATACTGCAAAAGACTTTTTTTTAAGATTATTTTGAAATAGATTGATTTTTACTATTTTTCATATCAATTTTCAGAAGGTCTGCTGTGGACCAATGAAGACACCTTCACTTTAAAGCAGTTTCTTTGGAGAACAGTGTGCTGCCAAGTCAAACCATTTCGTTTTTCATCCAGTTCAACCTGTCACTGAATAGTACATCCTCTTCTGTGTGAAAGTGCACTTTTTGAGTCACTTGTTTGACAGAATAATTTTAACTGGTTACTTAAGGAATCAGATTTAGTTGACATGCTTGTCCAGATTGCTTAGGAAATGCACAATTTACGTTCAATATGAGTATAAACTGTGTGATTTGACTTTGACCGAAAAGTCCAAACTTTATGAGGCGCTGATTTTCTTCCGATGTTTTTTCTTTCAGTTAAGTCAGGATATTTACTACTTAGTTCTCTGCTTGCTACTGTGTGTCTGATATCATAATGATAACCATTACTTTTGGTGAAATACTTTATCACAGCAGATAGTTGCGTCTTAGCTTATCACTTATTTTGTGCTTGGTTTGAGTTGTTTTAACAATAGTATTGCAGAAAAACAGTCAAAAGTTATCTTTATCCTGATTTTTATTTTTATTTTTTATGCCACAGTGTTGCTTAACCTTCTGTCTTTTTAACAGAAAATTGAAGTAATTGATGAGGATGAAGAGGATGATGATTATGATGGTGAACTGGTGGCTTCAGACCTAGAACAAATGCAGAGCCTGCTGGAATTCAAGGTGAGACAGGATTTAGGACCAGGACTGAACAACCGGGTAGCCAGCACAATTAAAGTGCAGTGACTGTAATTAACTTTTTGCCTTTTTGAATCCCTCTGTCCCAGCAAGAAGAAGTGCAGTTCTTAGAGAATGAGCTAGAGAACCAAAAACAAAGATACCAGGAGCTTTCAAACTTCACCAGGAATCTGCTCAGTGCTGTGAGGAATAATGACCTGGAGAGACAGAAGGTTTATTTGTGCTTCTATTAAAACATTGACAAGATTTATCAGAAAATTAGTCTGGAGTTAAACATCATGGGCATTTCTAATCTCACTGTCTGCTATTGTACATTGGTTTAGGAACTTATTGCCAGTCTACCTCAGCATTCAGACCAGGACTGGGACATGACTGTAGAGAAAGGAGCCCACCCTGCAGCTGTGTCACCAGATGTCTCCTTCAACCACGAAGACTCCCCAGCAGCTGCTGGAGCAGCTAACAACATGGAGCCTACACCAGCCTCAGCTTCGGACAAAGTCCCTATGGTCACCTTAAATGAAGACAACACTGCTACAGAAGTGACTGAGCCCTCTGCATCAGAGGAGCAGATACAGGAAGCAGTTTCAGAACTACAATCACTATCACCCGTACATCAGCTCACGTAGACACATACAGATGTTTCCACATGCGCACAGAGGCTGGTTTTACCCTAGAGGGACTTTATGGTCTTGCATTTACACAAACACTGTTACACTCATGCTCTATGCCCAGTGCCTGTGGATTGATGCTTCACTATGACTGTTGGGCTGACAAATGCCTTTTTTATTGCATATCATCCGCCTTGTTCTGGACAAGTCCAGAGAGAACAATAAATGACCTCTAACTTACCTGTGTGCCAGTGTGATTTATTAAGGAAGGAGAACCGTAATTTTTTAAAACAAATGCAGTCTGAAGATAGGCTACACACCACCCATCCAAACATGTTTGAAAGGATATTCCGGCGTAAAATTAATTTAGGGTCAAACACACCGTAACACCCAGTTAGACACCCCCTCGAGAGATGAATGTTGCCGACTGCTTGCTTCTCTAGTTATACCAACTTTAGTAACGACCGCACAATAGCAATACACAGCGGTGTGAGGAGCCACACACAAACCTCAACCAAAACGCCCCTATAGCCACAAATAATGCTCAGAACAGCACCTAACTTCATCAACAGTACATATAGGGTCCCAGCCATAGTACTAGCCACCAAACATCTTTTTAACTTTGCCTGATTTCTTTAGCAAAGAGACTAAACACAACCCACCTACTCTCTTCCAGCAGCCGCTTGTTTGTAGCAAGACCTCAGGCCAGTCCATTACGGACGGCTGCGGGGTGCCACAGCTCAAGGAAGAACTCTGTGTTATGGTGTATTTGAACCTAAATCAATTTTATGCCAGAATATCCCTTAAATACATGGTTATTGCAAGGACATTAACAGGGTTGGCTGTTTTTGTAAAGGCTAAAGAAAATTTGAATGCAAAATATACCTCAGTCCAGGTCTAAGTTCATGACCATTATGCCACTGAACACACCTGTAAAAGGGTGTTCACAGTTTGGGGAAATCTGACAAATCTGATTGACAACCACATTGTAAAATTTGTAACTTTAGAGGACAAAAACACTGACATGTAATATGGACCCACGACCTCACCGCACAATGACTGTGTCTGTGTGGGAGTGGCGGAGCTGGTGAGAAAGTGGATGAGCCCTAAGCCTCTTAATTCCACTTGGACAAGGGATGGACAGGCTTATGAAACAGTGGCTTAAAACATTCAACTTACAACCTTAAGATCAAAGGCTCAGATTTATAGCTCACCACAACAGGGGGGCTATTGTGCTCTCTAATTTTATCCTGCGTCGACAATAAATTCCACTCACTGTCTGCCTCAATTGCTGTGACCATTTCTGTCGCAAGCAAAATGCTCCATCACCCGGATACATGCCCGTCACACGCACCGTGTCATTCAGCATCAAGTCCCCCACGCCACCACGTCCTCTCTCTCTCTCTCTCTCTCTCTCTCTCTCCCTCCTCTATCTCACTTTGGTGTGGACGGGGGGAAATCCTTAACTGAATTGCGTCATAAATACGTCAATAAACTCTCATTCACTGACGACCAGGTACCACGATAGCCGCCATATTCGCATCCATGGCAGGGTAGCGGTGCTATCGGCGAGCGTATGGTCCAGTCATCAACATCGGCTAATCCCCGCACCGGCCCCCCGATCCCACACTGATAGCGGGCGGCGGCCACGCAACTTGTGTCTGATCATCACAGCAGAATAGCCGGACTTCCACTGACGGGAAGACATGCAACGTGGAGCGGAGGTTTAGGTTGACTACGATGCCGTAGATTTAGACAGGAATCCTGGCACAAGATGGAGGTAAACAGCGTAAGTAGTGAGGTGAGTTGATAAATGTGCGTGTCGCGTTATTATTCAGGTGTGTTGTTGTGGTTTTATCTGTCCCGTTAACTTAGCCTGTCTTAAAAAGCTGCGTGGTGCTTAAATTCGCGTCACGACCCGCAGCGCACCGTGATGCATGCTAACCCGCTAGCTCATGCTAACAGCTGGTTAGATGTTTATTTTTGTTGCACAGCCCGGGTTTACGAGTTTTTAAGCCTTTCATCCGACATTTCCCCTCCGCTTATTGTTCCACGTAGCGGGCAAAAAATTCCTCCACAGAAACACGACCTCACCCTAGCCTTTGTTGTTATTTACACTTCTCAAGTGGAGTTTGCCTCATAGCTAGCTTAGCGCATGTAGCATTAGCGTGTAGCTCGCCTGCTAGCTGACAGATGCAGGTTTGCAACTTGGACACAAGTTTTTCCTCCACTTTCACCGCTTCAAAGACTTACAGTTTATCCTAAGTGTTTATTTTGTCGGCAGCATTGTAATATGTCCAAAGTGAAACTCTCAGGGTATTACTCGCTCGGACCCGGGGATGGCTTGTCAGTGGCACAAGTGAACTAGTGATGTAGTTCACAGATATATCTTGTGTTTTCTGGGCTATACAGTGATTAATAATATACTTGAATAAGATTACAGGAGCTCCGATAATCAATTATCTGCATTAGCATCATAAAGTTGTCAGCCGCATGATTATAATGACGTTTCAACCTTGTATAAATGACAAACACACTTAAAGTCAGTTTTGGGTTGAAAATAGTGAAACAATTTAAAGGTGTAGAAAATACTGTACTGTTTTAACTGTGAAATAGTTTGCCTGTGTTTGGCCTCCTTATGGCATGTTTTTCGTGTGCAGCTACCCCAAACTGACATCTTAAACCTCCACATCTCTGGGATTCTTTGGAGTCTTTCACACCTACAGTACAAACTGTCTGTCTAACCGAGGAAACCAATGACTGTATATACAGTTCATGGTGGAGAGGGAGAAAAAGAAAACCTTTGCAACACACACTTGTCACCAAGCCTGCTTTTTTTTTGTAAAAGTAAACTCCTGTGATCAGTTCGAGGGCATATGCCAAGCTGTTGCAGCACCAAGTGTAATGTAGGTTACATGGAAATATTGAATAATTGATGAATTTATATGCCCCAAATACTTGTGCTTTAGAAAGTTTTTCATATTTCTGCTCCAAAGAACCACTTTGAACAACTGCACACTTGATTCTGCCTTCTTGTAAACTGCCAATAGAACTTAAATAAGGTGTAGGAGCACAATGAAGGACAGCCACTTGAACAGGGCTAGTGGGTATACTTGACGTTAACCTGATCTTGTGTTAGTTTCTAACTATGAGGGTGATCTTTTATGTCCGTTCGAGAGATTGTGAAGTGATATTATACATGACTGTCAGACATCTTTTTAAATGGCTGAAAAAGACTTGCCTAGTTGCGCTGCAAGTGTAGGCTGCACTCTGTTACAAGCTGAGATGAGCCACAGCAAAGGTGGGAGTGAAAATGTATGTGTGAATTATGACACAAGCACTGCCCTGGCTTCAGCAAGCTCGGATGTTCGACTTCAGAGATGCAGCAGAGCTTGCATTTTGACATAAAATGTTGTTAGATATTTCCTTGAAGTGTAAATCTGAACTGATTTAAGTGTTTATGTTGTTTATGTTATTCCTAAGTGCTAAGATATCAGGAAGGTGTTTGCTGGCCTCAGTTCTGAGGATGTATGTGAGTGTATGTTGGTGGCTCCACCCACTGAGTGGGTTTGCGTAGCGCTATGACTCATCCCCCCTCTTCAGAGGCTTGATGGAATTCAACACACAAACACACTGGACTGAATACATCATGCAGGCAGAGCTTCAGCACAGAACTGAAATATGTAGACCTGGATAATGTTATTGCGGTCAGTTTCTTTTGTTTGTCTAATTTACTTGCAGATGCTGCAGCATCCGTTATCATTGCTGACAAAGAATAGGCTATTAAATATTCGAAAGTGAGGCATAGAATTGGCTCTTTAATGCAACTCTGTCTGAGGAAGGCTTGTTTTTTTTTTCTGTTCGAGCTTTTTGTTTTTAAGTGTCTTGTCATCATCATCACCCTGAAGTCCTTAGTGAGCTAGACTGTCCTCAGGAGGCCGAATGCTGACAGCAGCTCCAGCAAACATCAGCCTCTCAGAGCCAGTCAGACATGTTGTTTTTGCCCTGGCCAGGGATTAAGCTAGAATGCTAATAATGAGGGGCTTTAGATGTACAGGATGAGAGCTGGACAGCTGGACAGGCTTAAAGTATGGACCCCATACTGTTTGACAACAAATAGACCTGCAGTTTGGAGAGTGAAACGGCACAGTTATTGCATGTGACTCATTGATTTCATCTGTTGAATCTTCCATCATACATGTGGGCGTGCTGCAGCTGCAGTCACACTCTTGCTCAGCTGAAAGCAGAGCTGAACAAGCTTTGTAAAAGTCTTTGCTGTTTGCGACTCTCCTGATGTTATTTGTTTGTTTGCTGTAGGTCAATGGGCATCAGATCATGGACGAGCCTATGGAGGAGGGAGAGTGTTTCTCACATTGTGTAAGTAATAGTGGGCCGGTGGTCTCCTCAGAGCAAGTGTGTGTAAGCCTGACATACCTGCAGCAGTGTCATTAACTGTCTCATGCTGTTGCTGTTTGTGTAGGATGAAGGGACCTACAAGGAGATTCCCATCACTCACCACGTGAAAGAAGGCTGTGAGAAAGCAGATCCATCTCAGTTTGAACTGCTGAAAGTCCTCGGTCAGGGCTCGTTTGGCAAGGTGAGGAAACAGCAGTCAAATGTTGCTATCAGTGCAATTGTAGGCAGATGTTCTTTTTCCAAATGTCTCGTCGTGTTTTCTCTCAGGTATTTCTTGTCAGGAAGATCGTGGGTCCAGATGCTGGTCAGTTATATGCAATGAAAGTTTTAAAAAAGGCATCATTGAAAGGTAACGCAACTTAGATATCAATTCATGTTCCAAACAAAAATGTCAAACAAAGCTCCCAGTATGTCCTGTACTGAGGGTTGAATTTCCTCGTCTCATCATCTCCTCCTGTTTGGTCTCTCCAGTCAGGGACAGAGTTCGCACTAAAATGGAAAGAGACATTTTAGTGGAAGTCAATCATCCCTTCATAGTGAAGTTGCACTACGGTAAGAAAACTTATTTGGATATTGACAGCAATATAGAGACATGCAATTATGCAGCTCACATCTACGCTTTCTATGACTAAACTGCTTACATTCTCTACATAACTGGTCAAGATATTGTGAATGTTCTTTCACAGTTATTGAAGCTCTATTTTTAAGGTCAAATGTCAACAATGCACAAAAATGAGATGAGATATTCCATTATCGGTCCCACAGGGGGAAATTCCAAGATTACAGCAGCATAAATACAAATACAAAGGAGAAGTTAAAGGATAGAGAATCTTAGAGTAAAAAAAAAGATATATTTTTTTATTTATTTATTTTTTGGGGGGATTGATGTTGCTCCTGGGACAAGGGTGGGGGCAATGGGTATGGATGTAATGAGATAAAGCAAAAAGAAAGAAATAAAAAAGTTGATCACAAAAAAAAGATATATACTTGAGTTTTCTTTACTATATACATGTGTACAGTATATACATATAAATATGGTTTATTACTGATTAAAAACAGGTCTTCAAGATCACTTCAGTATTGTTGTTAATTTCAGGTTGCTAGTAAATCACTACATATGTGGCTGTATTTGCTAATGTAAACCTTTGTTGTTCAAACACTGGAGTTTCTCCATCTAACCAGCATACAGATGGCTGAAAAATCACACAATGTGCTTTTTTTCTTCTCGCCCAGCCTTTCAGACAGAAGGGAAACTGTATTTAATACTGGACTTTCTCAGGGGAGGGGATGTATTCACTCGCTTATCCAAAGAGGTAAGCTGATGTCATTTTGCTTTTCACATTTCACTCCACTTAAAGCATTTTTGCATCTTTTTAGACTCTAGCGTGTCCTTTTTTTTACTTGCAAACATAATGTAATTTTAAACTCCCTTATGTTTTAAACATACTCGGAAAATCCAAATTACACTTGCCATTATGTTCTCTTAACAACCTGTCTGAATTTTTTGGGTGACAACTACTAATAGAACAGGTGGAAATAAAGTATGCAAACACTTTTTTTTTTTTTCCTTTTATACGAGCAAGAGTATCATTAGCCGTCTACTCTGTAAGCTCTTCATTTAAATAATGACTTGAATTCCTCCTGGAAATGTGAAAGCTTCTCTTGGAATCAATATTCTCTTTTTAGATCGTCAGTGCCTTGTCAGATAGAGGCTCTGATCAGCTCTTTTCAAATGCTTTCAGGGAATTCAACAATGTGTGATTGTTCTCTGCATAGACCTTGTGTTGAAAGCATGTCTCAGAACCAAAGCGATAGCTGCTGGCAATGTCAAATCAACAGCTTGCTGAATCATATAACCTATTTGAAATGTTGATTTTGTGTCAGTAATAATACTCTGTTTTCTCTTTTGTGGTGGAGCTCAATGTTGAAGTGTTATTTTTGCTTTTTCTGCTGAATTTCTCTCCTTTTCTGAGTTCAGAGAGTAAATTTGTCCAGTTCTTATCAGGTTATGTTTACAGAGGAAGATGTGAAATTCTACCTTGCAGAGCTGGCCCTGGCCCTCGACCATCTGCACAACCTGGGCATAGTTTACAGAGATCTCAAGCCAGAGAAGTACGAATCCTAGACCTTTACTTTCACTTTGACCCTTTACCCTCTGACCCACAAAGAACTTACACAAAGCTCAAAAGTTAGCCTATTTCTCTCCAATTCATCTGAAATATATAATCCATATATTTTCAATTTCACACTAAAACATTATTTTATTAATAAATTAGTCACTCTTAACCTGCTCACTTTACTAACCTCTTCTCTTTTTGATCAAAATATGGTATTTAATGACCAGTGCAGTTACCTTAGTCAGACATCTGTAGTTCTCTTTAAAGCATTAAAATCAAACTATGCTGAGAGGAAATTTGTAAGACAACACACTGTATGCAAAGAAAAAGGAGGTACAGAGATTTGATATCAGAATTGTGAGGTTGGTTGACAAGATTTTATGCTTTTAGTTTTTCTCAAAACAAAAATACATAAATTGTTGATTGTCATGAAAATCCAGTTTAAGGTAAAAGACACATTTTTAATAAACTGAAAAGTGTAGCACTATCCACTTTTAAATGTTGGAGTGTTTTTCTGTACTTGACACTGACCTTACTATAAAATGGATTGACTCTTACCGTTATTTCACTTTTCAGTAAAATCGAGGTTCATCTCATGATACTTTTTTTTCCCTCTTTCAGTATCTTACTTGATGAAGCTGGGCACATTAAGTTAACAGGTATGATTTTGTTGAATTACATATAAATGTTTGACTCGTCTGTTTAAAATGGTTGAAAATAGTTTTTAATTTGAGGGATGAAATAAATATTCTAACCCAGCCATCCTCTGCTCTGTATTTCTGTCTTGTAGACTTTGGCTTGAGTAAAGAGTCTGTAGATGCTGATAAGAAGGCTTATTCCTTCTGTGGTACGGTGGAGTATATGGCCCCTGAGGTGGTCAACAGGAGAGGACACACACAGAGTGCGGACTGGTGGTCTCTGGGAGTACTTATGGTAAAAAAAAAAGCCTGTGATATCCACTCAATCACTCATCATTTGTGCTTTATAGAAACAGAAAATATTGTGTATTATGTTTCATGTCTTTCATCGTGTGTTTGCAGTTTGAGATGCTAACGGGGACGTTACCATTCCAAGGGAAAGACCGAAATGAAACTATGAACATGATTCTCAAGTGAGTCACACCATATTTCATCTCTATTACTGTAGTTTTAATTTAAAAATCAAAACCACATGTCAGAAAAACAAGTTTTTAAATCACCATTTTTTCCATGTTTTTCTTCATCGATTGAATATTGGCTGTTCTATCAAACACAGAAACAGTCACCAGAATATAAATGTGTTGCTGATTTGGAGGTAGTTTTGGCCTCCAGAGGAAAACGATATGCTGGAACTCTTAAGCAGTGAATATCCCACATTTTGTTGAGAACATCCCTAATTTTTTCAGTTCTTTTTTATTTTTTTTTATTTTTTATGAACTGTAGTCATGCCTGGATTCGGCCTCTAAACATTTTTGGATTGCTCTAGGTCAAGTTCTTGTCCAAATGGTCCAAAACCAGACTGACCTTGAGCATTATTTTGTACACATCACAGTGAAGCAGAAACTTGTTCCTATTCAATTTTCCTCTGATTCATTGATACAAATAACAAGTTAGAGGGAAAAAATCCTTCAAAATAAGCTCGATTTGCTAAGGAGATTTGTCCAGCCTGACAGAATGAAAGTTTATCCAATAGCAGAGACCATCTTCTGACCATCTGACTTTACAGAATAAAGCTTTTGTGTCTGTGATCTTAAACTCTTCAACAGTTCACTGTAACTTTTTGTCTCTGTTCACCTCTCACTCTGCTCTTCTCTGCCCCTCAGAGCTAAGTTGGGAATGCCTCAGTTCCTCAGTTTGGAGGCCCAGAGTTTGCTGAGAATGCTGTTTAAACGTAATCCTGCTAACAGGCTAGGTAAGGTGTATCAGTGGATCTGATAGAATAATGGACAACAAGGTGTGTTGAACCTCGCCAAGGGGTCGCTTGCTAAGCTTTTTGGTATCCACTTAAATCACGAGCTTAAAACCACAGAGGGAAAAATGAGAGAGCATGTTGTCGCTTTGAAAACAATGTAACCAAACGTGCCAGGTTGACTGAACCAGGGTGATCTGTGTCTTTAGGTGCCGGGCCTGATGGAGTGGAGGAGATCAAACGCCACGCGTTCTTTTCCACCATCGACTGGAATGTGAGCTCATACACACGCACACACACACACACACACACACACACACGCCTCCATCTCTCATAGAGCCCCACATACACACTCATATAACTCTGCAGCTTCTGTTAAGGATTCACACCTACCAAACGGTTGGCTTGGTGACTACCGGCCATCAGTCCACGCCAACTATGTTTGTGTGTGTGTGTGTTTGTGTCTGGGCAGAGGGCCAGTTCTCACTGTGTGTGCACTAATAGCCCTGTGTGAGTGTTTAACAGCCAGCATGATGCTATTGGCTGGACTGGGCTATAGAGGGATGGGAAGGGGTTCATCTGGGAGGGGTCTTGGCTTCTCTTTCACATATGCTCACACAATCCAAGCAGCCTGCAGTAGAGTTTAATCTCTAACATGTACGTGTGTCTTCCTGCACGTGTGCACCTGTGTGTCCCTCAGAAACTGTTCAGGAGAGAGCTGCAGCCCCCATTCAAGCCTGCAGCAGGTAAACCAGATGACACGTTCTGCTTTGACCCTGAGTTCACCGCTAAAACGCCGAAAGGTAAATCAACACCTACACACACACTCTAAGACACACACACACACACACACACTTGCAAAAACACAAATTCTTCTCTCATGCTTTTGATCTCAAAAACAACAGCCAATCCTGCAGCCATGGAAACTGCGACCGAGCGCTGACTACGAAATATCACCAAATTTCAATGGGTGCTTTATACATTCAGGTTTCTGTTTTATTAATGATCTTTGTTTATTTAGACTCTCCAGGTATTCCTCCCAGTGCAAACGCCCACCAGCTCTTCAAAGGCTTCAGCTTCGTCGCTCCCACCCCTATGGATGAGAACAAGAGCTCCCCGCTGCTCAGCATACTCCCTATTGTGCAGGTAAACTCACATCCTCCCTACTGCCTGTTTGCACTCAGCCCTGATGTACACAGGTTAATCATTCTATATCAGCTTCTGGTCCATCATTTACTCTTTAACTTGTCTATCACTAACACTCAGAGAACATGTGCATTCACCTCAGAGACTTAGCTTTTCCAACACATTACCAATGACTCGACCTTACAGCCTTCCTAATGAGCATTACACAGATTTAACCTTGAGGCGGCTATTGTCCTGAAGAAAGCTTGTTTACATTGTTAAAGAATTAGAGTTGCCATCAACACACCTGTCAGCGTTGCTGAATAGTCATAACCACACATGAGTCAACAGACTCACTAGAAAACATTTTGTTTGGCTCTGCAAGCCTTCTGTTTAATTTGACAACATTCGCCTCCTAGTTATGAATTTACTACTGCACAAAATCAAAAATGATTTATGAAGTGTGACAAAAATCTATTAATCGCTGAAGTAAAATTAAAACTGGACTTTTAAATACATGTAAACATATGAGTCAAACTGAAACGCAGTTACATTAAAGTTGGACTGACACACCTGAGTAATACAACTGAGTAGCTCCTGAATATCTGTTTTGGTATCGAGGACCCCCCACTCCCACTCCCACTCCCCGACTCAGAAACTGTCAGTTGAACCACACATTTCCATTAAGAGATGTGAAAATTGGCAACCACAACTACAATGGCCTTACAACAATGGCTGTGACAGTTTCACAGCTGAGTATGTAATAACTAGCTAGAGTTCCACTTTGTGTGGCTTATGTGTGAACCTAACTGTTGAAACTAATGCTGTGGGAGCACATATCACCATCACAGCCTGGACTACTCACGTTGTTGTTTTGTATGAACTGACAGTGCATGCTGTGACATTGTTGTGGACCATGAGCCGTCTCTTCAATCATGAGTGCTTAGCCGGTACTGGAGCACATCTAAATTGAATCAGTAAATGTTGTTGAAAACTATTCGAAATCTTGATCCTTTCAGATGCACGGCGGCTCGGCCAAGTTCTCCGACCTGTACGAGCTGCAGGAGGACATAGGGGTCGGCTCCTATTCCATTTGTAAACGCTGTGTACACCGAGTCTCTGCAATGGACTATGCTGTGAAGGTACTTCAAAAACCACTCTGCACAGTGTTCACTTTCTGTAACTGAGCTATCATGCAGGTACTCACACCTCTTTAGAGTCTTTACCCAGAGTTACACATCAGAGTTAAATGTTTGTTACCACTGAGCATCCTTATATGGGGGTGGAAGGATGAAGGATTCCTTGAGGGGTGTTAGAGTAGCAAACGAAGGACGTGGGTGTACTTTTCATTGATAACTACATCAGAGCTGACCTTTCACTTAGAATTGTGCTTCTCTATCATCGCCTCTGCTAAGACACCTTTAATGCTGAATATTTATAAGTGCATTCTGGCTGTGTCTTTATTACAACCTTTATATAAAGTCAGTGCTCCACCTGTTCAGTACTCCTGTGTATATATTTTTTTCTCACCCTGACTGTATTTTATTAAGCCAGTTTGACTCTGTGAGTGGGCAGCTTTAAAAAAAAAAAAGTGTTCTTACTATATAAAAGTGGATGACTAAATATTAGGTGTCAGAATATTGGTCATCAGTGTTTGAAAAGTGAGTAGGCATGTTAACTGTACGCAGTGTTGCAAACAGACCAGCAGAGGGCAGCACAGCTTCACAACTGAAGCCATGCTGCAGTAACTCTTATGGACTAAAGTAGTATAGGAATTTTCCCATTTAGGATATACAAGCTCAAACTGAAGGAGATGTCATATTTCTGACTCTGCTAGTACACTCTTTGATTCGATCTGCTGAAACCTGTTTTTATATTTTTCAGATTATAGACAAAATAAAGAGGGACCCCTCCGAAGAGATTGAAATCCTGATGCGATACGGACAGCACCCAAACATCATCACTTTGAAAGACGTCAGTATCATTCTGTGTAAGAGTTTCTTGAAGTCTTTTAGAGTTGATTTTAGAGCTCCACACTAACATGTGCTCTGTGTGTTTGTGTGCGTGTGTGCAGGTCTATGATGAGGGCAGGTATGTATATCTGGTGACGGAGCTGATGAAGGGAGGGGAGCTGCTGGACAAGATCCTACGGCAGAAGTTTTTTTCAGAGAGAGAGGCCAGTGCTGTGCTCTACACCATTACCAAGACTGTTGACTACCTCCACTGCCAAGGGGTGAGGACCCCCTTCTCTGTCTATGAGCATGAGGGGAAAATTCAACTCTTTATAATGTTTTCTCCTCCATCCCTGTTCCCTCCCTGCTCAGGTGGTACACCGAGACCTGAAGCCCAGTAACATCCTCTATATGGATGACTCTGGAAATCCTGACTCCATCAGGATCTGTGACTTTGGATTCGCAAAGCAGCTCCGGGGAGGCAATGGCCTGCTCCTCACCCCCTGTTACACCGCCAACTTTGTGGCACCAGAGGTAAGAGGAGGAAACTTTGAAGGCAAAAAAAGGACAATAGCTGGAGGGAAATCTGCAGCAGACTGTGAGAACTCTGTCAGTGTGAGGCTCTAATAGTCTGACTGTCATTGATTTTGTCATTCCAGGTACTAATGCGGCAAGGTTATGATGCAGCTTGTGATATATGGAGTCTTGGAGTTTTACTGTATACCATGCTGGCAGGGTAAGGCCTCACCCATGCACAACTGAGAACTTCAATGTCTTGCAAAGATAGATGATGTCTTAGTATGAATATTGAGTGTGACTAAAGCTCAATTTTAGAGCAGCAGATTAAACTGTGAACTCAGAAGTCTTAAGATCACACTCCACTTTTATTCCCCACTTTGTCTTGGGCGACAGGTTAATATTTTTGTGAAATGAAATGTGTGAAGTACAATCACGGCTTTTTGCCTACCTCTGTTCAGGTACACACCGTTTGCCAACGGGCCTAACGACACACCAGAAGAGATTCTACTACGGATAGGTTCTGGGAAGTTTTCTTTGACAGGAGGAAACTGGGATACTGTATCAGACAGCTCAAAGGTACACTGATGGAAACTTTGCACTGTATACTCACACCTCCATCTCCAATGTTTGAGACCCATTGTGTGTTCATGTATTATTGAAATCCACTGACACCTGAAAGTGAGCAAAAATTGAACCGTAGGATTTAAGTTCAAAGTAAGAAAAAAACTTATAAATTGCTTTTTTTTTAAACAAGTTTTGAGACATATATATTTTTTTACATATGTAGGACCTGCTGTCCCATATGCTCCATGTGGACCCTCACCAGCGATACACAGCAGAACAGGTTCTAAAGCATTCCTGGATCACCTGCAGAGATACTCTACCACACTTCCAGCTCACACGCCATGACGCACCGCATCTCGTCAAGGTGAGAATGAATCCCAGTGAATACCGCAGACGCAGGATCATCTGAGCAGAAACAGTCCTCTTCAGAGACGTAGAAATTAAATGTGTAGAAATAGTTTGTTAGACTCCCAGAATAGAAGCTGCACAGAGCTGAAGTAGGATAATATTTTAGTATAGCTCATGTTGGCCTTATCAGAAATGACACTCAAGTGTTTCTAAACATGGTACCCAGCGTCTCTCTTTTCCTCTTTACTCTCCTACATGAAGTCATCCTCTTTGCAAGGCGTGCGCCTCTTGAAATATCAAAGGGGGCCCGATCCTCTGTGATTCACACACTTCTAATCTCATCTATTACTAATACCAGATCCAACAGAGCAGATGTGCCCACTCTCTATCATGTTGGGTACAGATGCTTCTTCTAAATGTGGCTCATCTGGTAGTTTTTCAGCACCAGCAGTGTTTTTTCATCTTTTTTTATCTTGTACTGTGTGTACAGTTGGACCAGACGAACATAAAGAGTAGCATAAACTAATAGACAGATGTGCTCCACAGGTGAAGTTATTGGGATTTTCTCAGTGTGATTTTAAGGTAGAGAAAATCAGGGCAGCTTGCTCGTCTTTCTCTATTCAGACCCCTCATGTCTCCCAGTACAGTTCTCCTGTCCTCTCTTTGTTATGGTTTGGCTTCTCCAAGTCGGTTGTTTTTCAGCCTCTCACAGACAGAGGCTGACCTCATCCCTACAGAGCGTCTGAACCACCTTAGTGGACTTCTCTTAATCTCAGTGAGCTGTGGCTGTATATAGAAGCACTCAGAAGTAAACTCTTCACCCAGTCCTGTAGAGAGGCCAGCCACCCTGCGCAGGGATCCTCTTCTGTCTGTGATGTTTTTCTTTTAGTTACATCCCAAACCCTGTGATCACGGGAACAAAGATCAACAGTAAATTTAGAGGTTTGCTTCACAGCTTAGCTCTCTCTTCAACACTTTATCAACAGACAATCTCAAAGTCTTTTTCTTGTTTAACAGATGACCTTAAAAAAAACCATCGCCGGTGCCATCACTCCTCAGCGCACATGTTCAGCAGACAAGGCAAACACACTTTTGGTTGAGATGAAACGATTGTCAGTCACGGGAATAGAAATAGGGAATATTTTATTTAAATTTTCACACAAAAAAAAGCACAAATTTAAAAAGATCTTGCCTGAGCTAGCAGTTTTTGTCACATTTTTCACACAGTGAAGATCCCGTCTGACTCCTGTTATTTCTGTGGCCTGTGAGCACCAGGAGCACAAACAGGGTCTTGGTCAAGTCTGTAAAGCAGATTTAACACATGAGGTGTGACACAGCACATTATCTAGAGACAGGATGACAATGAAGGGATGCACCTGCTCAGTAAACCCTCAGTTCTGACATCCAGGTACAGCTCCGATAACAGGTGTGCTGTAGGCTGGGAGAAGAATATCGTCTTTGTAAACACCCTGTAGCTTTACCGTCGAGTCAGAAATCCAGTTGAGTAAATCCATACTGCTCTCGGTGCTACTTTATTTGTGTAAGTGGTGATCATGCATCGTTGCTCAGCTCTTTGCTCTGAATACTTTTTGTGCTGACTGTTCAGCCTGTTATTCCTCATTTATCGCACCAAATACCCGTTAAATGTGCTACTCCAAAAAATTCCTGTTTGGATTGATTTTTAGGAAATCTTGAAGAAAACAAAAAGTGGAAGAGACAACAGGAGAGGTTACCAAGGAAGGCGTTTTTTTTTTTTTAATGCCTTTACTAAGCAAGGATGGGACAGCGGATAGAGCAGGAAACCAGGAGAGAGGGTGAGGGTGGGAAGTTACATGCAGGAAAGGAGCCACAGGTTGGAAATGAACCAGGACTACCTGCTTCAGAGCTATTGTCTCCAAACTTTGACTCTGTGACCCATCCACAAGGCCAAAGAAGTGCGCTCTAAAAAAAACTGTGAATGATGTAGAATGTATTGGTGTAAATGAGAGTGATAGCCCTGTAATTTTAACAATATATCCATTGATTCACTAAAGCACCGACCCTAAACTTGTGCAACTGGGACAAAAAGACGTCCTACACATTAAGTATGCACCTAAGGTCAAATATATATATACACACTGCACCACAAAGCAATTAACATCTCTGTGTACCAGTGTTGTTTGCTTACATTTACATGAGCTATAAGCATTGAAGGGAAATATGCTCCTTAAACGCAGATAAACCTCACTGCAGAGAACACCAAACTGTAAACTGGCATAAATGGCCTTGTGTTGTTGGGAAATGTTTACCTCCTGCTGAGCAGTGGTTACTGCTCTGCAGTATTTAGAGGCATCAGCACACTTAAACCTGACACTGATCAGAACAATGATCAAAACTCTTAAAAAATCTGCACATAAAGTTAGCTAATTTAAACTCGATGTTACGTGATTAATAATCCAGTGTTAAATCAGTTTGAAGCTTTACCCATACAGTCTTCATAATCTCATACTACATCATATTATCGGTTTGATAATGAGAGTGCACCACACAGCTCTGCACAGCAGGTAGTGGAGATACTGATGGTTCATCTCCACAGTCAGATGCAGGACTTGAGTGAAATGTGCAGAGCTGCAGAACTTTGTGAGCACTGTTGCACTTGAATATCATTAACCCAGAATGCGCTGTGAATTTGATCTAGATAGTCGGGGTAAATGACTCTTCCAGTTGCAGAAAGGGATCAGATGACCGAAGAACATGCTTCAGGGTTGATTTATTACCTCAGTGAACATTACCTTTATGAATGTATGGTCTCATTTACTCAATATATATCGTCATCCCAATATGATCCATTAGTTAGATTTTCTTTGACATAAATTATTACCTTATTGAGAGGGGAAAATGGTTAAACCTTCTTCTACTGCAACCAAAGAGCTTCAAATTCCAAGTTTGTGCTGGATGAACAGCTTCACACTCAGATTAAAATTAGATAACAAACTGATGGCTCTTTCCCACTGGTTTAGATCACCTCTTTTATACAGTTAGTGGTAACCAGGGTATCGGGTTGAGGCCCATGTGATGTTTTATAACTGAGCTAATCATTATGGTACAATGAGCTTCATATACAGTATATGATTTGTTTTGTGGTGTGACATTAGCTGACTGACTTTGTAGTCTGTTTGGCAGCTTAAGGGGCTCAGAAACAGCAGCAGAGAGGTAATGAAATCAGGACTCGGCTTTCAACTGAGTGTTTATGTTGTTTTCCAGGGAGCCATGGCTGCCACATACTCAGCACTGAGCCAGAAGACGAGTCAACCTGTGTTGGAGCCTGTGGCAGCGTCCAGTCTAGCTCAGAGACGCAGCATGAAGAAACTCACCTCAACAGACATGTAGACATATACACACACACACACTCACACACACCGCCACCCTTCCAGTTTTAACCTCACTCTCAGTCGGACTCCAACACAAACACAGATTCAGGCACACACATCGACTTAAGTCCCGGCCAGTCAGACCTACTGTCTCCTTTTTTTAATCTATTTATTTGACGTACCCAACATATGCACACGTACACACATACATGCACTCTCACACTGGATGAGGCTGCATTGTGAAGAAGTCAGCTGAAGAGGAAGAGGGGAAACTCACATATCGGTTACTGCTGGGGAGACAGACTTGTATTTATTTCCACAGCTTTCATATGCACTTGCCCTCCTCGCCTTTCATTCTTTCTTCCTCGTGTGGGGAAGAAACGCACCAGCTGATGTTCTCCTTCACTGTGATTGGCTGATTCAAAGCTGCTTCGGTAAACTGTGCCCCACTCCCCACTGCTCTTCATCTGCGCCCTGCCATCCTCCTCTTCCTCAGTTCTCTCTCCTTACCTTGTTTGCTTTTGCTCTCTTAACTTGTTTTCTTCAAAGTGAAGTGGTTTATGTGTGAGAGTGCTGGCAGGATGATCAAGACTGAGGGGCTCTGCTGGACTGTTTCGTCTGTAACAGTGAAGAGAAATGCTTCTGCTTGTGGCAGATTAAGGAAGTCCCCGTGTGTCACAATCATCTGCCAGCACTTTTGGAAACATAAATGCATGTTTGGACCGAGCCTGTTATTTCTTTTCCTTCAAATTTCACCATCTGACTCATGTTATTCTGTGATGCTAACAATGTACGGAAAGAGGTTAAATAAGCTGCCAATGGACTTAATAAAAGAGTTTGAAGGTGAAACTATGTGGTAACAATAACAGAAATTCTAGTTTGCAAAAAAAAAATATATGAAAATATAAAATGAAGATGAAAAAGATGAAGAGCATGTGGGGGAGCTGAATGGATTTCTCTGGGGGGGACGGGACGCACCCCGTCGAACCAGAGAGGCTGAATTAAAAAAAATTTCCATGGATATCTCTTCAAAAAGACATTGTGGAAATTGTATGATATTGTATTTATTTCATTTGATTTTTAAGATTCTATTTTTCTTTCAAGTTCTGTATATATTGACATTAAAGATCATTATTGACATGCATTGACTGTGGTCTGTACTATTGCTTTCACTGCGCACCTTACCTTCTATAAGGGGAGATAATCCCTAAGAACTACAACAGAGTAGAGTCATCTAACCATAAGACAATTTGAAGCAGATCAATATCATGACTTCAAACATTTCTTACTAGTTATTTATTAGATGGGAAACGTGATGTATTCTGCACTCATTTCATGTTAAGTCAGATGATTTTAGTTTTTTGGTTCAGTTTTGATAAAACCAAATACCATATCTTTACAACCTTTCCTTTTTAGTTTGAGATGATTACTTTTCAAAGAGAATAAACACAACATCTCTTAGTCCACCACAAAGCAGGTAACTACAATCACAGATGCCTAAAGAACAGTCACCGGCAAAAAGAGTAAGCCACAGAAGGTCTTTGCTTCGATCAGAGCACTGTATCAAAGTATATCAGTGGAAAGTTGATTAGTAGGAAAAGGTTGCACAAGCATCATGGATGACTGTAGCCTTGACCAAATTTGGAAGAGCTTCATGAGGAGAGGAGTGAGGCTGGTGTCAGTGCACCAAGAGCCTCCACATCTCCAGATCCCTCCTGAACCTGAGACAGTGTCATAAACATGACACTTTGGCCGAGGAGAAAAACATCTATATTGTTGTTCGGTGGTCCAAAGTCCTCTTTTCAGATTAAATTCAGTTTTGCATTTCATTTGATTTTTCTTGATTCTGGGTGCCGTGTTCAGCTCTGCTGGAGATGCTTATGTGTGTTTTTATCAGAGACTGTATAAACTATGGACAACTTGGTTTTGCCTTCCATCATTATACGAATTCGAAGGTAAATTGCTCTCGGTATTTCCAGGATTTTCTCCACTTCCTGGAACCACCACTTGCGCAGTAGCATTGTACGCATTTGGCGGGAGAGTCGCCAAGAGAACGCCCATAGGCTGTATCAAGTGTCAATCATAGAAAACATGAACCCCCTAATAACTTTTAAAAATGGAGCTGAACAGAAAAAAGCTGTATAGCTGTACAAAAAGTCGTCTTCTGCGGATCTAGACGATTTCTGCCGACTTTGCAAAGTCAACTGCAGAATTAACGGCGTTCTCAATGAACGGCGCTTTGAAAAGTCCCGCAGCATGTGTTAGACGTTACCATCTACACATGGACCAATCAGGGACTGCCTTTCCCTGTTGTCCGGGTAACAGTGGAAACACGGTCTCTGATTGGCCCGGTTATTTTCTGACCGGGAATACACGCTCCCAATTGGCCGAAGTCCAAACTGTTGTGGGAAGGAACGGCAAGTGATTCACGCAACAGGATGGCCCAGCCAGGCTATTTAAAAGGCATTTAAGGGGTCCGAATTTTTGGGCACCCCTTCTGAGATGATGATGAGATACACTCTAAAGAATGTGTGTACCAAATTTGGTGCTTTTATCCACTGCATAACAATTTGGCCATTTTTTCAAGTTAAAGGGGCCATGGCATGAAAAACTGACTTTGTTAATGGGAGGGGGGTGCATATCAGGGATAGAAAACTGCTACAATCCCTTTAAGTTCGAAAAAAAATACCATCCAGTCGTTTATTAGTTATCTCCGTATTTAGGAACTGTGTGCTCAGAGCCGTTCTGAAAACTCCACTGACATGACGTCATGTCAGTGGTGGCGGGTTGATGGTACTACCCATGGAGCCGCCCACTGCCCTGCCCACAAAGTTATCAAAACACCGCCATTATTTCCGGCCGCTCGCTCACATAGCTCCGGTTAGAACCATGGCGGAAGTACGATCTGAAAAAGAGGCAGCGTTTGCTCTGTTGTTGGCTGCACAAACGAGCACAAAACTCTTTTGAAAACTCCCTCGTCGGAGGATTTGAAGACTCAATGGGTGGATTTTATTTATAATATTTATACCCGCGGCACTTCGAAAATATCTGTACGTATGTGCGCACCGTTTCACTCCGGACTGTTTTATCAACGAGGGACAGTTCAACGCTGGATTTGCTAGATGTCTGAAGATAAAGAATGTATCCGTACCAACTATCCATGATCCTACTACTAACGTGGCATCTGTAAGTGTGAACGTTTTATTTTGACTTACTGTTTAGTCTAAATTCCCCCCGGTGCCTCAGCACGGCCACCACGCTTTGATAAACACACCGGATCCGCGCCGGTTTACCGGATCCTCCCGTATTTTAGCCGCTGGCTTCTTCCCCGATAACTCCGGCGGCGGGGGACAAAATCCCCCTCCGGAGCAGCATGTAGCTTTAGCATTTACCCGTGCGGCGACGCGCCTCTTTTGGCTCAAATACGGGACGTCCCGGCTAATGCTGGACGGTCGGCCATCTTAGCAAAGGCTTCAGAGAAGTTTTAGAGCACCAAAATCTTACATTGACTTCATGCTTGTATCTGCCGACACAGACCCTTAATTCCTTTTAAAGCAGAACTTGTTACCTGCCCACCACGCCAAAACTACCACCAAATGGTTTGCAGACCATCATTTTTCTGTGATTGATGGGCCAGCCAGCTCACCTGACCTGAACCACAGAGAGAATCAGTGAGAGATTTGTGGAGAGGAAGATAAAACCATTTGTACATTTTTAAAAGATTTTTAACTTTTAAAGGAAGGAAATTTTATTTCACACTGAAAAGGTTAAAGAGGGTTAGCATCCAAATGCTAGACTTCAGTGAAGAGGTCACTCATGCCATGTGTAATAAGTCTCAGTCTGAGACAGATGGCTGTTCACCATCCAGTCTGGTTCTACTGGAGCCCTCTCATAATGGACTGAAGATTGGTCTCTGTAGAGCACATTTGTAGATGTGGTTCAACAACAAACTTGTATTGAATCAGGATTCCTGAGGTAGTAAAGACAGAGTCCTGACCTGTAGAGACAGTTACGTTACATGGGGTCATCTGATCCATTGTGAACTCTAAGTATTGGGTTGTACAGCTTACAACCCCTTTATTTACTCAATAAAGAAATGATGATCACGTTCAAAGCAGCTGTATTTCTCTGTTATCCCCAAACCAACACAAATGAGATGCAAGGTGCACAATCAACCACTAGGTGGTAACAATGTCCACTACATAAGAAGTCCTGAGCTTGAGGAACACACAGCGGCCCTCACAGGGTCTCAGTCCTACCCTTATGTAAATGATCAGTCTCGCCTGCTTCCATTTTGTCTGTCCAACCCCCCGCTCCCCTGAGAATATAAGCTCCTCTAACCAGTGGTGTGTAGAGAGAGTATTGTGTACGTGTGTGGTGTGTGTGTCAGAGCTGTCATGACCAGACAGCAGCAGAGGATGGAGATCTAGGCAGGGAGGCAGATGGATTGAGGCACAAGGACTGCTCCCATCAATGCACACAAAAATACACACATGCACACACTCACACACATTCGTTGGCCTATGGACCAGCTGTTGTCCTTTTTCTGCAACTGTCTGAGCTGACTCCATGCCCCCTCTCTCCCTCTCTCTCCCTCTCTCTCCTGGATTAGATGCATTTTGCAGTCAGCCCGGGAGCTGAGAGGTAAACAGTGGGGCTAATTGTTTTGACATACTGCTCTTTGTTTTGGCCTCCTGGTGCTAATCAACCACTTGGCTAATAAGTCTGCCTGGCGAGGGAAGCAGCCCAGTGTTTAGACTGGGGGGAAGTAAAAACGGGACAGGTGCTGCAGTCATAGTTTCAGTCCACATTCGCTCGTCATCCAGAGTTCCCACAGTGCTGCTGTGGCTGAGTAGCACCCCGCTCAGGTGTGAATCTATTTATCCTCATTAACGAGCGTCTCCCCAAAGTCAGCCAATTAACACGCTGCTCCTAATGAAGCCATTAGCTGTCAGATGAGGTAGAGGCAGTGCTTGTCATCGGTCCACTGTGTGTATACGTGTGAGTGTGTGCATCCACTCTTGCTGCTAATAAAAGCAAGAGAATTAATGGAGTGAGCGTGTGTGATAATGAGTTAATGTGGAACAAGCAGGACGAGCAGTGATCAGCCCTCTGTCTCAAATGAAGATATCAGACACAGTGATTTACTCTCAGAGCCATAAACAGGCCTTTCTCCTCTCACTTACAACCCTTCTTCATGTGCATGCATGTGTGTGTGTGAGTGTGTGTGTGTGTTCAATATACATGCAGGCAGGCTAAGTGTGATGGCGAGAGCTCCCTCTCTAACACCAAACGTGCTACATGGATCTGTAGTTTCTGAAACAAGACCTCTTAACTGCAGTTGTGCAGACACGCGTGACCACTTAACATCACATCAAAGTTTGCAGGAGTGTCAGCCTCAAAATGACAGAGTGTGGATGTCAAACCAGAGTTCCTGTGCTCCTTAATGGAGCTATCACACTGCACAACCTTAATATGGTTTTAATTGTCAAAGTAATTGCAAAGACATGAGTGGCACAGCCTCAGCAGAGAGAACAATAAGATCAGAGAGGCAGCTGTTCTACTGACACCATTTTTACACTCAAATGGAAGAGGCTGAATAATAAACAGAGAGATATGATAATATGATGAGCAGGTGTGGAGTCTTGTTTATCTTAAAAAAGGATTTTTGTAGCAGCATGGAATTTTTTTTTTTCCTATTTGTGATAATTGTTAGAGTTTCACACAGGAATCCTCTTGGCTGGATGTAAAGTCTTACACCAACCCCCCACCTTTCAAACTACAGCTAAAGCCGCCCCGCCCAGTCAGGGGACGCCAGAACTGAGGATGTGAAATTGATTTTAGGTTATGCGATAAATCTCGCTCCATCTTTGGTCTACTTCTTCTTCTTCTCCTCAATACCACCTCCCCTTCTCTCCTCATCTGTGCTGCTTTCTTCTCTCCTCCATGTTCTCAGTTACACTCCTTCTGAATCTGTCCTCTAATACACTTTCACTACCAACAGAGGTCCTCTGCCCCCCAGTGAACACTTATCTCTTAACTTTGGTCACATTCACTTTGAAGTCCTGTCAAGGCCCTGCAGCAGCTGCTTTCAAGAGTGCAGCCATGAGCACAAATACAAGAAAAATGAGATGAACCAGTGTGCATGTTCCACTCGCAACAAGTGTATGAATAATTGTCAAAAATGCGTCTAAAGAGTTTGAGGGATTTGTGCGCTGACTTTCTTAACTTGAAGGTTTCAATTACTGTCAAACGCAGAGAGAGGATACAGAAAGCAACAATTTCTTAACCACTGGGTTACACTATTACTGTAGGAGACGTGCAGAGAAGCGTTGTACAGAAGTGACTGTAATTTGATCTGCAGTTCTTGCTGCACTTTCTCTTTGAATCTGCATTTATTAGTATGCACAAGAAATTGATTATGATAATAGATTTGGCTGTAAATAATGTATTCCCTCTCATTATGTGCATAACATATCAGTATGGATTTCTAATCCTATTTGAGAACTTTATTTCACAAAGTGACATAAAAATACTTGTCAAAAATATTTACATCCTTTGTGAAACGGTTGTGTAAAACTTTCTAATTTTACTCGTCCAGGAGGTAAAATTCTGTCTCAGCATATAAGTTTCTTTCACGTTAGTTTTGTGAGTGATGCCTATACTTGAATCTTCATTTAAAGCTCCCATAAGGAGTTTTAAGGTGGTTTCGAAAAACTGGAATTAATATTGATTTTTTTTCATGACCGAAATAAAGAGACAAGAGCCCCTACTTCAATATTGTTATTTTTAATGTCTGAAACCAAGTGATTGACTGCCTTTGTCGACATTTTACAGCATTTTTTTGAATGAGCGTTACAGTAAAAAATAAAGCAGGGTTTTTAATCAAGAAACACAAATTTTTACACACATACAGAACAAAATCAGCAAAGACTGCTTAGCCAGGGGGCGCTAAATCAACACAGGGAGCTCTAAAAAGGAAAAATCAATGGCTCTAAATCCTTCATGCACCGATGTGTCACATCTGTGTTATTGTTTAAAGTGTTTTTGTTTAAAGTGTTTTTGTGAATCTTTTAGGAACAAACTTGTTCATTTAAGGACCTAAAAGACAAATCTGGTGTCTGTTTGGGTATATAAGTATTTAAAAAAAAATGAGCCATATATCCCCAAAGTATCTTAACAATTAAGAAAACTTGTTTATTATTATTATTATTTATTTATTTACAAACTTGCTTTGATTTGGTATTTATTAAATCTGAAAAAAAGTCAATTTTGTAAATTAATTTTTCTGAAACCTCTTTCCCCCTCTGCCTGTTTCTCAAGTTTCTTTTTGAAAATGACACGCCCAAACTGAATACTGGCATTTTAAGCTTCCCTGACTGAGCTGTAGAGGCGACACTAAACACTGTGGTAATAGACAGCAACTACACAAAGGTGGGGAGTCGTGTGTGTGTCACTCCACTCTGAGATCTGACTAATGTAAGTCCAAGAAAAAGGTGATGAGGAGTAGACTGGGAGTGTAAAGAGCTGGTTCTTGCTGAGCCAAATTAATCGGATCTCTAAAAAGAGTTGGGATTCCCATCAGTGTGAGCGTTTCTGCTGAGGTTGTGTACGTGAAAGAGAAGGAAGATCCAGGACCCTCAGTTTAGAAAAAGCTGAAGTTAACGGATTAAATGTATTCATTTATTCATGTATTTATTTATTTATTTTTAAATTTAACAGTTTGACAAGTTGGTGTGTAAAGAGTACTATATTCTGTAAAATTATTAACAATATATCAGAGTAAAAAAACTGCACAAACCTAACAGTTAACACATAGAGTAAATTACTGGACTCTTTTTTTTAAAGGTTCTGGACTCAACATGTTCCAAACATTAGGGAAAACTGTTGAAGTCTTTGGCTGAAGTCATGAAAGCTGACAGAGAGCACACAGCTGAATTTTGGGGTCACTTGAAGAAAATGCTAAAACCTCTACTTTACAACAAAACACAACCAGCAGCCTGAAAACAAGGATCAGACTTTGACACTGACATAAAGGAGAGTGAAAAATATTCATTAACTTAACATGAACTTGAGAGGGGAGTGAGGGTTGTAAAGAATATAAAAATAAAAAAAACTCTAAGAAAATGATCAGATAAGGTCTGTGTGGTTGTAGAAGCAGCAGGCTCCTGGCAGCTGATATTGATTGTTTCCATGTATGAACGCTCTCATGTGGGCTGCTGTTTGATTTCTGTCTGTGTTCTCTGTCTGCAGCCCTCTGCTCACTTTCTTTCTAATTTAAGAGATTCGTGATGTCCTCTGTCCTCTCTGTGAACTTCTTCGGTGTTGGTTTTGCTGAAAAAAAAAAACCTAGCAGGGCCTCTCAAACTTTTATTCCGTACTCCAAAAAACTGGAGCTGCCCTGCTGTTTAGTTTTATCTCTCTAATCTGAATGTGTGTTACTTGCTTTATTGACCCTCATCTTTCTTTTAAAGAGCAGGAAAAATAACAAGCTTTGGAAATAATATCAATTTGGAAGAATTGGGTAACTGCTTTTTTTAACCTTTAACTTCTTAACTTTTCACAAAAGTCTTTGAAACAAAACAAATTCAAAGAGAGTCGAGGGTTTGAGATGAGATGCTTCTGAAAAGAAAAGGTGTGAGTCAGTCGGTCCCATTATCCCTTGCCAGTAAACAAACAAGCACATCCTGGAAACAACTTCAACACAAGTCACTTCCTCTTCTTCTTCCTCTGCTTCTCTATTGTTGCTGTCCTGTCTGATGATCAGTCCGCTCTCATTCAGGATCCCATTCAGAGGCTCAATTATCCGCTGATGCAGAGTCGAGTCACCTGACCTGAGCATTTTGGGAAAATAATTACCTGAAGTTCCTCATTTAAAACCCTGAAATGTGCTTTTATCTTTCACCTGTTATATTTCTTTAACTCTTCTTTAAACATTTTCCTAAGTCAATCATTCTTCCACTGGTTAGTTATTTCTGTGCTGAGCTTAGCTGCTGGAGACTCTAAGAAATCAGAAATATTCAGAGGGGGAGGTTTGTGTCCCCACATCGTGGTAGAAGAGGTGGAAACGGCTCAAGGATACTGCAGTGCTGCTCCGGACCTTGGCTTGCTCTGCTTGTTTGCTCGGCTGCTGGCTCCTCTTCCATCCAGGGGTTATTTCTTTCCTCCCCCCAGAAATCAGGGATTATTTCAAACTAAAATAGATGGATGGAATCAATCAGCCATGGTTTTACTTTTCTCTTCTTCTACATAACCGCCCCCTTTCACCTCCACATTCACACCCTTTTCTCCCCCCTCTAACTCCCCTGCTCCCCCTCTCTTCTCTCTCTCCCTCTCTCTCTCTCTCTCTCTCTTTCTCTCTGTCTCCCCCACCCCCCTCTCATGGCTGCAGACTGAGGAGATGCATAAATTCAGACGCATTAGTATTCCAGTCAGGCTCTCCATTTCAAGGCAAGGCCTAGCACCCTTCCGCCTCTCCTTTCCTCTCCTCTCTCCCCTCCTTCACTCTCCCTCTCTTGCTCTATTTTTGAATCATTTAAAGCAGCCCTGCACATACAGGCCTACTTATTTCCAAACCATGCCTAAATTATTTTTAGGCATTATGATTTTTGGGGGAGAATATTGCTCTATTTTGTCCTTGCATGGCCAATTATACGCAGCTGTAGTCTTTGAAATGAGATTCATCTGCTTCTGATTGTGTGTGTGTGTGTGTCTGAGTGTGTAAGTGTGTGTGCGTGCATGTCATTGTGTTTTGCTGTCAGGCCCAGCGGCCCAGGCGATAAATCACGCATGTCTGATTGAGGAGGGCAGAGGGCCCGGACAATAACATTTGGGTGGAACTGCAGGAGAAAGCGTCTGAGTTTGCTGTGAACCGTAGAGCCCATGTGGACCCGGCTGAGGCCAAGGTCCTGCTGAACCTCTGGATGTTTTACAGCTGTGAGTGACGTCACCAAGTCTCCCTTTTGTCAGGACACCAAAACAGAGTGAAGGTTGTGCTGCTAAACAAGAGCTTCACCTGTGTGTGTGTGTGTGTGTGTGCAGCATTACAGTCCCAATATACTAAATAAGACCAGGTCAGAAATTTACTTGAACCCATCTCTCATTTTAGTAAGAATTTAAAGGAATATTGCATGAAAAATAGTCATAATTTAGGTTATTGCTTTAATAATAATAATAATAATGAAAATAATAATAACAATAATAAAAGGATAATTTTGTGTGCTTTCTACTCACTCACTTAATATTAAATATACACTCGTCAAAAGTTTGGTTTTGGACAGTGAACAGTTGTAGCAAGAAATTGTTTATTACAACATACATAGTTTATTTCAAAACATAATACAAGCTTTATACTGAAAATAAATAATTACTTGAGCTGTCATCGAAATTTGGAATAAAACCGCCGAAACAGTTCAATCTTACTGAAAATATTGTTCGTTTGTTTTTACATTGCTAATTAAGTGCATGAATAACTAAGAGCATTTGTTTAAATTAATGACTTCAAAAGGGTAATATATAAAACTGTACAATATTGGAAAAAATACTTAAGAAATAAACCAATAACAGGAGTATTTAAGATTATAAAATTTTGATACTGAAGGTACAATAAAATTATAGGCAGGTGTATAGCGTCGTCAACCCCTCCTCTTCTAGTCTCGGCTCTGTTTTAGAGTCCACACAGTTTCTATGGTCGGAGATGATTGAAATCAAACACATGGATTTATAAATAGCTGTAAGTGTGTGTGGCTACAGGCCATAAGGGAGGAATTTAATTAAAAAAAAAAAAAAAAAAAAACAGACAAACCCTCCAAGTGCTATTATGTTGGTAGCAATACCTCTACAACTGGAATGAGGGCCTATATTTGCATATGCAAAAATAATTACAGATCTGCTACGAGTAAGTTACAAAATAATGAATGTAAATATGAAAGTAAAGCATTGTAGAAGCCCGAGGGTAGCGTGAGGTGCACTGTAACATGGCCTCGTGGTGCTGCAGAAAATCAATTAAAGAAAGTGATATTATTATTTGTTTCACCGCACTGATTATACAAACAGAAGCAGGGAGAAGCCCAAACTAACCCAAAGAGCACACCAGTCCCTTCTGATCGTTATTATGGAGCTGATGAGAAGTGGAGACACAAACCAAAGGCGCTGGCAGGTTATTAGGCACATTTTGTTTTTATATCCATGATGTGGAGAAAGAGGAAAAAAAGGAAGAAGAATTTGGCGGGCTCCATAATCTGAAATGTGACGTTTGATATGCAGCTATATAGAATAATGCCCTCATGACAGTTAGAAAATGACGAAGGCTGAACAGGTATCTCTGTTATTGTTATTGTCGTCTTTCAGTGCTGGAGGCATCTGGACGAGTCTGTACCGGGACAGGCGCGGAGGCTGAGAGGTGCCACCGCGCGGCCCTGCGCTCGAGAGTCTGTGCCGGGGGGATCCCTCCCGGTGCATCGGTCAGAGATCGTGGCACGAGGAGGCGTCTCCCGCACTCCCGCTGTGAGAATAGGGTCCCTCGTGCGGCGGCGGTTCCCCCGGCGGCGTCATGCGTTTCTCCTTCTGCCGCCGGTTGCAGAACCACACGCGCACCACCTCCTTCTCCAACTGCAGCGAGTCCGCCAGGGAGGTGATCTCCTGCGCGGAGGGTTTGGGACACTTTAGGAAGTGCGTCTCCAGAACCCCCTTGACGCTGACCTCGATGGACGTCCTCTTCTTCCTCTTCCTCCCCTGAGCTGCTATCTTGTCTATACTGCTAGAGCTGCCTGTGGACGAGTCTGCCTCCTCCAGCCACTTGTTCAGCAGCGGCTTTAGTTTACACATGTTTTTAAAGCTGAGCTGCAGAGCCTCGAACCTGCAGATGGTGGTTTGGGAAAAGACGTTACCATAGAGCGTGCCCAGAGCCAAACCCACGTCCGCCTGCGTAAAGCCCAGCTTGATCCTCCGCTGCTTGAACTGCTTGGCAAAGTGCTCCAACTCGTCCGAAGTGGGCGTCTCCTCGTCGGAGTGGTCGTGGCAGTGGTGCCCGCCGAGGTCGCTGTGCTCGGGGCTGAGTGTGTCCCTGAGGCCCGGGTGCATGCCTTGGCCCTGCGGGTTAGGTGGAGGTGTGAGGCCCCCGTGGTCCAGCATGCCGTTGACAGTGAAGCCCGTCTGGGAGTAGATGTTGATCTGCTGCCCGCTGGTGATTGAAGAGTTGTGGGACACCGGGGTACCCCAGGCTCCTGGGTGGTTGCCATGGTTGTTGTGATGAGGGGAGTGATGCGCTACGTGCGGGGAGCGGTGATGGATGATGCCAAGCTGCAGGTCTTCTCGGCCTGGTTTGACGTCTTGCTGCTCCATGGAGGCCGACCAGGGGCTGCCCTCCGACAGACTGCTCGCCCACTGGTGCCCGAGCGGGTGTCCGTTGCTTTGGACGCTCTGCAGGTAGTCACTCTGGAGGAGTTTCTGGTGTCCTCTGTAGGGGCTCGCAGGCTGCATGGCCTGGCTGTCCGGGTGGATCATGGGACTTGAGCTGAGCAGGGTGTAGGGGCTGGAGGCAGCTGTGGCCATGCTGGCTGCTGAACCCCACTAGAGCTACTGAAGGGAGAGAGCTGCTCAGCCTCTGACATCTCCCTCTCTCTGGAGTCTCGGCAGCAGCCTGGCACTGACTGACAGCCTCCACGTCCACTCACAGCGCGGCTGAGACGCGGTGACGACGAGCGTCAACCAATGACGGCGCAGATACTCAAACCTCAGCCTCCGCGAGCAGAGCCGCGGCGAGGAAAGGGTTACAGGCAGTCGAACCGGAAGTGAGACGGAATGCTGGTCCAGTGGGTCTGGTTGTGGAACGATGTGCGCGTGGAGCGCAGTTCCTGTTTATTAATTAAAGTTTCCAACTGATTTACGCACGAGTTTATTGCTGCTCCTGTCACCCTTGAGCGCGTGCGAAGGAGGAGATTAAAGCGCAGTGGTATTTGTCAGACGTGCCAGCACTTAATTTAGAAGGATACAATCAAACCAGGAGCAGTTCTCACTGTTAATTATTAACTTTTAGCGAATACTTCCTGCTGTGTTTATGGATGAGCTTCTTAAGATCGCCTTTTACGCATTAGCTCTCTTTCACGCACAGAACGTTTTTCAGTCATAAACCCTTTAGTCAGAAAAAAAACTAACATGTCACGGGCTTTTAATTGAAATGTGGTCTTTAAAATCAGATTTCAGCAGGATATGAAAAATTAAACATTTATCTGACAGCACATCTCACAGTTTTGCTCCCACACAAGAGCTCATACACTCATCGGACATGTTTGCAAATTAAAACTTCTCCTTTTACATTTACTATGAAGTGAAACTGTCCCTGCACACTACACACTCGCTCAGGCAGTCTTTAAGAATCTCATCAGCTCCCCTTAGACATGAAAAAGATCTATCTGCATATCTGAGAGCTAACTTAGCTGCGTAATTATATTTGCCATTAGAAGACTGCGTCCCACTCTCCTTATTGGTTTGAAATTCCATTAAATATATTGCTCGAGCTCCCAGGTTAAGCTTGATTTAAATTTGCATACATTTTCATACATTTAGGAGAAATAAAAGAAGGCTGCAGCCACCAGAAAGTCATTAAAGAGCGCTGAGCCGAGGAGCTGCTGGTGGAGAAGGGGACAGAGAGGAGGAGGAGGCCGGGGCAGGTGAGCTGACCGCGGGCTGAATGTGTGGACAAGGCCGCTGGAGGCTGGACGGGGCCTCGGTAACCGAAGGAATGACAGACAGCGGCTGTGGGGAAGGGTGATGACAGACCAGTGTGTAGCCTCGTGTTGTTGGAGGATTTCGGTCTGTGGATGGATGTGAAGTTATCCAAAACATGTCGGTTGTATATTAGTTGTTGTGTTCTAATTCCAGTGTGGTGCCACGCGTGAATTCTTCATGTGGTTTACTCTTTGAAATTTCCGTGAAAGTGACTGAATATTTGATGGGAATGGCACGGTTCTTCTTCTGGTGGCCTAGTTTGTTGAACTGGATTTCTTTCTTTGGAGTCGTTGTGGGATGAAATCGTGCAGAATTGTTTATACGAATTATGAAATTTGAGCAGAATAGAAGCAGTGGTATTCCAGCACAATACCTCCATTTCATTGCCTGTCATGTTAAGTGACAGCCAAAGCAAATTGATTTTGGAGGATGAATTTCCAATCGAGAGTAAAATGTGTTCCAAAAACTGTTTTGATGAAATCTGAGCCAGCATAGCAGGTGATGAGACAGTTTTAAAGTTCTAAAATCGTCCAAACAGCTTTTACGCCCCAGATCGCTAAAAAGATATCCATTTAATATTTTTATTTCGTTACAAAATAAAGTGTGCATTTTAGGGCGCATAAAGCAGACAGGGTAAGGAGTTGGAGAGGGGGTTGTATTGCTCTCGATAGTCTAAGTTTCTAAGTGTAACAGATGCTTCTCTAGAAACGCTCCTTGTGCTGATTCCTTTTATTCACATCAACATTTTTCTGCCGTCGAGCGCGTTTCCATAGCGAGGCGAATAAAAGGCAAATCCCCGCTCCGCGCCTCCAATAAAGAGCCCATTCACAGATAACCCGAGCCAGCCCTGCTACACTTACACCAGGCAGCACTGCAGGCTCTCTGTGCCGAGCTGCACATTACTGCAAAATAACACAAACTAATGACGCATAATTTCTGTAATTTTGTCTTTATAAAATGACACTTTACGGCTGTTTGTCCTGTTTGTTTAGCTGCCTGTTTGCTGTTTATTCGTCGGCTTTGAGTAAATCTTTGGGTGATTATCTTCTGACTCAGATTATTTGCTGCAGGCAGTGGGGTAAATACAAAGATTTGTTCAATGTAAACCGTCAGCAGGTGAACTTTAACATGCAAACAATGAAATGGATCTGTTTTTAAGGAAAGATTGGACACATTTCACTCTGAAACAACGCTCTGCTCTTAGAGTATAACGCTTAAATTTGCATTGTATTCATTTGATATGACACAGACAATCGTTGTTCTGGTTTAAAGGCTGCTTCAATTTAATCTCCACTGTTCACTGTTTGCAAAATAGGAACCTGTGCGTTTTTATCCGAGTCGATTGAAATGTACTTAAACTTATTTCTGCAGAGCACTGATTTTCTAAATTAAATAACACAATTCAGTCTTGAAAACATATACTCTTTACTGTAGAGGTTTGACTGTCTGTCTTTTTCAGCGCTTGTCATGTTGAGGAAGCCCTTACATAATGTTTTCTCTCAATGTCATAATTCAGTGGTGACGGTATTTTGCTGTTGCTTCTCTTAGACAATTAAAGCGTTTTGTGAAAATCTATAAAATATCACGAGAACATGTGCGCAGTTTAGTGGAGCGTTTTTAAGATTTTTTTAAGAGAAATTTTATTCTTTTTTTTTTTTTGTCCCGTTAAAGACTTTCTTTTTTTGCCTATAAATACTCTGCTCTCCGGTTTAATGCGCCATGCTGCAGCCTTTAGATAAATCAGCTTTAGTCTGCTGCAGAGACAGCCGTGGGCCTCAGGGCGGGACCTGTCACGCAGTGTCATGACCTTTGAAAACTTTCCCTATGAAGCTTAAATCTCTGCTCCTGCGCGCAAGATATGGCCTCAAGTTAAAGATTTTACAACTGCAACAAATCAATGCGTATTTTCTCTCATTATTAACGTGGGAAACCTCTTCATTCTGGGCCAGGTTTGAAGTGGATCAAAAGGAAGAAAATGGGCCTTTAGTATTTTTTTAAAGAGCGCGCAAGTCTGAGGTTTTAATCCTCTAGTTTGATTTGCCATAAAGAGTTTAAATTTTCTTTTAATCCCGAGCATCGGTGTCATATCAGATGGTAAACGCAGTTGTTTTCTCATCCCTGGCACCGACACTCACTTCACAGGCTCCCAGACAGTCAAATCGATATTCCCATTAACCCGTGACGTCGCTAATAAAGGACAGTGACACCGTGTTTGAACAGCACAGCCCTTCAAAAACAAACCCCAAATTAATCTCACATCTTGTCGCTGACAACCAGTTTGTTTTCAGCAGCGACTTGAAACAAAAAGCGTGTGTTTCAGCTCTTTCTGATGGATGAGAGCAGCCTGTCCTAGGTGTCCATCTGTCAGTCATGCAAGCCTCACCTCTGCCTGTGTGTTCATGTGTGTGTGTGTAAATGTGAGTGTGGGGTGTGTGTGTGTGTCCAGCAGCGGTTAAGAAGAGGAAATACATTGGACACAGCAATGAATAAATGTAAAGGAAGCTAAAAATCATCCCATGAGAGCATACAAGTGTAAATGTACATTCATAATGCATGAGGCCCGGTGCGTTTGTTTGGTCTGCAGCGCGAGACTCCTGTTCATTGGATTGTGTGTGCGTGGTGCGTGTGTGTTTTCACGTCAAAGCTGATGAGTTTTTGATTTCAACACTACCTTGAAGTTCATGAGTTTTTACAAAACCTTACTCTACGTATGGAAACAGAATATCAAATGTCTTTTCATTTGAGTGTTTTCCTCCTCCACAGGCAGCATCTGTTCAAACTGGTTGAATTTGCACGTTTTCACGAATTTTAGCAATGAAAAACTCGACCTGTGGAAATCTAGATGATATATATGAAACTTTAATTCAAGGTTGAAAAATCTCATAATATTTTGGATTAATGCAAGACAAATAAACGAGCTTCTTAAAGTAGTCGAATTGTATTGTTTTGGTTTGCTTTCCTTACAAAGGCGCGCAATCTTATTTTTGATTGCGGATTTTACGCACTAATTAATCCCGCGGAGGAAAAGCAACTAATTAAAGATAAGAGATTTACAAAGCTGTTATGGATTCATGTGATCAGATAGGTGTGTGTTTTATATTTCAAAGAAAAATACATAGTAAGATTCTACCTCTTACTTTACACGACTGCACAGAAAATCACACCAGCCAATCTCAAACCAGCAACGCCCTGGAAAAGCGCTAATATTTGGTGATTTTTAAAGTGACACCGGATCCCCAATGACACCGTGTTTTAATCTCTGGGTAAGAATCATATTCAGTTAAAAATAAATCAAGGAAAAATACAACAGCGAGCCTCGCTATCTTTCTCAAGTAGATCCGCGGAGAGATATCAGACCCAGAGGGTTTTGAATTTTATGGAAATCTGAATGAGCTTTAGTGTCATTTTATTGACCTTCATAACAATACTGCCAGAGTAAAGATACATTTTGAACACCCTGGATGCTTTTTTTAATCAGATCCAGGTGTTTTGAATTTCGAATTTACCTCAAAATTCAGGTCATTTAATTTCCTGGAACAACCAAAAGACACCAAAGTGCAAAGTAAAGTTTCAATTAAATGTCCTAGGTCTTCATATTAGTATTCCAGTTGTGGTGGGGGGGAAAAAAAAGCGTAAAATTATTTTTGGTGTGGAGTTAATTAGAAAATGTATTCAATCAAAACAACACACAGGCCTGAGGTCAGGGAGTCTTTCAGCTCCTGGAAATGTCTCCAAGAACAAACAAGCAATCCAAGAAAATTATTTTTATTATCTCCAAGAATTTGAAACACCTCAGAAAAAAAATGAAACTGTTTGTCCCTTTTGCCTTTCTTTAAACAAAGCCAGTGTTTGTCAAAGAGATTATTCAATTCATTCTGCTCTGAGTGTGTGTGTGTGTGTGTGTGCGTGTGTGTGTAATGTTTGTGTGTGTGTCTGTGTTACAGGTGCTGTTTGCAGTAGAAGCCAGTGTATTGTCCCTGGGTCAGCGAGGGAGCCAAGGTTGGTAAAAAATCTACATAACATTACCATCTGTTAAACTTCAAACTGCTCACACACAAAACACACACACACACACAGACACACACATGCGGATGAACACACAGTATCCTGTAAACAATGAGCTGTGAAGAAGAGTAGAGAGTCTATAGAAATGTAATGTACGCTCTTCAGGCCCTCTTAGCTCCTCTCCCACATCCTCCTTCTTCTTCTCTTCTCCTGCGCTGAGAGCAGAGAAGAGCTCGGGGTTGAGGCCTCAGCCGGGCACCAACGAGGAAGAGAACAGACTCAGGAGCAGCAAGAGGACAGACTTGTTGTGGAAACCTCTGCGCTTCAAAAAAATCTACCTTTTCTCTCAGAAACTGGCCTGTCTGATGAACAAACCATGGCGAATTTCATGCAGAATATGAGCGTGTACTCAGCTGCAGCTATATAACCAACCACCATACTTTCCCCTGTGGCCCCCCCCACACACACACACATGCACACTTGTACATGCACGCACACACACACAGGTTCCCTCTGAAGGAGCAGGCGGAGCCGGGAGTTGCACATCTGCATTTCAAACACAGACTCTCTGGGATTCATTATTAATTAGCCTGCTGAGCCCTGGAGGACTGGTGATGCTGCCGTCACACACACACACTTAAACACAGACACCCTAAAACGCACACACACATACATTAACACGCACACATGCACACACCTCATGACCCCTTTGCCCCCTCTGCTCTACAGTTAGAGAGTCCTCACCAGAATACTGAGCCGTGCATGAGCGTCCCTCCCTCCAATCACATCACTTCCCCTGATTTCTCAGCTTAATGTTTGCTAAAGGATGATGAATTACAGGAGGAGGTGGTTTTTATTGAGCTGAGCATACTGTAACTGTGTTTAAAAAACCATATTCGATGGAGTTGTTTAGCACAGCATAGTGTCTTAAATGGAATATGTGTGAAGATTACAGGAGCCTGAAAAGCTGTTGTGGTTGGTATATAACATCAATAAACATTACAAAACTCCTCTCTGCCTTTTGTGCTTCACTCTTTTTGCTGTTTGAGGGGAATAAGACTGTTGTGTTTTGTTTGCCTGCAATTTAAGTGTGTGTATGTGTGTGTGTGTGTGTTTCGGCGTGTGTGCAGCTCTGCACGTTAACCTCCAGCAGCAGCAGATAGAGGAAGATCAGAAAGACACACAGCGATTATGCATGAGGAAAGTCTCCAGGGTCCACCGAGAGAACGAGAGAGAGAAAGAGAGAGAGAGACATCAAACATGCTGCAGTGAGAACCCTCTGTCCACAACACACGTCCCAGTGTGTGCAGTTTACAAAAATAAACACGAGAGGAAGAAACAAACGCGCATGCTGCGGGTTTCAGCCTATTGTGTGCCTCCACTGTTGCCCACGGTTGCATTAGTATGCAGGCAAGCTAACGTTTGATGCAGGGATCATCCAAGAGCATCAGATCGTGCATGATGTTCTGACATGTTTGTGACAGGGTGATGTGTTGACTGCAAATATTTGAAGGAAACATCTCAGAGGAAAGTTCTGTCCTGGGTTTTAGTTGGGGAAGTTGTTTCTTCTTTAATTGCTGGTTGATAAAAAAAACGATGATAATGTTTTGTCCAGCAACACAAAGCTCCATCCACCCACCACGATGTCTCAGGTAGAAAGCTCATTACCATTGCTACAGGGGTTATAGGTTGGCAGTCCATGATCCCTCACTGCACATTATCACCTTACCGATTGGCTCGCTCAAGGCTATAACCTGAGCTGTGATAGGGCAAGAAGCTCTGGCAGTAATTTGGACATAATTGCATAATTGAGCAGGACTCCAGCATCATCAGCTTCTGCCTCTGAAGTCTTTCGATTTAAAGCTCGGCTGTCAGCTTCCATCTCCATTCAAACTGACGAACTCGTCCCTGTGAGGATCAGAACCTCTTGAACCAATTGGATCTGAAAGCGAGCCAGCAGTGGACCTCCTTCAAGCACACACACACACACACTTCCTAGTTCTGTGTAGGGAGTTCTGGGTAGAGGTTTGCAGGGGGAAGAGACCACTTCTCCGCAACACAAAACAGCCTTTGTTGGATGTGGAACGAAGAATCTGGGGCAATCGAAGAATCTGCACAAATGTTGTTACAAGTTCTCGCTGCAAACGGGGAACCAGAATTCCCTTTCGGAGCGTTCCCCTCGGCCTGGTCTTTCCTTCAAAGGAATGAACATATGATTTTTGGTTTCGTACCAATTCCACCTGGAGTCTCGAAGGGAAGAATAACAAATATGGGAAACATTTAATCCAGAATAATATGTTTATCCAGAGACCTGTGGACTTGGGGAGGAATGGACCCCCTCTGATGTGGTCTGCTGCCAGTGTGTGTCTCCACGCATGTGTGTGAGCACAGGTTTCATTGTGTTTTGGTTGGACGAGCTAGATGGGTGAAGAGACCCTCGACCTCCTGGGGCCAGGAACTCTGGGTGAGGAGGAAGAGAGGTGTAACACACTCTCAGATTTCTATAGTGTGTGTGTTTGTGTGTGTGTGTGTGATACAGGATGTGACAAAATCAAGGCAGCAGGCTTGAAGTTGGACTGAATTGCTGTTAAATCTGGAGGAGTCTCAGTTATGATATTGCTTCACAAAGAGGAAATAAAAATATGAATCTAATCCCTCTGGTGGGGTTAAGTGGAGAGAAAACACTCAGAGCTCTGATGTTTCTGCACCTTAATGCCATATGAGAAACTCTGATTTATTACAGCTGGGTTTCACGTCTATTGATTATGTCACTTCTAAGTGAAGAAAGAAATCAAAGAACCCAAGACGCCAAACTTGTTCACTGAGAAATGCCTTTAGTGAGATGGCTGCAACCTTGTTTTCTGAAGGTTAAGTGTTTTTGAGTATACCAGGAATTTTGGTAAGGGTCCAAATTCAAAATGTTGGAGTCAAATGAGTCTTTGACAATCACACCATTGACAGGAATCAGCAGAAGGACCTCATGCCTGGTCAGATCCAAGGATTAAGGTTTAGATTAAAGTTGGTACCTTGATAAACAAAGATTCAGATTTTAACCTCTTGTGAATATCTCTTTGCACTTCTGTTTTGTTCTTTGTGTTGTTCATAAACTTTCCAGTCAACTATTGATTTTTCATAAGTAGAGTCATGAACATGCAGCAATATATCAGCTGAGTATTGACTGATATACATTAGAGGATAATCTGGGAACAGTGATGTCAGTACCTTATAAACAACTGCTTTGTTGCCTTACTTTAACGATGGTGAGCTAGTTTGCCCCGCGTTTTGGCCTTCCGTGAGGTTTTGAAATTAAAATGTATTTGACAGAAAAAAACACAAGAGTTGAATGAAAACAGTGTTTGTGTCTGAATATTCATTATTTAAATGTTAACACTTCTTTACAATCAGTGCATTTCATTCTGGTTCAAGAGTTTTTTAAGTTTTCAGGACAGGAGGTTTTTGTTGGGCTGTTCACATACTGAAAAAATCTTCTGAGTAAATAACCTTTCCATGAAAGTACAAAACCTCTGATACAGATACAGAAAATAATGTTCAATCAAAGGTTTTTTTAAACAAAATTCTGTCATTAAATTGGTTCCCACTCAAATAGGCTGTAAAAAAGATTAGAATAATTCTTCCTATTCACTGATATGTTTTTTTAAAAAGATTATTTGTATCCCTGTCCCAAGATTCAGAGATTAAAAAACAAAATCACAGGAATAAGAAACCGTAACTCAGTCAGTTTTAGTCTAATTTTCTGTGCAAGTTTAAAATCATGGATTGTTTGGCGTATCTGTTTTGGCAGCATTCATTTTGCATTTTTGCTTCTTAAATGTTTTTTTAAATGATGCCCTCTCATCCTCAAGAGTCCTGTTATGTATGTAAAAAAGCTTTGAGCATTTACACAAAGACCACCTTAATCTGAACAGTTTAATAGTTATAAAACCTGCATTAGCTGTTTCATGTCTGATAAGAGCTCTCCAGAGGTGTGTCTAAAACCTGTCCATTGTCTGAAGTCTATTTGCACATTTTTTGCCCAGTCTCACCTCTTGTCAGCACATGAAGTTCACATAATATCAGATCGGACTGATTTATGAAACCAGCCAATTGTTTGAGAAAATTCAGACACCCACATGCTGACACATTCAAGCGGCACTAACTCTACTACTTTCCACAACTACTACTACAGTTCAGGATGCCAAAAGTACTACACCCTTCTCCTCCTCTTCTCTCGCTCTCTCTCTCTCTCTCTCTCTCGCTCAGCTTTCCTCTCGTTTCCTCTGAAAGAAGCTCTTATTGTGGCGATGTCAGCTGTCTCAAGGGCATCCAGAACAAAGAGGCTTTTCACCCCTCTGCATATCCTCCTCTCATCATCCTCCTCTCCCTCACCTCTCACTCTCATTTCTCTCAATGCCCCTCATTCTGACTTCCATACCATGCAAACCTCTCATTTGTTTGCACCTTTCCTCCCCACATCCTTCCCTTTTCTCACTCTTGTTTTGGCAGCTGTAGGTGGGTGGGGTATGTACAGTTGCTGGTGCAGCAGCAGGTTGAAGTAAATGAGATGAGGATGGTGTCACTGCTGGATTATTAAAAGATTAGATCCTTTGGCAAGTTCCTTGATTTGGACTAAGACACAGCATATCTGAGATAACTCTACTCCTGGTGTGTGTGTGTGTGTGCGTGTATGTGTGTGCGTGTGTGTGTGTGTGTGTGATATACGTCCTGTTTGTATCTGTGCCTGGCAGAGTATGGAGGCAGGAGGAGAGTGATGCAGGCAGCAGCAGCTGGTGCAGATACACAATGTCAGGAGAGCTCGCAGAGACAGAGCGAGGGTACAACAGAGGATGCCTCCTTGGCCGACTGTGTGGAAGGGGGACAGTGGAGCATAACAAACAGGATCCACCTTTCTGCTTGGCTAATTTTCCCCATTAAAACAGCCCAGCAGGAGCCTCAGCAGTCCACCAGCTGGAACAGAGGTTATTTTAGTGCCTGTCTTTCAGCAGGGTGTGTGTGTGTGCGCGCATTTGTGTGTGTGTGTCACTTGCATCTATTTTGGTGTGTGAGTCAGAGGTTTGGGGAAGCATAAAGATCTTCCATAGGAGCGGATTCAATTCACTGATATTAATTTCCTTCTCTCCAGTCATGCATAAACAAAGAAAATCTCAGCGGCTGTCTGCAGTGTGTGTTTCGCCCCGCTGTGCGTTGCTATAATGTGCACCGAGCTGATATTGATGTATGTGCCCATATTTGCCCAGTCATCTCTTTATGTGGCCAGCCCTCTTCTCCTCTGTCTCAGTCAGATCCTAAACTAATCCCCAACCCTGCTACTCTGACAAGAAAATCCCCTATTTTAATGCATGCACACACACACTCCATCTTCCTCCCTCGCCCCCGGCCACACACCCCAGTCGCGCAAACACACACGTACACTCTTTTTTTCCCTCTTTATCCCTCTGTGTACCTGTACACTACTTCTCTTAAGTCCTTTTACCCTTTAGCAAAGCATGTCTGGTGTATAAGTCTCCAATTGTGATATTTTGCTAAGGTAAAATCTCTTTTTTTCCTGCAAAGGCTGTATTTAGCATCAGTGTCATTATGCTAGAGGCTGTCAGGAAATGTTAAATAAAATCAGTTACGGTCCATTTACTGTAAGAAAACTAATCAGATAACAGACTGTTGTGTTTTTGAAAAAGAGGGCAGCCGCGCTGTGCGACTGATATAAAGCATCAGTAATGCTGCCACAGTTTTTCTAAATGGTTGTAATGGCCCAGGATGATTTCATTCATATTGTAGTCTGAGCGTTTTAGAGGTATTTTGTAACTAAAAAGGATTTTGGAGACAAAATTATCCAATTTTGTTTCTTAAGTCTAAACAGATCTGTGATTTTAATGTTTAAAAGGTACATAAAGTAATCTGTCCCAAAAATATAAAGTATTGATCAGGAAATAAAGGGTTGAA